GCAATTTTTACCGCCAAAACACTTGTATAAACCTGTAAAATTCCTCGTAAAATTTTCCCGTAATATTTTTTCCCGCAAAAAAAAATTTTTGGCGGGAAAAAATTTTACGGGAAAATTTTACAAGGTATTTTAAAGGTTTTTACAAGTGTTTTGGCGGGAAAAATTGCGGAATCACTTTTCTCGCCAAAAAATATTTTGTATTTTGTAGATCTAATTTTGTTATATTTTCTTATATATTTGTGATATCTTTTATTAAAAGAAGGGTAATTTAGTCATTTTGTACATAAAAAGGGGTATTTTTAAAAATAGACAGCCAAATGGGGCATTTTTGAAAAGGGGTATTGAAAAAGGGGCATTTTTGTGAGTCTCAGAAAGTTTTAATAGTAATATAAAATTTTAAATTTAAAAAACGTTTCCAAAAAAAAAGTGTTAAAAATTTAATAAAAATTTAATTATATGTTAACCATATTGAACTTAAAACACCTTTTAGGGGTTTGGATGTTGTATCCAATTAGTTTACACAAAATTAAAAACTTTAACACTTATAAAAAAAAAAGAAAAATAAAACATTTAAAAAAAAAAATAAGTGTTAAAAAATTTAATTATGTGTAAACCATATTGAACCTAGAACACCTCTTAGGGGTTTGGATGATGTATCCAATTGGTTTACATAAAATTAAAAATTTAACACTTATAAAAAAAAGAAAAAAAAAACATTTAAAAAAAAATAAGTGTTAAAAAATTTAATTATGTGTAAACCATATTGAACCTAGAACACCTCTTAGGGGTTTGGATGATGTATCCAATTGGTTTACACAAAATTAAAAACTTTAACACTTATAAAAAAAAAAGAAAAAAAAAACATTTAAAAACAAAATAAGTGTTAAAAAATTTAATTATGTGTAAACCATATTGAACCTAGAACACCTCTTAGGGGTTTGGATGTTGTATCCAATTAGTTTACACAAAATTAAAAACTTTAACACTTATAAAAAAAAAAGAAAAAAAAACATTTAAAAAAAAATAAGTGTTAAAAAATTTAATTATGTGTAAACCATATTGAACCTAGAACACCTCTTAGGGGTTTGGATGTTGTATCCAATTAATTTACACAAAATTAAAAACTTTAACACTTATAAAAAAAAAAGAAAAATAAAACATTTAAAAAAAAATAAGTGTTAAAAAATTTAATTATGTGTAAACCATATTGAACCTAGAACACCTCTTAGGGGTTTGGATGATGTATCCAATTGGTTTACACAAAATTAAAAATTTAACACTTATTAAAAAAGAAAAAAAAACATTTAAAAAAAAATAAGTGTTAAAAAATTTAATTATGTGTAAACCATATTGAACCTAGAACACCTCTTAGGGGTTTGGATGATGTATCCAATTAGTTTACACAAAATTAAAAACTTTAACACTTATAAAAAAAAAAGAAAAAAAAACATTAAAAAAAAAAATAAGTGTTAAAAAATTTAATTATGTGTAAACCATATTGAACCTATAACACCTCTTAGGGGTTTGGATGTTGTATCCAATTAGTTTACACAAAATTAAAAATTTAACACTTATAAAAAAATAAAAAAATAAAACAAGTGTTAAAAAAACAAAAACATTGGGATAGAAATTGACCTTGCCGATAAGTTGGAATGTGAGACGATTATCGTCATGGGCTGGACTTCTTTATTCTTGTTGGGCTTTGTTGGGCTGAAAGAGCTTCGATGACATGGCGGTGAGAGCGGAATGTGATCGTCTCTCTAATGGTTCCGACACAAAACAGAGCAGCAACAACCACGACGACGATCATCCTGAGGAGACGCTTTCATGATCGCAGCCATGGAAACATCGTCTCTCTTTGTCTCTATCTTCGTTTTCGTCTTTCCTTGGCCGTCTTGGTGCTCTCCTTGGCCGTCGGTGAAAGCGTTTCGGTGGCCCGTCGTTGACCGGATTTGAAATCGTTTGGATCGGGTTGAAGGTGAGTCACAAGAGAGGATGGAGATCAATGTTACGATAGTTGTTTGTATGTTGAAAAGACGAGAGAATGAAAGATCAAAAACGATAGTTGTGTTTAGAAAAGACAAGAGAATGAAATATTTGTTATGGTATCGAAGAAGAAGAGTGAATATTGATATCTCAAGGAAGAAGAGAGAATGAGTGATGTTGGAGATTAGCATTCTCTCAGGCGTGTTGTGTATTTATAAGCATTAGCTTCTTCAAACAAAAAGGAAACTTTCGATTGTTTCCTTTTTTCTTCAACGCTTGTTTCCTTTTCTTATTAGGGTTGACAAAAAATAAGAAAATCTGAGAACGTTCGAGAGATCTGGACCGTTTATTTTCATCACGTTGCAACTGCGAGATATCGGATGGTGATAATCTAATCTAAACGGTAAGTTTGTAACATTACGTGGGTCCGGGACGATCTCTTTATTATACATTTATACCTCTCTGTTACAAACAAACACCCATATGTTTGTGGAGAAGGAAAGAAGAGATGAAGATGATGGTTCTGAACCAAAAAAAAGGAGATGATGATGTTGGCTTCTTTAAATTGAACAGAAGCAGCAGTGTTTGATGATCTAACAGACATTGACATCAGCCTACCAATGCTGGTCTTTCTGTGGGAGATAGAACCGGCCTGATTATGAGAATGCTTCATATCGCCGGTAGCTTCATCTAGAAACTCAGCGTTCCTGAACGGAAGAAGAAATCAAAATCAAGATGAAAAAGTGTGTTTTCAAGCAGAGCAGAAACTGATTCAGGATCTGACTAACGTTTTATTGCTGCGGCTGCAGATGCTGAATATGAAGCCAACGCCTATAAATATAGCAGCAACTTCAATCATTTCTGTGGGAGCCATCAATTGCTTTGGTTAGGACCAGAGCAATCATGTCATTCATCTGACCACTACATAATGTACAACTCCATGACTCTGAGGGAAGGTGGTAGTGATAGAATCTTCTATGTTGAATTCCCTCAGAGGTTTGAAGGTATTGGACCCAAATGATCGTTATGCAAACCACAACACTGTCTTCTTTGATGTTAGTATCAAGTCTGCAAGTCTTGTCTCTGCAGGAAAGAGCCATTACAACATTATCCTTTTCCCCCAATTTTGTCCACTGTAAACCGAGTAACTGATAATGTCTACTTTTGTCAATTAAACTTCTAAAATCCTAGTTTGGAGGATTCTTACAGGTATATAACCAAAAAAAAAAAAAGCAAAAACAAAAGAAACCTAGCAGAAACAAAAAAGAACCATTCAAAACCGGTTCTTGATTACAAACTTACTTTCCACCTTCTTCTATCTCTCAAAAGGCTATCTACCAGATGATGTTCTTGACTGAACTGAATTTGATGGCTCTCTAGACAACGCAGATATCAGCTTCTCTTTCGTTAATTCTTCAGATTTGACTACAAACGTATGCAACACTGTGTCCTGAGAAACTTCAAGGTTCGAGTTCATCACTTCTACTTTAGTCTCTTCAAACGCATGGAAGATTCTAGAAGCTGGATGAGACTCCAACGGACAGTTTATTCTCACTGTGACATCTTCACCTGAGGTTTGAACATTAATATCCGATTCCAAGCTGATAGGGGCAATCTCAGAAGGCACATATGGAAGCAGAGCAAACTTCCTAAAGCATGGCGTTTTAAGTACAAAACTGGGAATTCAAATCCACGCAGAGAATTGGTTGAATGAAACTGAAGTGAAGATATCATAGTAAATCCATTCTTTTCCAAACCTTGAGGTCAAGGTTTCTTCGAACGAGAGGATTTGATATAGGAAATGAGTAACGTGGAAGTTTGTTACAACATGATTGGTGGAGGTGTGAATTGTGAGTTGGCAATTAGCTAGTGATTGGCTAGAAAGAGATCGAGAGGTGAAGCTATTTAGGGATGGAAGACCATTTTGCAGAAAGATAACCAAAAAACAATTTGTGTAATCTTCTTCTTCTTCTTCAATTTTCTCTGAAAAACTCTTTAGATATAGCTGTTTCTACTTCTAAGCTCTACCACATGAGATTTGGATTCTCGTTTTATGAACGACGATTCAATTTGGTGTTGTGATTTGGATCTAATTGAGAAATTGTGGTTTCTCTGTATCAAAGACACGATCTCAAATTGGAACCACAAAACCATGCCTTTATTTAATCAATATTAAAAAAAAGAAATAGAGTAAAAAATAAATTAATTGTTAAATTTATATTATATGTAAAACATGTTGAACCTTGAACCTCTAGTAGGCATATGGATGTTGTGTCCAACTTGTTTATACAAAATTAAATATTTAACACTTATAAAAAAATTTTATCCAAATATTATTTTTAAAATAAAAAAATTTAAAGTTTTAGTAGTAATATAAAAATATAAATTTTTAAATAAATTCTAAGGAAAAAAAAACAAGTGTCAAAATTTTAATTATGTGTAAACCATATTAAACCTAGAACACCTCTTAGGGGTTTGTATGTTGTATACAATTAGTTTACACAAAATTAAAAAACAATTTACATCTAACAAAAAAAAAAGTTCTTAAATAAAATGTTTAAAGAAAAAACAAGTGTTAAAACTTTAATTATTTGTAAACGATACTAAACCTAGAACACCTCTTAGGGGTTTAAAAATTTAACACTAATAAAAATAACATAACATTAAAAAAAAAGTGTTAAAATTTTAGTTATGTGTAAACTATATTGAACCTAGAATACTTCTTAGGGGTTTGGATGTTGTATCCAATTAGTATACACAAAATTAAAAAATTTAACACTTATAAAAAAAAAACATTTTAGAAAAAAAAAGTGTTAAAAATTTAATTATGTATAAACCAAATTGAACCTAGAACACCTCTTAGGGGTTTGGATGTTGTATCCAATTTGTTTACACAAAATTAAAAAATTTAACACTTATAAAGAAAAAAAACATTTAAAAAAAAATAAGTGTTAAAAATTTTAATTATGTGTAAACCATATTGAACCTAGAACACCTCTTAGGGGTTTAGATGATGTATCCAATTAGTTTACACAAAATTAAAAACTTTAACACTTATAAAAAAAATAAAAAAAAAACATTTAAAAAAACAAGTATTGAAAAAACAAAAACATGGGATAGAAATTGACCTTGCCGATAAGTTGGAATGTGAGACGATTATCGTCATGGGCTGGACTTCTTTATTCTTGTTGGGCTTTGTTGGGCTGAAAGAGCTTCGATGACATGGCGGTGAGAGCGGAATGTGATCGTCTCTCTAATGGTTCCGACACAAAACAGAGCCATGGAAACACCGTCTCTCTTTGTCTCTTTCTTCGTTTTCCTCTTTCCTTGGCCGTCGGTGAAATCGTTTGGATCGGGTTGAAGGTGAGTCACAAGAGAGGATGGAGATCAATGTTACGATAGTTGTTTGTATCATTGTCTTGGTGCTCTCCTTGGCAGTCGGTGAAAGCGTTTCGGTGGCCGGATTTGAAATCGTTTGGATCGGATGAGTCACAAGAGAGGATGGAGATCAATGTTACGATAGTTGTTTGTTTGTTGAAAAGACGAGAGAATGAAAGATCAAAAACGATAGTTGTGTTTACAAAAAGACAAGAGAATGAAAGATTTGTTATGGTATCGAAGAAGAGAATGAGAGTGAATTTTGATTTCTCATGAATGATGTTGGAGATTAGCATTCTCTCAGATGTTTATTTATAAGCATTAGGTTCTTCCAAAACAAAAAGGAAACTTTCGATTGTTTCCTTTTTCTCGACGAGTTCTATTGTTTCCTTTTTTTTGGTTAACTTTAGATTTCCTTTTTTCATAATTGGGCCTGGAAAAGGTAAAAAGGATCAATAGCCGATTTCCATCTTTGGACCTGCAATCCTGCAACTCGAGAACAACATGGAAGAAGAAGAGGCAAGCTTTGTCTTCTTTGAAGCAGATTCTGAGAATTTGATGCACCAGGAGGCTACCATTGCTGGTCTATGTTTCGAGAGCTACCATTGTATATTTGTTGTTTAGGAAAAACAATACTACACATCAAGAAGAGACATAAACACAAACAATTCTTAAAAGTCGGAGTCAAAACAAGTTTCAAGTAAAGTCGTAAACTTGACAGGCCTTTTAACACTAGCCATTCTCTCATAACCAATCCCAATTTTGCTATGCATTAGCTTCATTGCTAAATCTGCTTTTCCCACTTTCCTCAATGCATTGATCATCACTGTTCTGATCCTCCATGGCACTTCTCTTCCTCTCTCTGTAATCCCATCAGCTAATTTACAAGCTTCTTTAATCCCATCATAGTCTCTATATTGTTGAGCTTTAATTTGGTCTTTGAGCCCATTTATCAATTTCTGTTAGTTAATAAACAAATTTATACATTTTTTGGTTCATACCAACACTGTTTTTACATAGCTCACACTGTATTCCACACACTATACACATGTAAGAGATCTAAGGGTCAGTTGTGTGATTGGCGGTGAAGTCCGGCTCGGTGGGTTTTTGAGGTAGCAAAGGAAGAGTGTAGCGGGGAGGAAGGTTGGATATATTGTGCCTCAGATTGTGAAGCGCGTTTGAAGCAAAACGCGACGCGTAAAGAGCACCTCCAAGGCTCAAGGACGAAGACACAGTTGCAGCATTGCGTTCTTTATCTTGATTAGCCAGCGCTTCTCGGAGACGCTCTTCTTCATCGCGTAATGACTTGGCTAACTTCCTCCGACAGTATCTCCGCCACGCTGCTTGTATAAAAGATACGCTCCATGTTCTCCATTGCACTGAGTAAAACCTGTATAATATAATCAAGATCCGGTTAAGCTGATCCAAAACCGAAAACAGAGCCAAAGAGGCTGATGGGAGAGACCGAACCTGAAAGTATGCTGGAGCTGCTTGCTATGGAGGCGTCTGAATTGTGAAGCGACAGACTTGAGATCCTCAGCTGTAAGAGCAAAGGCTTCGACTTCGGTGAGAGCTTGAACTGTTCTCGTCGAGATGGGAAAGTGAGAAGAAGATTGAGGATCTAATGCCCACGGGAGAAGATCTTCTCCGCAGAAATCACTTGCCTTTAGGTTCACGGCATTGAAGAACCCACTTCTTCCTCCATTAGTGGTGGCACTTACGAGTCTTCCTCTCATCACAAACAGCATTTCTCCAACAGGATCTCCTTCACGGATCACGTAACTGTTCTCTGTGTAGAGCACAGGTTTTAGCCTATCGCAAACCGCGTCAAGTAACTGTTCGTCCATTATCTCAAACAAAGGTACCTACCAAAAACAATCATATAATTTGGATTCTGAGGGTTGCACTATGATTCTTGGTTCAGCTAATGGAAGAAAAAGAGAGAAAGTTTATTACTCACTTTCTTGAGGAGATCAAGGCAGAGATGGCGTTTAATGTCTCTTCTGAGGTCTTTAGGGAGGTTACGAAGAAGGGTTTCTTCTTCGACTCCTCTTGTCTCTTGCCATCTATATTGTTCATATCTTCTGATACGTTTCCTCAGGTCTTCAGGTAACATTCTATGAGACATCCACTGCTCTGCATCTCTCTTTCTCACTCTCATTTCCTCCTCTCGAACTGTTGTTGATTCCAAGTATTTCTACAACAGTAATACATAGGTTACATGAGTTATGGAACAAGTCAAGAAAACGAGAAGCGATTCTTTGAGGCCATTACCTGCATATTGCCGATAAGTAGCGCAAATAAGACTAGTCCAGATATGCAGATTGATATAGCAAATATGATTTCACCAACGAATTTGCTTGTTTGGAGATTCTGTCCCAATGCACTGCAACAACAAAAGCAACTGATGAGAATCATGCATGACTTCTTTGAGTTGGGACAGAGTTTCAGATACAACTAGAAACTAGTCATATCTCAGCTTAAAATCGCATTGTTCTAACTACAAAGGGTATATCAATTTGGCTAGTTAGTTAGTTGGTGTGATGAAAGATTCAAGTGGAACAAGAAAACAATAGTTATGTGTGTTTTACTAACCTCAGATTTCGCAGACCCCACCAGAAGCAGTAGAAGAATTTCTTCCAGAAATCATGTGATTCAACGACCCCACTCTTAAGAGCATCAGTGAAGATGCCAAAGTTGAAGATGGTTGAGTTTGTTATATCACCAGGGTCGATAAATGGGCAAGAAGTGGTCAGGAAATTGTTGCTAACAGTGCGATCGTTTTCACAGTAGAGAAATTTCTTATCACAACCTTTTGTCTTCTCGCATGCCTCTTGCCAGCATCTGTCTTCTCGTTCTACTGAGATTAAGTACCATAAAGCTCCAAATACCTGAATTAGTAAGTTTAACATATAACCTTTAAAATGCATTTACATGTATAAAGATTCAGTCATTAAATGATCCAAAACTCACATGACTGGCTAACATATAGAGAGAGAGGTTCCAAGCAGCCCCAGCCCATGCTGTTTCAGTAACAATGCCAGATGTTCTGGTCACTTCGGTGTAAAGCGGATACATACGGAGAATCCGAGGAACATATTGAGCAATTATGACATATTTAAGGTAGTCTTTTGTGAACAAAGAGACTGGCTGGTTGACGCTTTGAATAACGGCTAAAACTACTATCTGCAAGATAAGAAACCAGAGGATTCAAAAATATGTTATCATTTTGAAGGAGTAATCAAAGTAGTCATTTACCTGTGGGAGAGGAAGGATAGAGAGTACATCAATGATGAAGTAAGATGAGAGATACTTTATAGCTATAGCCTTAGCATCATCTACCAATTCACCTCTTCCAAAAACCCGCGAAGAAGGAGCGATGTAAGCTGTCCTGAACTGAAACACAATGTGAATAATGTAAAAGGCATCGATGAGTGTCCGAAGAAAACTTGCAGCTATCTCCAACTTTTTGTCCAAAGTAAGACAGTGCCTTGCGCCATCGACAATGGGAATGTAGAAAAACAATGGATCAATCGCCAAAGCAACCACACAAGCAAAGAGAAATATTTTGTTCCAATTCTGGAGAAACGAATCCTGCGGGTTTATGATGTTCTTCCGAGTAATACTAGATGTTTCCTTGTGGTCAGGATCCTTATGTGAACGGAAATTTAATGGCTTCTTGAATCCCCACTTTACATTCTTGAAAACTCTGTCTAAAGAAGGTCTAGCTTTTCTTCCATAACCATACTCAGAGGATAATGATCTGTCTTCATCTTTGAACCTAAACAAAATCATTAAAGATACTATAAAATCATTCGACTATGAACCCTTTCAAGATTTATGTAACTACCAACCTTAGACGATTATCATGGCTAAATGCCATCAGCCAAATCTTTGATATTTCAACTGATCTTTCGCTTACAGTGTGACGAATCCTAACATTATAATAAGAACAAAACATTTAAATCATACGAATTCTTCTCCATGATTACGTATAGTGATAATCCCCAAAACCAATTCAAAATGCAAGTATACACCTAACAGTTGTGTGTTTTTAAAATATTTCTTGAAAAGGTTAATTAGAGAACCTAGAATCAGTCAATTCCTACCTAACATGATTTTACCAAATCCTGAATAATTCCTACCCATTCCTGGTCAATAATTAAAAACCATACGAACTTATAAACACTGTTCATCAGAAGATAAGAAAGCTAAGTTTCAAACCATACAAATTCTTGCTCAATAATTGACTAAAGCTATAGTTTACACAGATATATCTAAGCGTTTCGATTCTGAGAAACAGCAAACAAAAAAAAAAAAAAAAAAAAGACAGAAATGTAAATCGGAGTCAAAAATCTTTCCGAAACCAACCTCAAACGAAGTAAGTAACGGCGGGATAGTAAGATTCCGCTAATGAACTGTGAATTAGGTCAACAGCGTTTTAATTCTTCTTCAAGCTCCTCCTTCCATATGGCGGTTACTTGTATCTCTCTGTACAATTTCCTGGAAAAAGTGTGTATGATGAATTTAATTATACGAGAAAAGAGAGGGAAATGGCCCAAATGGGAATATTATGCAATTAAAATAATATAAAGTCTTTGTTCAATTAAAAAAAGTCCTTCCAAAATTCAGATGAATGACTTGGTCAAAGTCAAATAAGCGCTAATAATCTAGAGTTGCCAAATTTTAAGTATTGGGCCCATTATGAATATTGAGCCCATTAAGATCCATGACCCAAGTTGAACTAACCGCCTCATCTTATAAGTATTTCCTTTTTTCTTCTCACTTCACTTTGATTCTTTTTTGTTCTGTCGGGAAACACGAACGGCGTCGTCGTTCTTCTCGACGGTGTAGCTCACCTGCGACGATTTTTAAGGTAACATATTCTTCCTTGTATTTTTATCCATACTTTTGATTTACCTTCCTTTCTTTTTTTTTTCTCTCCAATTTCAATCCAATTAAGGGTTTTAGATTCCAAATTTTGTAGCTTCCATTGACACATCGAATTTTCGAACTGTGTTTTTGATTGCTCTGTCTGGAGTTTCTATTTCCGCTTCCGTATTTATTGTGAATGAAATTACTGTCTAGATAGATAATGATAAGCTAGGGTTTCTTCAGTGTGTTGTACTACTGATTATTCATTAGCTTGAGCATATGAATTTGGAGCTCAATCTCTCCTTTGATTTCTATGTTATGAAGAATTCAGGTGATCAGGTTTATGTTGCATTGTCTATTGTTGTCATCGAATCTGAATGAAATTTGATAAAATTGTTGTTTGAATCAGTTGGAACAAATTCATAAGTTCCAGGAGATTGACTTTATATTAACCTTGAATTTTGCAGGGAAACACTAAGCAGCAAATTACAAGTCGGTGTTTGTGTTGTTGCATAATCACAATGTCAGATTCTGGTGAACCTAAACCGTCTCAGCAAGAAGTATCTCAACCTCAACCTGCTGGGGAAGAAACTAAGTCTCAACAAGGTTACATATATACTTTCTTCTTTCTCAATTCTAGTTGTTGCCTCATTGAGATTTTGTCTTGTTCTTCGTTGTTAGCTAGAAATTTTCATTTACACTAATCAAATCTTTGTTCTGTTTCAGTTTGCACTTTTTTCAAGAAGCCAACGAAAAGTAAAAACATTAGGAAAAGAGCGATTGATGCAGATGAAGAAGATGGAGATTCGAAAAGCGAAAGCTCTATTTTACAAAATCTAAAGAAAGTTGCAAAACCTGATAGCAAGTTGTACTTTTCGTCTGGACCAGCTAAGAGCTCTACTACTAGTGAAGCTGCTGAGAGACCCGTCTTTCACTACGATTCATCCAAGGAGATCCAGGTTCAGAACGACAGTAGAGCAACAGCTACTCTAGAAACTGAAACCGACTTCAATCAGGACGCACGAGCTATCCGTGAGAGAGTTCTTAAAAAAGCAGACGAAGCATTGAAAGGGAATAAGAAAAAGGCTTCAGATGAGAAGCTGTACAAAGGAATTCATGGATATACGGATCACAAAGCTGGGTTTAGAAGAGAACAAACAATTTCGAGCGAGAAAGCTGGAGGCTCACACGGGCCATTAAGAGCTTCTGCTCACATCAGAGTATCAGCTAGATTCGATTACCAGCCAGACATTTGCAAGGATTACAAAGAAACGGGATACTGTGGATATGGAGATTCGTGTAAGTTCTTGCATGACCGTGGGGATTACAAACCAGGATGGCAGATAGAGAAAGAATGGGAAGAAGCAGAGAAAGTTAGGAAGAGAAATAAAGCTATGGGAGTTGAGGATGAAGATGATGAGGCTGACAACGATAGCGACGAAGACGAAAATGCATTGCCCTTTGCTTGCTTCATCTGCAGAGAGCCTTTCGTTGATCCAGTTGTCACCAAATGCAAGCATTACTTCTGTGAGCACTGTGCTTTAAAGGTATGATCGTAACTTAAATCACAATGATGACTCTGTTTTTTGGATTGTGAAACTAATGAGTTTTGTTCTGTGTCATGATGCAGCATCACACGAAGAACAAGAAGTGTTTTGTGTGTAACCAACCAACAATGGGGATTTTCAATGCAGCACATGAGATCAAGAAGAGAATGGCTGAAGAACGGAGTAAAGCTGAAGAAGGATTGTGAAGTTCTTCTTTCACAGGACAAAAACTATATTTATTCTTTGCTTGAAGAAACCTTTTTGTTTGTTGTACTATCTGGCCTATATATATTCCGGTGAGAATTGTTGTTCCAGACTTCCTAGTAAACAAGTCATCGTTAGAATAACAGTCATCAAATTCAGTATCTTTATCATTGTTAAGCTCATCATCATCATGAATTGATCGATGGTAATCATCATTACCGTATGAAAATTATCATAATGGTTATGATAAAACCATGAGCATAAAAACTAACTCTAGAAGGTTCTCTCTGGAAGCGTGGGAGGTGGGTGATTGATTTAACGGTGTCAATCTCGAATTTTTCCGATCTTCTAGATCAAAGACATAACTGCGATGAAGGCTAAGGCTGTGGGTGAGGCTGAGGCTAAGGCTGTAACACGCGTGTGGTGGGACATCAACAGGTGTCCGGTTCCCAGTGACGTTGATGTTCGTCGGGTGGGTCCGTGTATAAAACGGGCGTTGGAGAAATTAGGCTACTCTGGTCCTCTCACCATCACTGCCGGTGGCATACTAACAGACGTCCCGCATGACTTCCTCAGACAAGTCCATTCCTCTGGAATCGCTCTTCATCACGTTCCCACCGGTAAATATCTCTTCTCATCCTTAATTTTACAAAATTAGGGTTTAGATTCAACTGGTTGCCTTTTTCTTGTTTTTAAAGTCTTTTAGTTTCTGAAACAGATATCTCAGGCCTTGGGTGGGCTGTGCTTAAGTGGACCTGGTATAATCAACCTCCGGCTAATTTAATGCTCATATCGTATGAGCCAATCTTCTTGGGCACTCTTGGCAAGCTAGGTGGGATCGGATACAACATTGTTCGGTCTATACTTCCAGATGATCTTGAACAAGCCGCATCCTCCGCCTCCGCTTCCTCTTCTGCAGGGTGTTTCCTCTGGGAAAGCTTACTGGCAAGCTTTACCAGCAGGTCTTTGTCCTCTCTCTCTCTCGGTACAGTGTTGAATTAATTAAGCTATTTCTGAACTAATACATTTGTCATTGTCTAACGACATATATATAGGGTCCATTTGAGTCCACAACCTCCTACCGCAAGTTTCCCATTTCTCACTTCTTCCAGTTATGTTTTGCCTAAATTTGACCCCATATTTTGTTTTTTTGGTTGTCAACGAGCAGTCGCAATACTACCGTAACATAGATGAAGAAAACGACGAAGATGACTACGAAGACGACGAAGAAGAGTAGTAAGAGTTGTGTGTGTTAATGTTAATCTTAACTTAAGCTACCTAATCCTTTTTACTATCAACATCTTCTAAATCCTCATAAACTCTGGTTTTCTTTGTGTGTTAACAATGATGTTATCTTAAGCTAGGAGTAGTAAGAGTTGTGTGTGTTAATGTTAAGATTTCACCAACGAATTTGCTTTTTCGGAGATTTTGTCCCAATGAACTGCAACAACAAAAGCAACTGGTGAGAAAATGATGACTTCTTTGAACTGTGACAGAGTTCCAGATACATTGCGAGAGATGCAACTAGAAACTGGTCATATCTCAGCTTAAAATCTACAAAGAGCATAACAAGCTGGCTAAGAGCTAAGTGTAAAATCAGAGATTCAACAGAACATAGAACCCAATGGTTTTGTGCGTTTTTCAGACCTTAGATTTCGCAAACCCCACCAGAAACAAACAATGGTTGCATAGACTTTCCTCTTTCTCAATTCTAGTAATCTATAAGCCAAAGCTGTTTTTGTTTGTACTCATTAGCCCATATTGTGATGGTCTTTAAAGATTGGGCTTTCTTTGGTTCATCGAAATGTTAAGCTTTTTCTTTTGTTAATTGGTTGAAACAGTCAAAAGTTAGATTTGTTTCACTCTGATGACACGATAAATTCATAACTTTTTGCTGCCAGCAAGCATTATCAGAAGAATCTCGTTTTCCAACTTTTTAATGTTGTCTTTTTTTGTCACTTCCCTCTGTTTTTTTTTTTTTTGTATTTGTTAATTCAACCAGAATGGAAAACCTATTGGCCGGCAAAAAAAAAGTTATCCAAGTAAGCAAAAAGAAGAATTACACGTGTCAATTTCACGAGATACGCCACAATAAGTGAACATGAAAATGTCAGACAATAAACCAATGAAAAGATGACACGTATATTGGTTTCTTGTAATTTATCTCGGAGCAGTACGCTAAAAAGGCTCGTCGTTTTTATCTCGGAGCAGTACGCTAAAGTCATCTTTTGCGTTAAGTTTGCATGCCTAGTGCCAAAGGTGATCCTATCCGATAAGGTTTTTTTTGGTAAATTTTTATCTGATAAGGTTACTGTATAATTTTCGTCAACTACCCCTCTTTAATTACTATATTATCACTTAAAACATTAAAAATATATATTATATAGTTGCAGAACATGTTATATATAATAAACTAAATCCCTCTTTTATCATAACGTCAATTTGAGACAATTAATGAGATATGTAAGCATAAACAATATTCATATTGAACAAGAAAATCTCCGGTTATAATTATACGTGTTGGTTGAAATGGTTACAAGATCGAAAGATTGTTCTTCTGATGAAAACCTTAAACCATAATTCATATGTTAGAAGATAAGGTAATGATTTAACTAAAGTTATCTAAGACGTGATTATGTTTTTGGTTTGAAATTAAACCAAAAAAAAAGAAGGTAAAGATGAGTCTTTTGGGAAAAAGAAAATTAGAATTCACTAATTATAATAGAATGCATAAAATACTGGTTAGAAACCGTAATTAGCGGTGTTGATTATCAAAATTGACTTCCACCATCGGTTTCAAAAGCTTGGTTTCACGAAGAAGATGGAGGAGGAGCAAGTTTAGACTAGTGGAGACAGATGAATCGAATTATGGTTGATTGTAGATTGTTTATTGTCGCTCATATGTTTCCTTCTTATGGGGTGTGATTCACGACAATACATTTTAACAAAATCTAATGGTCTACATTATAGGTATGATAGGGACTTTTCTCAATATCATGAATAGATTTCAGATTCAAGTTCTTGTTTCATGATTTTAGATTGTGGATGTCTTCTAGCTAGTAATCGTCTTTTAAACATGCCTTCTCCTCCTATAGAAGGGAAATAACACCTTACGTGTCGTACATGACTACAATATGGAACCGCACTGGTGATAGGATGAGACTGTTGATGAACAATATCTAACAAGTAACAAGATAATTAACGTTTAAACAACAAGATTTTAAGGAAAACAACAACAAGAACTAATGAACTATATACATTTATGGTCTAAGACATATGGGACCTGATACATGGAGAATCACTCAATTAAACCAAAGAACCTATCTTTTTCATTTGGTATACATGTGAAGACCAACTATTGTATGTAGAATATAACTCCGCATATTCTGTAAATAGCATACCAAACAATATACAAATCCTTTGATTTCGACCATAAGTCTTTAATTAGCACAAAAATAATTTACAAATAGTTATAACTTTTTGATATATTAACGACATTTTGTGCAACCATGTTTTGGTTTGAAAAGTTAAAAATGTGTGAAGGAGAAGAAGCTATACAAAAGAGAGTTTAAGTACAAAATAAAAAAGTTATTATGTCGGTGGGTTCATTAATAATTGAAACAAACAAAAAAAAAATAAAAATAAAGTAATTTTGTTTTATTTATTTTTGCATAACGAAGCATCTTCTTGTTTTACTTTCCTTCTATTTATTATCCATTTCCAGAGATTCCCTTCTGAGAGACAGAGAGATAACACCGAAGAACGAAAGAGAGAGAAAGAGAGAGATAGAGAGAAGATTCTGATCGGAAGAAGAGGATATGATGGACGGCGTTGGAGGCGGCACGGCGATGTACGGAGGTCTCGAGACGATGCAATACGTACGGACGCATCATCAACATCACTGCAGAGAAAACCAGTGTACCTCTGCTCTTGTCAAACACATCAAAGCTCCTGTTCATCTCGTAAGCCTCTCCAATTCACCACTAATTTCACCGATTTCCTAGTATTTTCTCTAATCTTGATCCGTCGATTTTGATCCCAACCATCGATTTAGGGTTTCTCCCAAATCTCTGTTTTAACGATTGAAATTGAATTTTGTTAGGTTTGGTCACTTGTGCGGAGATTTGATCAGCCTCAGAAATACAAACCATTTGTGAGTAGATGTACAGTAATCGGTGATCCTGAAATCGGGAGTCTTAGAGAAGTCAATGTTAAATCTGGTCTTCCTGCAACAACAAGTACTGAGAGATTAGAACTTCTTGATGATGAAGAACATATCCTCGGTATCAAAATCATCGGTGGTGATCACAGACTTAAGGTAATACGAGATATCAAATCTCATTGTTTGTTTGTTTACATACAGATTCTGTTTTGGATAAACGAGGATTTTGAAAATGTTGGTTTTCTCGCAGAATTACTCGTCGATTGTGACTGTGCATCCGGAGATAATCGAGGGAAGAGCAGGAACAATGGTGATTGAATCGTTTGTAGTTGATGTTCCTGAAGGTAACACAAAAGAAGAGACTTGCTACTTTGTTGAAGTACTTATCAGATGCAATCTCAAGTCATTAGCAGATGTTTCTGAAAGATTGGCTTCTCAGGACATAACTCAATTCACTACATAATCAATCAAGGCCAGTGAAGTGAAATATCAATCCTAGTTTGTTGTGATATTATCAAATTTTCTTCAGGATTTTTTGGTTTGGTCTAGAAATATACATATCCTCGGTAATGACCAGTTCTTAAAAGATGTATATATATATTTTCCAATGGTGAAGTTTTGATGTAAGATATCTTTTGGTGGGTTTGTTACCCCTTCCTTTGCTTTATTTGTAGATATTTTTGTAAAAAAAGAAGAAACAATGTAAATATGAATGGTTTATGATGTATAATATAGTTCACAAAAGAATTGGTGTTCAGGTTCCACTTCTCTGTTGAACAGAACCTATGACTAGATGCTGTGAAAATGTAAAGAATCTGTGGCAGAAAGTTGAAAACTTTGTGTCAATATCACCAAATTCAAAAGTTGAACACACAAGAGGGAGAGAGAGACAGACAGAGATTTTGAATTGAGATTTAACGGTAAAAACCCATTCTCCCCTATTCCCAAGTTTTCAATTTTCATCTAAAATAGGTGTCGAATGTAATAGTGTACACTGTCCAAGGGTAAATAAGGAACGACGGTAGTCTAAAAATCTTCTTCCTGATTAAACGGTGTCGTTTAAAAGAGTCAAACCCTCTATGTGAAGCGGCAGGTTTGGTGCAGATAAAGTTCTTCCGATAGAATCTTGACTGAAACAAACCATCAACTATTGGTGAAAAAAGACAGATTTTAAAATCAAAATTTTGGGGTCGAGCGGGAAAGTAAAAATCCGCCCCAATCTTCAAATCTTTTCGTATCTAGCGGGAAATTTCTCACCAGGTGAGTTTCATAATCGAAGTTTTCGTCTTTTCTAAGATCTCTCTTTCTGATTTTACGATTCGTCTCATGGTGCGATTTCTCGAGCAGTAATTAATGGCGAGAACCAAGCATTTCGCTACCAAGTCACGATCTGAGAATCGAACTGGTATCTTAAATCTGCTTTCTCTTTCATTTTACTTCTGATTTTACCCATAATTTTTTAGGGTTTTTTTTTTCCGATTTTCTGGTGTTAACCCTAGATTTCGAATCTGAAATTGTAGATGCCAATGCTTCATCTTCTCAGGCGGCAGGTCCGACGACGGTACATCATCTTTTTCTGTTTTAGGGTTTCGAATTTCAGATTCAAATATTCCTTATCACGTTATGATTTTGTCAAATTTGTTTATCCATTGAAATTGTAGACCCCGACAACAAGAGGCACTGAAGGTGGAGATAATACTCAACAAAGTGAGTTTTTTTTGGGTCATTGATGTTTTGTGAGATTATTAACACTTCGAATCTTTTTCCCTTTTTTCATCTTATCTGTTTGTGCTGTATGTGAAAATTTGTTCCTTTGTAACAATTGCAGCAAATCCTACAACTTCACCAGCTACTGGTGGAAGGGTAATGTTTTAACCATTGCTTATGAACTTGGATTTCTGTTATGCTGACAAATTCTCACTTGGTTTGTGAAGAGGCCTAGGAGAGCCAGACAGGCTATGCCGCGAGGTTAGTTTTTTTTAAACATCTCTTGTGATATCCCTCATAATGCAGGACATTTATTGTGTGTAAAATTAATCTTCGTGTTGTCCTTTTAGTTTCACAGAATAAGCCTTATCGATACAAGCCAGGAACCGTTGCTCTGAGAGAGATTCGACATTTCCAGAAGCAGACAAACCTTCTTATTCCAGCTGCTAGCTTCATAAGACAAGTGAGTTTCTCATGTTCTCTCTTTTTCCTTTGCTTACCAGTCATATTAAGTTTCACAACATAACAATATATACCAAGAGAGAACACAAGCCTTTTGGTGTTTGATGTGGCTAGTTTTAGGATTTGTACACCCACACAAATTGCAGCGAACTTGGTACTTGTTTCTTGTTTTCAACATGGATCCTATCTGAGCATCAATCCTGTGAACATTGTGATATAGCATTTTAACTAAAACTCAGAGGAATCATGAGGCCAAACCTCCGTTTAAGGAGCTTGTAATCTAGTTTGATTTTGAGGTTATTGGCTCATAGATTCAGAACCATATGATTCTGTAACTACAATACTTAACATGAATCCTTAGTGATATGGAAATGCTGATTTGTGTTCCAAACAACCTAGTTTTAAAAAAATGTCCAGGTGAGAAGTATAACTCATGCGTTGGCCCCTCCCCAAATCAATCGTTGGACAGCTGAAGCTCTTGTGGCTCTTCAAGAGGTACCATTCCTTCAACTTTTTTCTTGATACGAATGTATGAATATAGTCTATATAGATATAGAGAGAGTCACACACATCACAAATAATGTCATTTCCCCTTGATGACCCAATCAAACTTAATCACAAATTCTTTTTGGCAGGCTGCAGAAGATTACTTGGTTGGATTGTTCTCAGATTCAATGCTCTGTGCTATCCATGCAAGACGTGTTACTCTAAGTAAGTACTCAAAAAGAAGACATTTTTCAGTCTAAATTTAGGAATCACAGGCATACTTTTGTATCCCGTTGAATCATTAGTTACCATTTGAATATCATATAGAATATGCTTATCGATATCTGTTTTTTGTTGATATCAGTGAGAAAAGACTTTGAGCTTGCACGCCGGCTTGGAGGAAAAGGCAGACCATGGTGATAGAAACTCACTCATTATTCACATCTCTTACATTGTAAGTGAGGATCGAATAGTTAACAATATCTAGGTTGTAAAACAACCTAGATACAACCTAGATATTGTTGTAAAAGCTTTTACCAAAAAAAAAAAACTTTTACCTAGATAAACAACCTAGATGTTGTTGTAAAATCTTTTACCAAAAAAAAAAAAAAATTCTAGGTTGTAAAACTTCTTTCTCTATGTGTGTTTCTTATCTGCTTTTCGTTGGATTTGATTGTTTTCCATTGAGATTTCACTTGACAAAAACACAGTTTCTTTTGTGAAGTTCTAACTTCCAATGGTTCATGTATATAATAAGCCTCAGTTAGAAAGGGTTGTGATTGTAAAAAAAAAAAGTAAGAGTAAGATTTGAAAGAACATGTGTTTTGGGAGGGCTTTAGTAGAAATATCTCTCTGACTAGTGGATTCCCAATTTCAACTTTTGAAGGCATATTAAAAAGTTTGAGATATCCTTAGCACTTCAAATTTTATAATTCATATTGGTTTTTAAATGATATTCGCGTAATTGTGATATCATAGTGTTGTCATTAAAAAATCATATCATAAACTTCTAAAAGCTATAATTTCGAATTTAGTAATATGATTTTCATTGTCAACTCTTTAAGTATAGTTTTTTTTCTTTGCAAACCTTTATAGTTTCTCCTTTATCTTGGGTCCTCTATAGTCTCTTTTGTTTTATTTTTGACATCTTTTATGATCTCTCTGTACATTCTTAAAAATTCAATGCAGACCGGAAAAAAAAAACAGAATCGAGTCTGGTTAAAGTTGGATGCGCCCATGAATTATGCAACGCAATGGTCCCAACAAATTTAATCGTTTATGATTTCTCTAATTCATTCGTAAAAAAAAAAAAATCATATTAAGACCGAAAGAAAAATTAACTTTTTTATAATAAAATAAAATAAAATTGGAAGGGTCAAGCGAAGGCGTCATGAATCATGCGATGGTCCCAACAAATTAAATGAAATATAAAATCCACGTGTCATGTTCAGTTGCAACTGCATAGTTTGTTCAGTAATCAGTACGTTGCTCAACCTTTTTCTTTTTAAAAGGAGATTGATAATAAATACTCCCTCCGTATTTTAATAAATGTCGTTTTATGATTTTTTTTTTTAAAATTAGATATCGTTTTCAAATTTCTATGCAAAATTTATTATTTTTTAATGTTTTATGACGTCATAAAATATTAAAAAGAAATAAATTTTGCATAGAAATTTAAAAACGACATCCAATTCAAAAAAATAAAAATTCTAAAACGACACTTATTAAAATACGGAGGGAGTATAATAAACCGAACAAAATAAAAAGAAAGCATGGAATAATAAATTTTGCGACGTGAATTAATGGAGGAATAAAGGGAATATCCACGACGTTAAATTAATTTTATATTCAACCCTAACTAACTTTCAACTTACTTTTTGATAGTTCTACCAATATATTTCATTAAATTGATAAAATTTAGTTCAATTGTAAATATATTATTAGACTTCTTAAATGTTAAAATCAAGTGTTTCTCCTAATGCATACTCTATATACATTGATGAATATATTGATAATTACAATCTTTTTCATACAGATCATTGTACATTTGTACTCAACATAGGGTTGATTAATATGAACTTAATTACGATTTAATTTAATTATTTGCGTACATATATAAAACATCAAGTCGTATCATATTTTAAAGTGAAAATTTCTTTATTTTAAAAGCAATTAGACAAGAACATGACGAAGCAAATGATGTAATATAATGAAACATGTCTTATGATTCTCATTGGTTCTCAACGTAATCACTCAAGCATTGGCACACATACTGACATATATTGGCTGCCACCCATAAGTTGCTAAATTAATTAATAAGAATACTATTTAATAATTTAAGTTAAATCCGATTTAAGGAAAATAATGTACGATATACATCATACATGATTTCTTAATGTGGAAACCGACCAAACCGGTCGTTAAACTCTGCCCCTATAAATAGAGAATAGACTTCATGTTCTTCCCTTAAAATCCATCATTCTCTCTTCCTCACTCCCTCTCTTTACCTTAAACCGTACCAAACAGTATTGATTGATAAAATTGCACGGTACGATCGTAAATCTTGGTATAGCTAGTAAGGTGTCTTTTGAGATGGATACGCAGCGTAAGTCGAAGCATCTCAAGACCAATCCAACCACTGTTGCCTCTTCTTCTGAAGGTAAAGCTCTCTCAGCTAACTCATGATCTCCACGATACAGAGTCGTTTTGATTTTACTTTTTTAATTTTACTTTATAATAATATATAATAAATGTGAAATTTGGATGATGGCGTGGGATAGAAGTGAGCAGTCTTGAGTGGGAAGAAATAGCAATGGCTCAAGAAGAAGAGGATTTGATTTGCAGGATGTATAAGCTTGTCGGTGAAAGGTTTTTCATTCTTCCTCTTTTTCGATCCTTAACTATTTTTTGGTAAATCTTTCAATATGTGATTTTAATAATTAAGGGAGTTAATTAAGGTTAGTTTTTTGTTTGTAAAGGTGGGATTTAATAGCTGGGAGGATTCCAGGAAGAACAGCAGAAGAAATTGAGAGGTTTTGGGTGATGAAGAATCATCGGAGATCTCGATTACGTTGATTAATGCCAACTCTTTAATCATTTTTATAATAATGAAAAAAAGAAGAATGAAATATACATCGACATATATTCGTTGGTAATTCTGCAGTTTTGTTCGTGAGTTTGAAGTGGTTGTATTTCGGGGTTTATATGATGTGTTTCTACGTTTTTTGATAAAATCACGAATGGAACCTTTAATAATTTGAAGATAAATTAATCAACATTAAAATAATTTATGGACATACCCTAATTTGTATGCTTGTTGCTCTGACCTCTGAGGCATATGAAAGATTGTTGGGCCTTAAAAAAACACCCCATATGCAAATTAGGCATGTGATAAAACCGTTTCCCATGTACAAAACTAGGCATGTGATAAAACCGTTTCCCATGTACAAGTTTCATATACAGCAGTACTAACAAGATCCAAAACATATAAATTGATTTCAAATGCATACAAACATTTATTATCATATTAAATAAAGATAACGTAATCTAGTAAACAGATGAAAGTAGGAGATTTTCTGTTGTACAAAGATCATTTTGACTCTGACAAGGTCAAAGTACAGTTTATTATATGTTGGTGACTCCTTGCATCATAATGCATAAATTGAAACATTTTGATCTTGAGCATAGTAGTGTAGCTCTCAAACTCACATATTTTAAGTATATAATACCATTTAATGGGACGTCTCTTGGTTGATTTCTCGCTGGTGGTCTTTCCACTTTAACAAAAGTTCACTAAATGACTTGGTGGAGAATCCATCGTCTCCCAAGACTTTAACAACTCCTTGTTTCAACTCCTTCATTTTATTCCCTATGGCTTTTCCTTCTTCTCCTTCCATCAGTCCCTTCACCACTCTCACCACTTCTTCCCTCCGTACAATCCCATCTCCACCCGCATGGATTCTTAGAGCCGCTCCAACATCCTCCACGAGAAGCAATGCATTCATCTTTTGCTCCGCGAATAAAGGCCATGCTATGAGTGGTACACCGTTTACAATGCTTTCTAAGGTCGAATTCCATCCACAGTGTGTTAAAAACCCGCATGTGGATGGATGAACCAGGATTTGAACCTGTGGAGCCCATGACCGAACCACCAGACCTTTCTCTTTGGTTCGGTCTAAGAATCCAATTGGTAAAAACGAAAAGGGGTCGGTTTGGCTGTGTGGATTGAAATATGACGAACTAGCCACTCCGCTTGGACTTCGTATGACCCAAATAAACCGTTTATCGCTCTCTGCAAGACCAAGAGCAAGCTCATTGAACTGCTCAACTGTGAGTGTTCCGCCGCTTCCAAATGATATATATAGAACCGAGCCGAATGGTTGCTTGTCTAGCCAATCTAAACATTCGGACTTGTTGTCCACGTTAACATCAGATGAACTTGTGTTAACCAGCGGGCCAATTGGGTAAACCAGTGGTTTATCAGGAGCCGGTTCTTGTAAAGCCTTTATAGCATTCGGCTCTAAATCGACGAATGAATTCACTAGAATCCCTTTAGCTTCTTTGTACCTCTTGGTGTTATGGAGAAGCAATTTGTATGCGTCATCGTTTCGGTCTTGAACCGTATCAAGAAAGTCCTTACCGGTTACCGGGACACAGCCGGGAATCTTAACCGGTTCGGTTAAGTACCTAAACTCACACGACACCGTTTCGTCAAGTTTCGGCAAGTGAAGAAAAAACGACAAGACGTTGGCATTTGATGCATAGAAAATGTATGGTGACACGTGGAAGTCAACGGCCACATCGAAAGCATCCGTACCAAACATATCGACGACGAGAACCGCCGGGAGACGTTTCTTCGTTGATAAGGAGCCAAAAAGCTCCCGGAGCGCCGGATTGGAACGAGTCATGGTGAGCATGACCCGAGTTTCGATTCGTGCTGTGGAGGGAACATCGGAAAGATCGGCGGGAGGGAGAAATACGGAGGCTATAGAGGAAGGGAGAGAGTTGAGAACGGATCTTTGTGCCTTAGACGGCGAAGATTCACTGGAGATGATCAATGTGACGGTGAAACAGTCGTGCTCAACGAGTCGCTTAGCTAACTCGACGAATGGGATGAGGTGACCCATTCCGGGACTCGGTATGATGGCTATATGTGGAGTGTTTGCTTTTGCCATTAATGCAAGATTCAAGAGTGTGAAATCAATAGGATTATTTGATAATTTCTTCTTATTTCTTGTTTTCTTGAAAAATATTTATGCTCATTCCTTTTATTAATGGTACGTAGTAGCTTTATAGATCATGCTCGTGGTTATAGTTCTTTGGAATTTCCTTTTTTTGTTCTTATCTTTTTTTGGTTCGTTTTGTATGGACTTTATAAGAGCACCCCCAATGGGTAATTTTTTGGGTTCTCTCAATCAGTTCTCTTCAAAAACAATTTCAAAAATAAATCAAAATCAAGATATAAGAAGAGAGACAGCTCTTTTGTGAGAGCTTTTGAGAGTTAGGAGAGCCGACGACGTGGCAGCTTCTCTTCCGTAGATCACAGTTCAGGCACCAAGCTTCAATTTCACGCAAAGGATTGGCAAAATGGTGAGTGAGAGAGATGGATGATAGATGTAATATTCAAATTGCTGGTGTTGAATATCGAAGAGAAGACGAAGAGTGGCTATGGCTCTCGTGTCGTTGTTGGTCGCGTCTGAAATTGGATCGAATCGTAGAGCCGGTTTCACGATCCCTTCCCTCCACTTCACGGAGTCGTCGGAGAATTATTTGGGCCAAAAGCCTGTTATTTGTGTCATATAAGTCCACTAGGCCCATTGGCTAATTATTTGATTAATATTGTACTACCTATTTAACTTAACTAATGGAACCTTATAATTATGTTGTGATTGACTAATTATTTAGAAACGGAATTATGTTATTTTCTATCTTTCTTTTACAACATTTAAACTTTGACATGTTTGAACATTTATTCTGTGGCAACAATCAATAGAATAACTAATTGTTTTTTTTTTTGTAAATTTATTTTTAAATGTATGAAATTATTGTATGTTTAATATGCTATGAATTGTAATATTTTCAGTTTTATGAAATAAAATAATTTAAATAATAATTTAATTTTTTCCTGAGAACCCCACCATTGGACTTTGCAAAATTAAAAAAATTTAACAGAAACTCTCATCTCATAAATTTGAAAATTTTATTCTTAAAAAAATGGTGAGAGCCCATGGAGGACTCTCACCATTGGAGATGCTCTAAAGCTACTATACGTACCATTTGGAATTTCCTTTTTTTGTTCTTATCTTTTTTTGGTTCGTTTTGTGTGGACTCTATAAAGCTACTATACGTACCATTTGGGTACAAGCCAAGAAAAAGGATGTGTGTGGAATTTTTTAATTTTTTTTTTTTTGAGAAAGGATTTTCTATTAAAAACCATGAGAAATAAAATGATACAAAACCAATAAGGCCCAGTTCAGCCAATAAGGCCTAGTTCAGCCAAGTGGCCCAACACACATTAAAAGTAACTATTTTCGAATCAGTTAAAAGCAGCCCATTAAGGGATAGTGCAGTCCGGTGTTTGTTTAGAGAATCTTCAATATTTCGTAATGCAGATCCTCCGGCGACTATTCCGGCGTCTGTAACCCTAATCTCGTCCACGTAGCCATCACACTCGACATCGTTTACCTCCGTGGCTCAATCGCAGCCGTGAATTCAATCCTGCAACACTAATTGTGTCCTGAAAGCGTCTTCTTCCACTTCCTCGTCTCCTCCGAGATTCAAAACCTAGAATCTCTAATTCGTTCAACTTTCCCCAAACCTAGAAGCTTCCATGTCCTTTAGACACATTGTGGGCACCTTATGATTTGTATGAACACTCCCATTGATGTCGATTTCCGAGTTCAACATACTGATCGGTAAAATCTCTATAGGTCGTAAAAGCAGATGAGAACTCTGTTTATATGATAATCTTGTGGACTCTTAAAATTTTCCCAAATTGTGATCAACTTCGTATAGAAACTTGTTTAAGACCATACAATTTCTGCTCAATCTGATAAAACTTTGGAACAATACTCTCTGCTTTAATCGTTTCAGCAATCTTTCCCATGTACCACTAGCTCATTTCACAAAGAGAAAGATCTTGCCTACTGTCTCTCTCTCCATAGATCTTTGATTGGGTGTAGTAAGTTGTCTTGTGTTGCCTACGTCTTCTTTTTTAAGATATTTTTATGGTTGCTTGCTTAGCAAGAAACTTAATAAAAAGGCAATAAGAAAACAGAATGGAAAGAATTTTAAATTGGGAAAAGATGGGATTTAGATCATTGTATAGTTTGGGATTGATTGTGGAGATTTTCATGGTTTTGCTGCTTTTATATATAAACTAACTCAGAATTTTATGGAACTGAATATTTTCAATGAAAACAATAAGTATGAAATAACCTAATCTACACAAATGGGTTTCTAACCAATAAATGATTCATCTCGTTGGTCTGCAATTCATTTTACATAGCATTGCAAATATCATGATGGGTTAACCAACAAATTTAGGTTTCTTATAGAACCAAAATCAAAACCAGAAGTAGTTTTCTTGGAATTCAGAAAAGCAAAGCAAACCAAACCAAACCTAAATGAAGTTTATATGGAAAGTTTTTACTAAAGATTGTCATCCAAAGCTGAGTGATCCTGATCAGGTGCTGTGATCTCATCATCTTGGCGTTTATCATCAGAAGCTGATGACATGTCTGGTTCTTGGGTCACTGTTCCCGGTACATCAACAGAAGGCGTGGAGCCATGGGTGGTTGTGGTAGTAGTGTTGCTGTGAGTGGCTGTGGGAGTTTTGAGGTGAGCACTCCTCAGATCCTTTTTCCTTTGTCTTTCTATGCTTAGTTTAGGATAAGCTACTTCACTGGTGCGACTCTGCAGGATGATTACACAAAGAGTAATCTTATTGTTTTGAGTTTTTGGTTTTCGAAACAAAAAGGTCAATCATACATGGAAAATTGGGTTGAGATCTACTTACATCATCCCCTGAATTCTGATGATCACAGGAGAGTTGCTCGGAAGCTTGTCTTGGTGGAGAGCTCGTACTGAGGGTGAATGGTTCAGCAGAAACCTAATGAACACAAGTCGTAAAAGCAGATGAGAACTCTGTTTATATGATAAATCCAGAGTAGCTAGTGATACAAAAAAGTGTTAAAACCTTTGGTGCACACGGACTGTTTGCTGGCATGGTTCCTTTTCCAGATGAAGAAGGCAAGTCTGGTTCTTGCGGTCCATACCATTGAAACTCCACACCCGAGCAAAGCTCTTTGAAAACTGGCAGTCTTATTCTATATCTTGTATGAGCAGAGCCCGGTTCAGCAGAAGCTGACGGTTCTTGCGTAGCTGTTGTTGTAGAAAGTGAAGACAAGTCTGGTTTTGGCGAGGAGCCGTGGGTGGTTGTGGAATTGCTGAGATGAGATTCTTGTAATTGAAGATGTAGTGAACTCTGACCCTGCAGATGAACAAACACAAAGAAGTGGCTGGCTGGTTATATTTGACTCTGCACTTGAGAGAATACAGAAAGCTTTAGGAATGAAACCTTACCATGGGAAAGGTCTTGTTGATTTGAGGACTCTGCTTTGGCATTGAACCATGGGTGGCTTTAGGAGCTTTGAGATAAGCGGTCCTCAGGTCCTTTTTGCTTTGAATTGTGCCAGTTAACTTAGGAAATTCATCTTTAACGTTGGGAGATTCTTGTAACGGAACAAGTGGTGATCCCTGATCCTACAGGATGAACAAACACAAACAAGTGGTTATATGATTCTTCATAATAACTTAAGAGAGCACCAAAAAAGAAGCAAAACTTACCGTTTGGTTGCTTTGGGTACTCTGCTTTGGCGTTTCGTCAGACCCATGGAGAGATGATGCAGACGCGGATTCTGCACGATGAACAAACACAAAGAAGAAGTGGTTTTGGTTATATGATGAACAAACACAAAGAAGAAATATACAAAAAACAAGAACCTTACCATCTGGTTTCTTTGGCGTTACGTCATCCACCTCGTTCCTCACAAATGGCTCGTTTTTGTCCATCAAGGCACTTGAAGAAGAATATGCGAAACCTACAAGATCCCATTACGTACCACCACGAAGATTCAGATTTCTGACGATGCAGATTATAAAGGCATAATAATCTACCAAAGAGTATCAACGACTGATCAAGAAGAAGCAAAGATTCCGATAACCATTGATCAAGAAGAAGCAAAGATTCCGATCCTAAAATCAGTTAACCATGAACAAACCGGGAACTATCCTAACCGATTCAACCCAGGATCATCAAGATTTGAAGAAAGCAAAACCCATTCGATCACAAAGGAGTAGTTAAGAATCAAGTTTCGCATGAACCATAACTGGTAACGAAGATGATAACTCGTAATATAACCTAATCATAAGAAAGAACCAAAATAGGAATATAAAGATCGTGCCTTTGCTTCTTTGAAGAAGATGCTTGCTCCGGAAGAGAAGAGGGAACAAAAAAAGATCAGAGTTTAAACGGAAACGAGTCAAGTGTCAGTGTTATTTATACACATCTAACTGAAAAAAATAACTAATAAAAGGTTCCGTGATCATTCATTTAATTAATATCCGTGATAATTTAATTAATAATTTATTTTCCCTTGAACGTTTCTATGTACAATTATCAGATTGCACTTGGGTGTCCTGTCCTCTAATTCAAAAAGTGCGAAATGTGTTTATTGTTTTTTTTTTTTTTTTTTTGACAGCTATTGTTTTTTTTTCTTTTTGAAACCAGAGATGATAAATAAATTAAGGAACTTTTTGAAAAACTAATGATAAAAATTCAATTTTTGAAAGTTATAAAGACATCATAAAATACAAATTTTAAAAATTTGTAGGGTCACGCAATTTTTCAAGTGGTTGTCTTAAATTTGGTATACGTGTAGAGCCTAAACCTGATCCGGTTTAGGGGAGAATTCTAATCAATTAATGATTTCGTCTGAGCAGTTTCATTTGTCTTTGATTTTGGCTCTGTTTTTTCTTTAATTGGTGACTTGGTCTGTATCGACTTTTATTTAATTCAGTATTTGAATAATTTGATGACAAATATATATATATAATTATTTGATGACAAATATATATATATATATAATTATTTGATGACATATATATATATATATATATATATATATATATATATATATATATATGGAACTTCTTTTGGTAATTTTTCTTTTTCTGTTTCAATTGGATATTGTTTAACTTTTATAATGGAAAATCTTATCTAAGTAGTTACGAACAAAATATTTACAAAATCTTAATGCGAAAATCAATCCAACTTCGATATTCTAATTAGGAATACAAACAGCCCTAACTCTATAAATACCAATCCAACATTCATAGTTCATCTCCATACACAATTGACTAATTAATTCCTTAAAATTATGGAGAACATCTATGACAAAACTCAGCCACATACCAGGCGCTTGCATAGACTAATGACTAGTTCCGAAGAAGTTGACATGCACGATTTTCTTAGGGTCTTCTTTAGGTCAGATGAAGTCCCTAAGTTTGCGAATATACTAGCGTTAGATTTGGATCTCTTCGTCAAAATCATTAGAGACGAAGTAGGCTTGAGTCGCTTCATGAAAATATTCGGAATATCAGACGATATCAACACAATCCTTCTCAGCCCTATCATGATGAGATTCGATGAGATTATGACTCATGAACGCGGCTATGATTTGGCGTCACAAGTACTAAACGTTTGCAACGTACATCACAAGAAACTCTTTTGCCATATCACGTACCGTCACTTGTTGGTCTTGTCGAGTGACGAAAACGGTTGCATCGTACTCAAGAAAGTTATAACAATAGCTGATGATTTCTGGAAAGATGAATTCCTTGACCTAATCGCACAGCACGCTCACTCGCTAAGCATGCACGACTTAGGAATCTCCCTAATCCAACACGTGCTTGAGCTTGATTTTACAAAGAAAACCACACAAGACGACGCGCGCTTGCACGAGCTAATGGCTGAGTTTGATGATGCTCTATCTGCATCTGATATAGCAGATGATCAGCTCCATAAGCTTGCCTCGAAGCTTATGTTAGATTCTGATCTCTTTTTCGAGTTTGTCACAACAAGACGAGGCTCGCTCATGATTCAGATTATCCTAGGAAAATCCGAAGAAATCGACAAAGTTCTTTTGGCAGCAGTGAAGCAAAGGTTCATCGATGTCACAACCGACTTTTACGGTTATCGCATCATGATACGAACCATAAACGCTTTCAAGAAAAGAGGTGATTTGAAAGTGTATGATCAAATCCTACGCCTAATAGGAGTCCACGCACTCTACCTAACAAAGGACCTTGATGTGGGAAACTCCACGGTTCAACGGGCCATTAATCTACACCACCAAGATTGTACGACATTCATCGCGTGTGGGCTTCAATGTCACTACATAGAGCTTTCGTTTCTGAAACATGGAAGCAAAATTGTGGAGATGCTTATCGATGACCGTATTTCGATGGTGCCTTTGGTTCTAATCATGATAGAGATTGTCAAATGTGATGAAGATACGTTGGTGAGATTGGCTAATAATGAATATGGAAATAACATTTTGAAAAAGACTCTGGAACTTGCGAAAGAGCATAGGGCTGATTTCTTTGGTGATCTTGTTGACAAGCTGAATCCTTTACTTGATAGCTTGCGCGGGTCTCTCGGAGAAAACATTGTAGCTATCATCGACTCAGAGACAGAGACGGTGAAGGATCGAATTGTTTCACAAGGAAATAATTAGTTTTTTTTTTTTGCATAGCTTTAGATGATTAATCAGGTTTTTATTTTCGATTTTGTGGTTAATTAGTGATTTTTTTTTTATAACTATTCGATCTTAAAGTTTGGATTTGCACCTAGTAGGGTGTTACAAATAATTTTTACTATTAAAGAATTGATTGGATATCTACTCAACAAATGAAAATAGGTTACCTTCGGATCTATTTTGATGTGTAACATTTTCTTTATTTATTTATTTATTTTTATTTTTTTGATGTGTAACATTTTATGTGTAACACTTAATGTGTAACATTTTATGTCAACTAACAGAGTTTATTTATATATAAGACAAACAGAATATTCATATAAATGATTTTTTAATACAATCTCGTTCCTATTCTTGGTCGATCTTTCGTTGGTGGGCTCTCCACTTCAACGAAACTTCATTAAGTGATTTCGTAGAGAATCCATCGTCCCTTAAGACTCTAAGCCAAACTGATCCATCGTCCCTAATAGCTCCTTCTTTCAACTCTTTCATTTTATTCCTTACCGCTTTCCCTTCTTCTCCTTCTATCAATCATTTGACCACTCTCACCACTTCTTCCCTTCCTACGATCCCATCTTCACCCACTAGTAGCAATGCGTTCATCTTTTGCTCTGCGTATAATGGCCATGCTATGAGCGGTATACCGTTAACAATACTTTCTAGAGTCGAATTCCATCCACAATGCGTTAAAAATCCACCTACAGATGTATGAGTCAGAATTTGAGTCTGTGGAGCCCATGACCCAACCACTAGACCTTTTTCTTTGGTTTGGTCTAAGAACCCTTGTGGTAAAAACGAAAATGGATCAGTTTGGCTATGTGGATTAAAATACGATGAACTAGCTATCCCGCTTGGACTTCGTATGACCCAAATAAACCGTTTTCCACTCTCCGCAAGACCAAAAGCGAGTTCATTGAACTGTTCACACGTGAGTGTTCCGCCGCTTCCAAATGATACGTATTGAACCGAGCCGAATGGTTGGCTGTCTAGCCAATTTAAACACTTGTACTCATCGTGCACGTTAGCATCGTATGAACCCGAGTTAACCAACGGCCCAATCGGGTAAACCGGTGGTTTATCAGGAGCCGGTTCTTGTAAAATCTTTATAGTGTTAGGCTCTAAATCGATGAAGGAATTCACTAGAATCCCTTCAGCTTCTTTGAATCTCTTGACGTTGTGGAGAAGCCATTTGTATGAGTCATCGTTTCGGTCTTGACACGGATCGACGAAATCTTTACCGGTTATAGGGATACAACCGGGAATCATAACCGGTTCGATTAAGTCCCTAAACTCACACGACACCGTTTCGTCTAGCATTGGCAAGTGAAGCAGAAACGTGAGGACGTTGGCATTTGATGCATAGAAAATGTATGGCGACACGTGGAACTCAATAGCCACGTCGAACGCATCCGTACCAAATATATCGACGACGAGAACCACCTGGAGACGTTTCTCCGCCGATAACGAGCGAAAAAGCTCCCGGAGCGCCGGGTTGGAACGAGTCACAGTGAGCGATATCCGAGTTTCGATTCGAGCCGTTGATGGAACGTCGGAAAGATCGGCGGGAGGGAGGAAGAAGGAGGCTATGGAGGAAGGGAGAGAGTTGAGAACGGATCTTTGAGCCTTAGACGGAGGAGAATCGCCGGGGATGACGAAAGTGACGGTGAAACCGTGATTGTCAACGAGTCGCTTTGCTAACTCGACGAGTGGGATGAGGTGACCTATACCGGGACTCGGTATGATCGCTACATGTGAACTGTTTGCTTCTGCCATTTTTGCAAATGATTAGAGAGTGTGTGGGATTAATAGTACTTGTTATTTGTGTTTACTTATTCTAAGGTATGTAGTGGCCTTATATAGCATTATCAATTAACCTAAAAAATATTAATTTTGCTTGTCTACTCCCGTCCAATAAATTTATTTTACAAATATTTAATTTTGTAATATTGCTAGGGATTAAAATAGTAATTTTTGGGATATATTTTATTTTGTTTTGGTTCATTTATTGATCTGTTTGGTTTTGTGTGGACCCATGTTAAAAAAATCGCTAGCCGCTAGTCGGACGGTGAGGATGGGCCTAGTGACTAGCAAGAAAATCGGAGACTAAACGGAGATTAATCATGGATTAGTTTTAAGGCTATTTAATATTTTAAAAACATATTAATCCATTATATATAAATAAGAAATTTATATAATATTGTTTTTAAAACTACATTAAACACATGAAAACAAAAATTTAAGGTCAAAGTTATGATTTTTATACAAATTATGAATATATGTAGGACTTTTTGACTTTTAGATAAAAAAAAATAATTATAAAAAAAATTAAAAAAAAAATTGAGGTAGGCGCCGTCTAAGCGGATTAGGCGGACTCTTAGGCGGTCTAGTTGGACAAAATCGCTGTGGTCTCTATCTGATCAGCGTCTATATGGCCGCCTAGACGGCTATGCGGTCGATTTTTAGAACAGGGGTGTGGACTGTGGAGTGTATTGGTGTGTGGGCAAAACTTTGAAGATAAATAAAATAAGAAAATAGACAAGTAATATAATCGATTAATATATTGTTTTTCGTATATCGTGAATCGTGAGGTTATATTAAGACGATCGAATAACGACAAGAAAAAAGAAATAAAAAAAAGACTATCATGTGATATAATTGTTTTTTTCCTTTTCTGGCGTTTTATAAAAATGTCATTGTCAGAAGAAATAAATATTCGTCAGGGGCGGCTCAATAATTTAATAGGCCTTTTGTTGTGCAGATCTTAGTAATGGGCCTAAAAGGCTAAAATTGATGTGCTAAGTATCAGAAGCCCACTGGGGCTTATCCTTGCTCCTAATTGTAGTATATTCACCGAGTTCTCAGTTCTCAATATCAAATGAATCTAATGAAGATACTGCTACAAGATTGTACTGCTTCCCAGTCTCTTCCTGGTGATGTCTCTCTTTCTCAGGCCTCACTGATCTCTCCACTTGGTATCAGTGTTTTGTAATGCCTATCATTCAACAGCAAACTGTTAACCACTAGAGCGAATGAACCAGTAATAGCACCAACAGATACAATCATAGGGATAACTAAAAAGATTCAACTCTTTTGGTGCAATATTTGCGATGCGAGGATGTCCGGTCACATTGCTCCCTGCTTTTAATAAGCCATAACAATATGCACTTAAACGTAGAACACATTTTAGAGATCTAGCAGCATTAGAACAGCATCATCCATAACTTGTTGGCTTGAAAACAATCTCTGCACTTGTAATTGCCGGACTTTCCATAGCACAAGGATCATTGTGCTTTGGACCTTATATAAACTTGGAGCTATTGCTGTCCTGCAAGAGATTGACGGGAAAGTGTATGTAACATTTCATATATATATTCTTTCTTGGTGAACTAATAGTAAAGAGGAGAAGCATTGCTAGGGAGAGCTTTTAATGAAGGGTTTGATTTATAAGATATCAAGTTTATTATTATCACTAGTAATAATAAGAACAGAGAGACATGAGATGCTTAACTCACCCACCTTATGAACCTGTCAAAGATTTAAACAGAGTAGTGTATCGTAAGAGGTGGTAAAATCTCTGGAAACACACCCCTATGGTTGCAGTTTCTATCAGATTTGCTATCACAAAACTAAAAAGCTGAGAAAATATTACTACAATCTTTGTGAGGGAGAGACATTAAGCTCAAGTACGGGTAACCGACATAGCAGATTCTATCACCTCAGAGCCATGGAGTTGTAGATGTAGACGTCAAATTTTGAGAATCTGCTTCTCGCTCCATAAACTGGTTCTGCATTAGGAGGAGAATTAAAAAGATAGTAGAGGCTTCAAAGAAGACAAAGCTTGCCTCTTCTTCTTCCATGTTGTTCTCGAGTTGCAGGATTGCAGGTTCAAAGATGGAAATCGGCTATTGCAGCCCAATTCTGTAAAAAAAGAAACATTCTTTAAGTTCACAAAAAAAAAAAGGAAACAATACAACTCTTCGAAAAAAGGAAACAATCTAAAATTTAACAAAAAAATGGAAATAACATAACTCGTGGAAAACAAAAAGGAAACAATCGAAAGTTTCCTTTTTTTGGAAGAAGCTAATGCTTATAAATACACACCTGAGAGAATGCTAATCTCCAACATCACTTATTCTCTCTTCTTCCTTGAGAAATCAAAGCAAACCAATGTTTCTTTTTGGTTCCGTTCTGTTCTAATACGGGGGTATTTTGGGAATTGCGTCTTTTTCAACGTCTCTTTCGTCTGTTGGGTTTCAAATCAAGTAATCTGATCGAGTGTGTGTGTTCGATTTCTGATGCAAAACAACAAAATCGATATTTGTTTTTCGGTGAATGATGATCGGAAAGCAAAAGTGAAGACTCGCCGACAAAAACTCTCTGATTTCAAAAGGTATTTTTCTTATCTTCGAATACAATTTTGAATTGATTTCTTAACTACTTTCAAAAGATTCCTAATACAGTTTCTCTTCTCCTCCTTTTGTAGATTTGCCATCTTTTCTCCGGCTTTTCGTCGTGGTTGTTGCTGCTCTGTTTTGTGTCGTAACCGTAACCATTAGAGAGACGATCACAATTTCTCATTCACTGCCATGTCATCGAAATTCTTTCAGCCCAACAAGAATAAAGAAGTCCAGCCCATGACGATAATCGTCTCACATTCCAACTTATCGGCAAGGTCAATTTCTATCCCATGTTTTTGTTTTTTTAACACTTGTTTTATTTTTTTATTTTTTTATAAGTGTTAAATTTTTAATTTTGTGTAAACTAATTGGATACAACATCCAAACCCCTAAGAGGTGTTCTAGGTTCAATATGGTTTGCACATAATTAAAATTTTTAACACTTGTTTTTTTTAATGTTTTTTTTTTAAGTGTTAATTTTTTTAATTTTGTGTAAACTAATTGGATACAACATCCAAACCCTTTAAGTTGTGTTCTAGATTCAATATGATTTACAAATAATTAAATTTTTAACACTTTTTTTTTCTAAAATGTTTTTTTTTTATAATTGTTAAATTTTTTAATTTTGTGTATACTAATTGGATACAACATCCAAACCCCTAAGAAGTATTCTAGGTTCAATATAGTTTACACATAACTAAAATTTTAACACTTTTTTTTTAATGTTATGTTATTTTTATTAGTGTTAAATTTTTAAACCCCTAAGAGGTGTTCTAGGTTTAGTATCGTTTACAAATAATTAAAGTTTTAACACTTGTTTTTTCTTTAAACATTTTATTTAAAAACTTTTTTTTTTGTTAGATGTAAATTGTTTTTTAATTTTGTGTAAACTAATTGTATACAACATACAAACCCCTAAGAGGTGTTCTAGGTTTAATATGGTTTACACATAATTAAAATTTTGACACTTGTTTTTTTTCCTTAGAATTTATTTAAAAATTTATATTTTTATATTACTACTAAAACTTTAAATTTTTTTATTTTAAAAATAATATTTGGATAAATTTTTTTTATAAGTGTTAAATATTTAATTTTGTATAAACAAATTGGACACAACATCCATATGCCTACGAGATGTTCAAGGTTCAACATGTTTTACACATAATATAAATTTAACAATTAATTTATTTTTTACTCTATTTCCTTTTTTTTAATATTGATTAAATTTACAGTTTTTAAGGTTTTACAAATAATATTTTAAATAAATTGCTTTAAGTTATACATATTGGATTTCTTAAAACTTATTTCTTTTATTTAAAAACGCTTTTTAATTTCTATCAGTATTTAAACTTTAATTTTTTTTTATTTTTTAATTAATATTTTAGATAAACTGTTTTATTTTTTTTAAGTATGCATAAAACTTTTATTTAAATTTCTTTTAAGGGATAAAATTTTAATTTTGTGAAAACAAAGTGGACACAACATCCCGCCCATAATTTTGTCTTTAAGAGGTGTTCTATGTTCAACATGTTTACACATAATATATAGGGAGACTCACAAAAATGCCCCTTTTTCAATACCTCTTTTCAAAAATGCCCCATTTGGCTGTTCATTTTTAAAAATACCTCTTTTTATGTACAAAATGACTAAATTACCTTTTTTTAATAAAAGATATCACAAATATATAAGGAAAACATGAGAATGTTCACACATCAAAATTACAAATTTGATTTTGTAAAAACTTGTAAAACCTTTAAAATACCTTGTAAAATTTTTCCGTAAAAATTTTTCCCGCCAAAAATTATTTTTTCCGGGAAAAGTGATTCTGCAATTTTTTTGGCGTTAAATTTTTGGCGGGAAAAATTTACAAGGTATTTTAAAGGTTTTTTACAGATTATTTATAAGGTTTTACAATGTATTTTAAAAGGTTTTACAACGTATTTATAAGGTATTTATAAGATATTATAAGATTTTACAAGCTATTTTATAAAGTTTTACAAGTTATAATGTTTTACAAGTTATAATGTTTTACAAGTTTTTTATAAGGTTTTACAAGTTATAAATACCTTATAAAACCTTATAAGTACATTGTAAAACCTTTTGTTGTGCAGATCTTAGTATTGGGCCTAAAAGGCTAAAATTGAGGTGCTAAGTATCAGAAGCCCACTGGGGCTTATCCTTGCTCCTAATTGTAGTATATTCACCGAGTTCTCAGTTCTCAATATCAAATGAATCTAATGAAGATACTGCTACAAGATTGTACTGCTTCCTGGTGATGTCTCTCTTTCTCAGGCCTCACTGATCTCTCCACTTGGTATCAGTGTTTTGTAATGCCTATCATTCAACAGCAAACTGTTAACCACTAGAGCGAATGAACCAGTAATAGCACCAACAGATACAATCATAGGGATAACTAAAAAGATTCAACTCTTTTGGTGCAATATTTGCGATGCGAGGATGTCCGGTCACATTGCTCCCTGCTTTTAATAAGCCATAACAATATGCACTTAAACGTAGAACACATTTTAGAGATCTAGCAGCATTAGAACAGCATCATCCATAACTTGTTGGCTTGAAAACAATCTCTGCACTTGTAATTGCCGGATTTTCCATAGCACAAGGATCATTGTGCTTTGGACCTTATATAAACTTGGAGCTATTGCTGTCCTGCAAGAGATTGACGGGAAAGTGTATGTAACATTTCATATATATATTCTTTCTTGGTGAACTAATAGTAAAGAGGAGAAGCATTGCTAGGGAGAGCTTTTAATGAAGGGTTTGATTTATAAGATATCAAGTTTATTATTATCACTAGTAATAATAAGAACAGAGAGACATGAGATGCTTAACTCACCCACCTTATGAACCTGTCAAAGATTTAAACAGAGTAGTGTATCGTAAGAGGTGGTAAAATCTCTGGAAACACACCCCTATGGTTGCAGTTTCTATCAGATTTGCTATCACAAAACTAAAAAGCTGAGAAAATATTACTACAATCTTTGTGAGGGAGAGACATTAAGCTCAAGTACGGGTAACCGACATAGCAGATTCTATCACCTCAGAGCCATGGAGTTGTAGATGTAGACGTCAAATTTTGAGAATCTGCTTCTCGCTCCATAAACTGGTTCTGCATTAGGAGGAGAATTAAAAAGATAGTAGAGGCTTCAAAGAAGACAAAGCTTGCCTCTTCTTCTTCCATGTTGTTCTCGAGTTGCAGGATTGCAGGTTCAAAGATGGAAATCGGCTATTGCAGCCCAATTCTGTAAAAAAAGAAACATTCTTTAAGTTCACAAAAAAAAAAAGGAAACAATACAACTCTTCGAAAAAAGGAAACAATCTAAAATTTAACAAAAAAATGGAAATAACATAACTCGTGGAAAACAAAAAGGAAACAATCGAAAGTTTCCTTTTTTTGGAAGAAGCTAATGCTTATAAATACACACCTGAGAGAATGCTAATCTCCAACATCACTTATTCTCTCTTCTTCCTTGAGAAATCAAAGCAAACCAATGTTTCTTTTTGGTTCCGTTCTGTTCTAATACGGGGGTATTTTGGGAATTGCGTCTTTTTCAACGTCTCTTTCGTCTGTTGGGTTTCAAATCAAGTAATCTGATCGAGTGTGTGTGTTCGATTTCTGATGCAAAACAACAAAATCGATATTTGTTTTTCGGTGAATGATGATCGGAAAGCAAAAGTGAAGACTCGCCGACAAAAACTCTCTGATTTCAAAAGGTATTTTTCTTATCTTCGAATACAATTTTGAATTGATTTCTTAACTACTTTCAAAAGATTCCTAATACAGTTTCTCTTCTCCTCCTTTTGTAGATTTGCCATCTTTTCTCCGGCTTTTCGTCGTGGTTGTTGCTGCTCTGTTTTGTGTCGTAACCGTAACCATTAGAGAGACGATCACAATTTCTCATTCACTGCCATGTCATCGAAATTCTTTCAGCCCAACAAGAATAAAGAAGTCCAGCCCATGACGATAATCGTCTCACATTCCAACTTATCGGCAAGGTCAATTTCTATCCCATGTTTTTGTTTTTTTAACACTTGTTTTATTTTTTTATTTTTTTATAAGTGTTAAATTTTTAATTTTGTGTAAACTAATTGGATACAACATCCAAACCCCTAAGAGGTGTTCTAGGTTCAATATGGTTTACACATAATTAAATTTTTTAACATTTATTTTTTTTTAAATGTTTTTTTTTTCTTTTTTTTTATAAGTGTTAAAGTTTTTAATTTTGTGTAAACCAATTGGATACATCATCCAAACCCCTAAGAGGTGTTCTAGGTTCAATATGGTTTACACATAATTAAATTTTTTAACACTTATTTTTCTTAAATGTTTTTTTTTTCTTTTTTTTTATAAGTGTTAAATTTTTAATTTTGTGTAAACCAATTGGATACATCATCCAAACCCCTAAGAGGTGTTCTAGGTTCAATATGGTTTACACATAATTAAATTTTTTAACACTTATTTTTTTTTAAAATGTTTTTTTTTCTTTTTTTCTTTATAAGTGTTAAAGTTTTTAATTTTGTGTAAACCAATTGGATACATCATCCAAACCCCTAAGAGGTGTTCTAGGTTCAATATGGTTTAAACATAATTAAATTTTTTAACACTTGTTTTATTTTTGAAATGTTTTTTTTTTTTTTATAAATGTTAAATTTTTTAATTTTGTGTAAACTAATTGGATATAACATCAAAACCCCTAAGAGGTGTTCTAGGTTCAATATGGTTTACACATAATTAAATTTTTTAACACTTGTTTTTTTTAAATGTTTTGCTTTTTTTTATAAGTGTTAAATTTTTTAATTTTGTGTAAACTAATTGGATACAACATCCAAACCCCTAAGAGGTGTTCTAGGTTCAATATAGTTTGCACATAATTAAAATTTTTAACACTTGTTTTTTTTATTGTTTTTTTTTTAAGTGTTAAATTTTTTAATTTTGTGTAAACTAATTGGATACAACATCCAAACCCTTTAAGTGGTGTTCTAGATTCAATATGATTTACAAATAATTAAATTTTTAACACTTTTTTTTTTTAATGTTTTTTTTTTATTTATAAGTGTTAAATTTTTTAATTTGGTGTAAACTAATTGGATACAACATCCAAATCCCTAAGCGGTGTTCTAGGTTCAATATGGTTTACACATAATTAAATTTTTAACACTTGTGTTTTTAAAAAAATGTTTTGTTTTTTTTATAAGTGTTAAATTTTTAATTTTGTGTAAACTGATTGGATACAACATCCAAACCTCTAAACGGTGTTCTAGGTTCAATATGGTTTACACTAGGCCTGGGCAAAATACCCGGAACCGAATACTCGAACCGAAAAACCCGAAAAATACCCGAACCGAACCCGAACCCGATTTTTAAAAATACCCGAATGGGTCCTAACTTCCTACCCGAAAAAAACCCGAACCGAACCCGAACCGAATCCAATATCCGAATGTACCCGAATACAAATATACACCTAAAAATATTAGTTATATTTATATTTATAATACTCGAAATACCTAAAATTACAATCATAAATCCGAATATATTAGGTATTTTTGAGTAATTCGGATACATTTGGATATATTTGGTTAAAAAGTAACTAATGATGTAGTTTTCTTTTGGATAATTTTAGTATTTTTAGATATATTTGGTAAAGAGTAACCAATGTATTTTGGAGAAATCGGGTATTTCGGTTAGATTTGGGTATATATGAGTAAAAAACCCGAACCCGACCCGAACCCGAAAATATTTTGGGTATTTTTGGTTATTTTCGGGTATTTTGCTTTTTTTATTAAAATAGCCGAACCGATCCGAACCCGAACCGAACCCGAATCGAATTTTTAGAATACCCGAATGGGTCTTGACCCCCTACCCGAATAGACCCGATACCCGAAAAAAAAGAACCGAACCCGAACGGGTACCCGAATGCCCATGCCTAGTTTACACATAATTGAATTTTTAACATTTGTTTTTTTTGTAAGTGTTAAATTTTTTAATTTTGTGTAAACTAATTGGATACAACATCTAAACCCCTAAGCGGTGTTCTAGGTTCAATATGATTTACACATAATTAAATTTTAACACTTATTTTTTAATAAATGTTAAATTTTTTAATTTTGTGTAAACTAATTGGATACAACATCCAACCCCTAAGAGTGTTATACGTTCAATATGGTTTACACATAATTAAAATTTTAACATTCTTTTTTAAATGTTTTTTTTTTGTTATTTGTTTTTAACACTTGATTAAGTTTTAAAGGTTTTCTCAAATATTGTTTTAAGTAAATTGTTTTGATTTTACAAAATGTTTTGTTTGAAAAAAATTAAGTATTAAATATATTAAAAACTAAGTACCAAAATATATACATGTAATGCAAGCTGGCCCGGCTCTAGGCGTGTGCTGGGTGTGCCAGTGCACCGGGTCCCACTTCTTTTTTTTTTTTTTCTTGTATTTTAGGGTCCAAAATTTTCAAATAATTATAAATTAGGGTTTAGTTTTTAAAATGTTAAATATTTAGACCATTATGTAAAAAAAATTAGAACATAGCACAGAGTCCAATAATTTGTTGAGCCGGCCCTGAATGCAAGCAATCTACATAAACGTCGCCAAAAATGGAAAACGGATTAAATGATATTATAAGTTGAGTAAACTTTGGTTTCGTATCCCATTGTTCCAGAATGGCAAGATAACGTTGGCTAAGGAAGTAAAACGACGCGACGTTTTGTTCCCACATCAAAAAACGACAGTGGTTGTATTTAGACCCACGGAAGGTCCAACAATAAATGGGCTTTTTTACGGGCAAAGCAAACAAACTAATTAGAAAACATTAATATCATCTCGACTCAATATATAATGCCATAATATCAAGCATATCTTAATACTTTCGTAAGTCGTAACAATGAATCTATGCGTGAAATACCATGAATTCGAGGCTATTCTCGTCTTTGCCGTTCCCGGTTAAGCATCACCTCCACCATTAGATCATTCCATGAATCAATCGGACCGGGTAAGCACCAGTGAAGACAATCGTTCTGAACCTGATTCAGCTCCTTGTTCTTCACCCCAGCAAAAGGATTCGGATACCGGTACGGTCCCGGATGTCCATCTGGTCGGAGAAGCGACATTGAAGTTGTGTCAAGTAACCCAATTTTTGAATTGGAGCCTTCTTGTTTAGTAGTCTTATAGAACTCTTCAAGCTCGATATCACGCATCGATACATCCTCGCTCTTCATCTCTCCTTCGTTGCTATCCGTAAACGGCATTGTTCGGTTACAGAAACCACCAGAGTCCCACTCTCCATTCTCGAAATGATCAGGTGTTGTTGTTCTGAACAGAACCTGAGCTTTATGGTTTGGTTCAGCGACAAAGTCTAAAACCAAACGAAGAGCCTTTCCGTACGAGTATAGATAACCGAGTTCGGTCAGATTGTTCTTCCCTTGGCAGTAATGGCATCCGGTTACAGTGTTGTTTTCATGGAAGATTGTTGTTTTGAGGAACCATTTTCCACCGGAGATGATGACATAGTCGAAATTGATGTACTGATCTGTCCATTTTTGGTCTAACTTGTCGAGGTGTAGTTGAATGTCAACTCCATTGACGTTGTTCTCAAAGGTTTCAGTTTGTAGAAGGAAAGGAGACCAAATGACAGAAAGTGTGAAGTTGTAAGAAGGGAATCTCCAAATCTTGGATTTGTATTCCTTGTCATGGTAGATATCTTCTACTTCTTCTACCTAAAAAAAAGGCAAGTAGATTTGACATCAAATCCAAACAGAGAAATCAAATTAGAGAATCAAGTGAGTTGTTATACCTGAGAGAGAATGCAGATGAGGGATTGGACATGGTTACGAGAGATAGAATCACCGATAAAAGCCAACCATTTGTTCCTCATATTGTCGAGAAATTGCTCAGGATTAAACCTCGGGAGATCGCAATCGCGAGGTTGCCATCTCCATTGAAGGTAATTCACATCTGGCCGTCCGTTTTTCAAACAATTCTGGTAATCTTGGATATGACGGCAAGAGACATTGGTGTAGGCTGGACCTGAAGGGTCTGGTACCCAATTCCCGATAAAGATATCACACTTGGTTGAAACTACAATTGTTCACACAGACATTTAATCAAACACGTGGCGATCATCGGAATTTTCGCGAGAATTTAGGTATTTCATATGATTGGAAGAAAAACCCAATTTCCTCACGTTGCTTGGATCTTACTCTATTGAATTGATTTCAAGAGTTTAGGACTAATCTCTTACCATTTTGTGAAGGAATAATGGTTGTGATGTTTCCTGGGGAATCAAGGGAGGCTTGAGCTGTGAGACCAGAAGGATCCGCAGGCGGCAAGGTTTGAACGTTGGTAACCGGAGAGACGGTGGAATCAGTGACGATAAAACGGTAAGCGAGACCGATCAAAAGGAAGAAAGCGACGGATTTGAGGAAAATTTGATTGCGTTGGTGAGAGGAACCAAATGGGTTTCCTTCAATCTTGATGCTCTTAGATATTAATCTCAACGAATCCATTGAAATTAGAGAGATATAGAAACAAGAACAGATCAGTGAGTTTTTTTAAATCTTTCTAATTAGCTTTCTGGAGGTTTTTGGTCGGCGTTGAAAGCGAGGAACTTCACCATAGTAAACAGACACAGCGGATTTTTTTTTTTTCCAAAATTATTAAAACATGTAAAGTTAAACTCGAGTTTTTTGTTTGCATGTGTTTGGATTATTTGTTACCACTTTGTTTATGTCGGTCGTGGCCGGTCGTGGCTTAATTTAATTGGTGAGATTTGTAGAGATATTATTCAGAAGAAGAAACTAATCTAATAATTAGGCATCCTTAATTATGTTTAAAGATACAATTGTATTCTAATAATTAGGCATCCTTAATTATGATTAAAGATACAATTATACAATTGTAAAGCGAATCGTGTACTTTTTTTTGTCTCTTTAAACATGATTAATTGCTCTACGGGTTAATTATTTCCAACGTAGATAGGATTATAATTAAGTTTGAAATAAGAGATTATTGTAATATCTATATTTATGGACATTAGCCATCAGGTGATTAGGTTTGTATTTGTAGTGCCTTATCCTTTCTTAATACTCCTTCTGTTCCTTCAAGTTTGATAACCTAGTGTTTTAGCCTTTTAATTAATTGATATTAATAAATCTTAGATTTCAAAACGTAATGATTGAAAATAATTAACTATTCTAAATTACTATTGATTTTTAATTTATTAAAAATATTTAATAAAAATAAATAATTATCAAATGATTATATTTGAAATATTTAGAAAATCAGTCTTCTAAAGTATATTGAAAAAAATAACTCAGATTTGTATGAAAGAATAGATGTCACTTCCGAAGGGTCCTACAGTATTTATTGATTAATTATCACTTATCAGGAGCAATGATAGAGACCTCTCTCTCTCTTTTTTTCAACTAAAGACAGAGACATTACACTTAGATTTAAATTATTATCTAGTTTATGCTTTCCACATCTAATTAGACGAAAAAAATACATTTTTGTCTTCTAATAACCTTGGTAATATTCATGATAATTTGTGTTTAAAACGTTCTATCTAGACGGTAGAATTAGTTCGGTGATTTAAACATAAAACTAATCTTTAGACATGAATCAGTCGTTTTAGACAGACTAGATTATCGATTGTTTTCAAGAAATAATTTAACCACGCATCGAATTTAAAAAAAAAAGAAAAATTATATGAAGTAGGGAGGGTACACCACGACCACGAGGCCACTGAATAAATTATTTCATGGGCTTAAATCTTTGCTACGTGGACCCATCTTACTTGAAGTTGATTTTGGATCTACCGTAATAACTTTCAGTCTGTTCTTTCTTGAAAACGATTTAACGTACACAGCCTGGCCAGATCTATAAATATTTATTTATTTTTGTCACCAAAACCAAACAAATAATATTTCATCCACAATAAAAAATAATCAATTTACATAAACCAGATCACAAGATAGAAACCATATGGTTGATCTTTTAGCAAAAAAAAAAGTAAGAGAAAGAATAGAAACATTGTAGAGTAGAGACCCCAAAAAGAAAGAAACTAAACCCAAAAACGGAATAGAAAAGAAGTTTTGGGTCACAATATAAAACAAACAACAATTTACATTTTAATCCAAGATTGGAAGCCAAGGAGGCTGGAATCAAGCTGATGAAGCTTCATGAAACTAATGATCTTGGAACTCTCATGCCAAATCCATGCTTAACCTTGTCAACCCTGATTCAATTTTCAACAATGTGTCATAAAATCTCAGAATCAACTAAAAAGATTGATCTAAAATTTGATTACAACGATCTTGTGTTGTGCTTACGTTGGAGCTAATCTGCCGAGGCTCTTAAGTTCTTCACCAGAGTCTCCATCAAGAACTCTTCCTGATATATCAATGATGTAAGAACGATTCTTGCCTCGAGGAAGACCTCTTCTTGAAAGTAAATCTAGATCTCTCTCGTGAAGCTCTCTTCCGTTTACAAACACACTCGTGTTTCCTGCGCCGCAGTTATCCGGCATTGGACGACTAAACTCTTCGATAAATGGCTGCATCAACCAAGAATTTTTTCCCATTTCCTCATCAAGTACCAATCAGTACAAAAAATTATGAAAACAGTGAACTGGAATATAAAGTAATATAGAAGAAATGTGAAAGTTTTTTTTTTTTTGGTAAATGTGAAAGTTCTTACTGGTATTATACCGAGACACGGATTTCCCATCACTCCCCAGAACCCAGCACGGTAATCATACCTGATCAGAATCATAACATAAAGATGGTTACTTTCAGAACGACTAATCAATTTTTTTGACGTATATTAATCAAAATGTAACCCCAAACATACCAGTATTTGCCAGCTTGAACTGGTCCAGCTTGTTTCTCAGCGCTGATAACCAGATCTTCCGGTATCAGATGCCCGTTCACCCAAACCTCTAACTGCTCGTCGTTTTGGTCGTTAGAGCTGATTTTATTTGTGACCTCTGGGAAACTGTACTCACTACTCTGCTTTCGGTTTCTTGGTCTTCTCTCTTCTTTGTTGGCTTTTGAGATCCTTGAATCTTCAGACTCCTCAGTGTTATTATAGTATTCATTATAAGAAACATCTGTCTCAGTAGCTACTGATTCTGATTTTAGCGAGTCTTGTTTCATGTAGGATTCTTGCTTATTGTACCCTAACTGCGCCATTCCGTAAGTGATTGCAGCTCGGTTTACATTAGAATACTCAAAGAGCTCAAGAAGATTGGACTTTTCAGGAGGAGGAGGAGGAGGAGAAACCTTTGCGCCTTGGGCTCTGCTGCGAACAGACTTGACGACCTGTTTCTGCGGCCTACTAGAAATGCTTGACCTGTCTTCATCGTCTGAGTGTTCACTACGCAATCCAGCATGGACAATTTTCGTTTCCTGGTGTATTCTTATTTCTTCATCCTTAAGTGGATAATCATCTACCACAGCGTTTCGTGCGCTTCTATCTTCAACCTCTACAGAAACCCGGTTCGTAGTTTCCCCCAGGGCAGAAGAGGAGAAAACAAGCTTCTTATCAACAACTTTGAAACTGATAACCTCAGAACAAGCACCACATTGCAGCTTTTGTTGCCTTTCCTGACCAAGAAGCTTCTTCTTAGGCACATAGAGCAGCTCAAAGCAATTATGACAAGCAATAAAAGGCGCACCGCCTGCTAGAGGATGGTAACGACGTGAATCAGTATCCGACACAGTTTTTTGAACATACCCACGAGCAAAAGCACCACCCATATCAGAATCAATATCACTAGGCCACCTCGTGTGATGACCTTGAACACCAGCATGTGGACTAAAGGGTCCAACTTTCTCACCGTGGTGCTTAGTCGGGCTTAATGGGACATCACCGTACCTACTCGGCGTACCCGGAAAGAATCTAGGATCCTGTAACTGGGTGTCAAGTATATCAGAACCAATGTCTACATACTGTCCTTGAGGATATGGAGGACGAGGCGGCATCTGATTAGGGTAATGACCTGGTCCTTGATAAAAGTTTTGAGGTACTCTATGCACTGGGAATCCATAAGGGTCTCTATAAGCTGGAACATGAGGCGGGTTACTCGCGGTAGGATACATTCCATAAGGAAATGGCTCAGGGTATGGATTGTAATAAGAAGGAGGACCATGACCATGGAAACCCATTGGTGGTGGTGGCTGATCAGCGACATTAGCATTACCTCCACCACGGAGAAGATGATCTTTAATAGAATCAAGCTTCCTCAAAAGCTCGGCTTGTTGTTTATCTGTGTACTGAACTGGGTTGTTTCTGGTCTTAGAAGAAGAAGAATCTGAATCAGTCTCTTCTTCTTTTCTCAAGCTCTTGACGGATCTCTGAGACCCAGGTCGTGAATTCGAATCTTCCTGGCGATTTCTCATCGGGCTAGCGGGTTCATTGAGATCCTCCTTAAACCCTCTATCTTCATCGCTTCTTGAAGAACCAGCATCTGCTCCATAAACGTCACCGCTTGTCCTCATCGGAAAAAGAAAAATCTCCGACGAAGACTAGCTTCTAGGGTTTTGCTCGTTTGAATGCAACTGAAACAAAAATCCTCGAATTCAGACAAAATCCGAAATTATCGACATATTATTCTAATCGAATCATCTTGAATCAGGAAATAGTAACATTGTAGAGCAAATCTTAGATTTATCCAAGTAATGGTTTCAAGAGTTTCTGGGCACAAGTTTCCATGACAGAGAGAGATATAGGAAAATCAAAACGCACCTCGAAGAAGAGTGATTCCGGAGCCAGGATTAGGTTATGTTTGGAGGATGGAATTTTTTGGGGCAAGTTCGTCGTCTCCGGTGAGAATCAATTAACAAGCCCTTTGACGCTGCCGTTTTTTTTATTAAAGGAGTTTTTGAAAATTTCAGAGGAATTTAAATAATCAAAAAGACTAATGCTCTACTTTTCTTGCACTTTGCTTCGTTTTCCCGGGAATCTACCTACTAAGAAAAAATAGATCGACAATGGAGTTTGAAATTTTCTCAGAGGGAGAAGCATTTAACGGATAAACTAAGAACAAAAAAGGACTTAAGAATTTTGAGATAGAGATAATAAACCAGGTCAAGTTGACCAAGAGATAACGTGACGACCAAAAATTATTTAAATACTATTGATATGTGTGTCTTGTCCAATTGGTTGTATATGCAAAATAAAAGTAGTGTTACAATTGGTTGGATCGATTCGACTTAATTGCATTTGAAAGATGAAATTTAAATACTACTTACCAAATTAGTTCTTTGATATGTGTGTCTTGTCCAAAACCAACAATTACTTGAATTACACATTATTCGTGGCCATGGGGGATTTAGTATATAACGATGAGTAAGTATTTTATACATGTATAATATATGTTGTCCAAATAGATGGTGTGCCATGTTCCAAGACGTGCTCATAACTTTAATTTGTTTTCTAATTCTAATTCTTATAAATCAATGCATAAAATAGTCGATTTAAGATAGTCTTTTGCTATTATCATCATCATCTTAAAAGTTTAGAAATGTGTTTTAGTTGTTGGAATTATATATTTTACTAGTATTTAACCCGTACTTACGTACGGGACAAAAAACTGCTTAAAATTAGATGTACTAAAAATTAAACATGAAATATTCACACAAATTAAAGTAACTACCTACAGAATTATATTCTTTCAGCTTATAAGATTATAAGATTTATATGTTTTCTGGTGTTGACTCTTGCCTAAACTGTTCATAATTGATGTATCATAGATTTAATATATTTCACCAGATTTCTAGTTACATTGATCTTAAATATTATGAGAGTATTTTATCAACATATTTAACACCATATAAAATGCATACACATCCTGCTTAGTTTCATATATTCTTGATAATAAAATTTAAAATATAAATTTTAAAACTAAGTATTTATCAAAGAAAACGTCAAAATTATTTAGATACATACATTTGGAGGAAAAAATCTGTTTTATTGTATGCAAGAAAGAAACATTTTTCTCCATCCTTTTCTCCTATCCAAATTGACACATGGATCAATTTCTTCAAATTATTTTGTTGTTGTTGTCATTTCATCTTTCAGAAAGCTAGAAGACCGTCTTTGTTATGAAGCTATTTCCACTTAGTCTCCGTATACATCATATCACCGTCCTTTTTTTTGTCATCCATATCACTGCCTTTTTCAATGACAATTACTGCCTGCTTGAACGTTTGGATTAAGTTTTTGAATTGTTTCTCTCCCCTGGTTTAGTCGTCATTCTGCTGTTGTTGTCCCGGTTTTGCTACACGTCATCAGCCAGGAGATCCTCTTCTAATCCTCTTTTCCCTTAATCCACACTATTGATTTGTCGTAATGATGTAGCCGGTAATCACTCACCTTCAAGAGAGAAACATAAAGTTAGACCATGTCCATGAGACATATGAGTTATAGAAATTGGGAGACAATATACAAAAGTAAGCTATATTTTTTAATCGTTACACAAATAGCAAATGCAAAACAGTGTAATGCAAAATCATAATCAAGTAGTTTATTACAAAACATTAAAGTAGAAGTATAAGTTTGCAAGATCCTTGAAAACCAGATTCTAAAGATCCATAAATTATGATTTTGCATTATAGACAAAATAGAAAACAAGGTACTTGTTATTACTCGTTATCTTTATCAATGGCGTTAACTTGCATTGCATGTCAGGACTTTTATCTTTAGGATGATAGATCTCTTATTTGTCCATTTTGTTTTGAAGTATTTAGTTGGGAAGTATGAATATAATCCAGTAGGGCAAACAATTTTGAAACAAAAAAAAAGTGAAGAGGGGCGATAGAAAAAGCGATTGATACGACTTTTCTTCTGTGATTTCTCCGACCGACCGGCGTCGGCTCCGACGTCGGTTGTACTCTTTCCTCTTCATAAATTTAACAATTACTAGTTTACATACATAGATTTCAGTTATCAATAATGGGTATTCGAGAATCAACTGCTCTTGGTTGGCCCCTTTTCACATCTGTTGGTGATTTTCATGGCCGTCAATTACATTGGAGATTCCATTTGGTTCTCGTTGTTCTTAATTCCATTGGCAACAACATTGATCTTCTCTGGACAAAAATGGTCTGGTGTGGCGGCGTAGGAGATAGGCTTTTAGGTTTGATGGAGTTTTTGGTAACAAATAGAAGTGTGGGGTTGTCTACGGCTATGGGCTATGCAGCCATGGATGTCGCAAGTCTTCTCATGCATGAATCCCAACAAGTCTCTCTGTTTCGTCGGGTAAGTCACGGCTATCTTGTCTTAGTGATAGTGATGGGTTTGTCTGGCAGCGAAGGACATGAGAATTTAGAGATGATGATGTCTTTGTTAACAATTCATGGTTGGGTTTGTTTCAACTTTTGGTCTCCACGACGGTGGCCGACGTCATTACGTTTTTCGTTGTTAGGGTTTTCTCTCCTCCTTCCAGAGGAGTACTTGTCCGTGTGATGATTATGTGGTTCATTCACGGTGTTTTTCCGGGTATGCTCGGCGTTTTCGATCTGGAGACAATAATTGTTGACAGCGATTTAGTGAAAATTTGCAATCCTCGATGCATATGGGATCCCGGAATTACATCGAAGGCATATGTCGTGAAGATCTCCAACGACGTCTATGGTGTGGAATGTACAATAGGATGGGCTTACACCGGTATCAAGCCAAACTTTTTGCTTCGTGCAATGGCACCGATATGGACTAATTGGTATCGGAATGTCGAGATTATAAAACTCATTACAGGAGCAACGAGTTTATTCTATGTGATGTGGAGTTTCAAACAAAGAATGCCAATAAGGCATCTGTATCACACTCGAGTAAGATGGCTTTTAAAGAAGGAACATATCATGTATTGTAACATGATTGCGAGTAAGGCTTATGGAAAAGAAGCATCGTTAAATTCACTTCTTCGATTATGTCATCTTCAACATATGGCTCATAAATTTGTTTATGTAATAAATTGCTTCTGTAAAGTTTTGTATTGGCATTGTTGGTTGTAATACCCATTGTTTAATAAAAGTTTTTAGAAGGAAAAAAAAAAAAAATCCAGTAAGGCATTGGCATCTTTAACCTGAATCATGTAAAATCAGAGAAATTTTAATATGACATAAAGATAATGAAATTGAATAAAAGAGTAGTCATAAACCTGGATCAGCTTCTTTGCTAAATTCTGTGAATATGACAAACACGCAGATGAGACGACGAAGAGGAAGGGGAAGAGAGACCGACAAAATAGAGATGAGAAACCAAAAAAGGGATTAATATGAGAATTTGCAGAAAATAAAACTATGGTAAGGAAGATAAAATAAATAAGAAGTTGAGTTGACTGAGAGTTAAATTTGAGATCAAACAATTTGAAAACGTGACATATTTCATCACGACCGTGATAGTGTGAGCAAATCTATGCAACCAGAAGAAAAAATGATGGAGACGAATAAACAATGATGGAGATGAATACAAAGAAAGATCGAGTAGAGAAAAACTGAACTTATTGGAGTTAAATAGAAAATGAACATGGAAATGTTAGTGGGAGAAAAATTAGGGATATAGATTTTTTTACAGTTTTCTTAGAATTATGTGGAACGGTATAAAGAAAAAAAAATTGTTTGTTCTACCTATGGGCTTACAATTCCGTAAAAAAAAAACTGTTTGTCCACATTTATTTTTGTTTTTGTTTTCCTTGAAAAAAGGAATTCAGTTTTGTTTTGTATTGGTTTTTCTACTTTTCAAACACGTTCGTTTTTTTTTAGAATTGTTTAAAAAAGAAATTATTTTTTGAAAAAAAGAAATCTATGTGTCAAAATTTTATTGGTCATGCGACTTGTGCTTTATAATATAAAGGATATAGGGTGACAATGACAAATGTTATACAAATCAGCTGATAGTTTGTTTACTCCACTTGCTATAAGCATATGTGAGATTTGACAAATCTGTTGGTATTAAAATCATAAAAAGGTTACACAAAAAAAAAAAAAAAAACAAATCAAAGTTTCATTAAAAGAGAGAAAAAAACGAAACAAGAGTGGGGACTTTTTGGTAATATCACAATCATTGACATGATAAAAAAGCTCGGACGATGGAAGTGACGGAGTCTGCGGCGGAGAAATTGAAATTGTCGAGAGGTGATGGGAAGCCAAACCGCCATGTTACTAGTTGCTGTTCCCTTTTTTGTTCAGGTATCAACGTTCCTTATATTTGATGTTGTGGGATCCAAATTCCGAACCCTAATTTGATTAATGTGAGTTGATGATGTTTGAGAACTTTTTATATCCATGGAGCATCTCTGAGTTAGGAAATTCATGAATAAGTTTATGTCATTTTTTTATCTGCTTTTGGTTGCTTATTGAGATATTGACACTAGTCTAGCTAGGCACGTAATTTGCCTCATATGATTGTTTCCTTAAGATAATATTGTAGCTGCTGAATCAATAAGTCACTTGCCTGAACTATATGAGCCTATTATCTGTAGGAATCTTCGAATAAAGAATTATCGTTTTGGAGCGCTTATATTTACTGGAGTGTGTGTCACAACAGGTGTTAGTATTCTTTTGACTTGTACATCATTTTGAACTTGCTACTATGAACTTTGTTTTTCCTGCAGACTAGGAAAGTTCAGAGTCAGAGGCATGGCCAGAGTTTGATCGTCGTATCCTTGGGCTTATCAATATCAGTTGACTCTCAGAGTTTGCTCTCATGCTTTGCCCACATGGGCTTAGTGGCGGATGCCTTGATCGTCCTCTCGGAGTTGTTCCTGAACTAAATCCAAAGGCTAGTGGCACAACAAAATTTAGTACAAGTAACAAAGTTCATATATATGGAGCCTGCTGATAATTTACCTGGTTTTTGAATTGGTTTCAGGCTAGAAGCTCTTTTCAGAAGATTTGAAACATGCTTCTTGCTCATACCAACATCACTTGAGCATGACAATCTTCTCTCCTTCTCATATGACACCTGCTCATCTGATCCTGCCCCACCCTCATCCTCGCTACAGGAAGCCCATTCACTACCTGATTCCGATGTTTCCCGGAGATTATCCTTTTTACAAGTTTGTGCCCGTTCCACCACCCTATATGCAAACATTTGAAAAGGAACCTGTGAAACTTGAGTTAACTCTGTAGATTCCCATGAAAGCTTCTGCAATAGCTTAGACTCGATCTCCCAGTAATCCACAGGAGGAGCAATGGACGGGTCTTGTTGGCTACTACTGTGATACTCTGGGTTCAAAGCTAGAAATCGCTTGATATACCGGAGAACTCTGCTTATCGATGAGAAAGTTGGACGCTGATTCGGATCAGCATGCCAGCATCGTTTTGTCAGGTTTGTTATGAATTTAGGTGAATTAAATGGAAAAAGCGGTCTCTCCCCAGCCCTAATGTTTCTACTCATCTTATCTCCTTGCAGGTGGCTATCTTCAAATGGTACTTTACCTGTCAGAAGCTCAAAGCAAACCATCCCGAAGCTATACACGTCAGATTTATCAGTATACTTGAGGCTTCCTGCTGTTCCGCTCTGTTCTTGCTCCTCTAGAACTTCGGGAGAATACCATATGAATGGAAAATTCTCATTCTGACTCGTCAAAGAAGCACTTTTACTAGAGAAGCCCTTGACAGAATTCAACCCGAACCCAAAAATCTTCCCAAGCAGATACCCATCTCCGGATTGGTGACTTCTTGGTTTGACAAGAATGTTAGATGGATTCAGCTCTCCGTGGTATATTCTCTTCGAGTGAAGATATTCCATACCCAAAGCTATCTGAAGCATCAGATCAACCGCGACCGGGAGGGAGAGAGTGTTCTTCTTCCTCGGACCACATACCTCTTTGATGTGCATACCAAGGGTTTTACTCATCAGTTCCATGACCAAGAAACATTCTTTCTTCTCCTCATCCGTGAATCCGCAGAGGTAATAAACAATGTTTGGGTGTGAAAGAGATAGCAATGGAGTAACCTTGGGAAGCAAAGTATCAATATCCCCAAAGAAATGCCTAAGCGCAAAGCTCTCGCCTAACCAAGTAATCTCCTTGTACTGACTTCCATTCCCTAATCTTTTTTTCACTTGGTAATCTTTCGTGTTTACCAGAAGAGAAGACGGAAATAGCTTGGGACTCTCATTACCATCTCCCAAATGCTTCAAAAGGAAATCAGCCATCTTCCAATCATGTTTGCTCAAACTGGGCTGCTTTTTCTCCTGAAGCTCCTTGATTAGAATCCAACGGTCCTCTGTCCAAGCACTCTCGAACCGGTTGCAGAAATCTTCGGTCACCAAATACTCTCTCCCGAACTTCCAGGTAAACATCTGAGAGTCATTCCATTGCTTCATATACTTGTTAGAATGCACCAACCTCTTCTTGCTCATCTCTTCTTCATCCCACCCTGAAACCTCACCCGCTGTCTCAATAGCCTCGACAATGATCGGTAGACAAGAGAGCAAGTTATGTATGTGAAGCTCTGTGCAATCTCTATTGCAATGCAACACTATAGCCTTAGCCCAAAACCCAAGTTTAGGCTCTAAAGACATTCTGACATAAGCCTCTCCTTCTCTTACCACCCATAGAAGCTCCCTCAAAGGCTGTTCTAGAATCTTCCATTTAGTGTTCTTCTCTTTGAAGCGTAGATTCGATCTCATCGATTCGGAAATCGACTCGTAGGCCGCGGTGAAGAGGTCGAGTAATAGAGAGCATTGACGCTGGTTGATTTGAATGTCGTCCTTGAACACCATTAACGCTCTTATGCTTCCTAATACCTCTCCTATCTCTCGAAATTGCTCCATTTCACACCTCTCCAATTTTACACAGGGCCTTTGGAAGTTGAATTATAAGTTATTATACTCATGCAACTCTCGAGATTCTCAAGACACAAAATCGTATTACAGGACTCGATCTGTGTAAGAAATTCTCTTGCTAAGATGTACGGACACATCATACGGATAAAAAGTTATTTTTGGCAATTGTAGTTTGTTTTATTTACTGAAATTGGTTTTTAACAAACGCGCGTTCTCCTACCTACAATGATCATATAAAATGCTCTTGTTAAAGTAGCAGAATTAACAGCTTTTGTTATTTCATTAATTGATAATTCTGTGAGTTGTGCTACACAGTATTAATTATTTCACCAATTTTTAATTTTACTATTGGTGTTTCTATTTTTTGTTGCCGTGGATTTTCATTAGAATCAAATCAAAGTTAAAAGCGTATAATATTTGCAGTGTCAACTCAAAATTATGAACTAGAATCATCATTTCGTACTAGACAAATAATATTACATTGCAGTACAATTTGGGACTTTATCCTTTAACAAAAAGACAAAAACATATTGGAACTGTTAAATGCCAAAGACACAAGACAAAACCACTAACAATGATCATATGCATGTGTGTATAACATCTATATATATAATGAGTGTGGATTAAAATTAGAACAATGCCTGCATTAATACAAATTCCCGTACGCTAAAACGACACCATTCGCTTCATGACCGCAATGTGATCCTGCAATCCAATCAAACAGCTTCGTTAACATTTTGCTAATAATACGACCGTTATGCTTTATTTACCTTTTGCAATGATTTATTTAGCTAATATATCTATCAAATTATCTAGTTTCGAGCTACGTACCATTTCAGCAATTTGATGGTGCATTTGGCCATTTGCGAATCAAGGGTCTGTAATCTAACGCCTCCGCATCTGAGACTAACGCCCACAGCAACAATCTTGCGACTGCCCACAGCCAATCCTACCTTCGTTTTAGCTGTCACTGTCACCAGCAGCTTCTTACCCTTCAGCTCTGCCTGTAGCCTCTTTGCCGTTGGATCATCCACCTGTCGTTTCGTCACCCTCGTTGGGACAATCACAGCCGTCCGATTTCCTGGCTTCTCAATAAAGCCTTTGACTTTCGTTGACCTTAGGTTAGTCTCAAAGTCTTTCTCTCCGAGAATCACAGCCACGTCAGCATCTCTGTAATAAAACGTTAGCTTTCCGTTAGGGTTTCTGAAATCGAGCACCGCCGTTGTATCCGCCGTCAAAAATGACCATCCGTCGTCGGAGTTTCCGTCGGAAAAGTTGAAATTGCTGATTTTGAATGAGGCTAGGCGGACGACGGGTAGTTTCGGGCTGTACCAAAGGAAGAAAACCGCCACAGCGATGAGAAAGATGAGGAGAATCACGGCCAAGAAGATACACACGCAGCAACAGAAAACGCGGCAGAAACTACACCGCCGTTTCTTCTCCGGGTAGAGTGACGCCGGATGGATAGGCCTTGGACGGCGACCTGTTCCGGAAGGCGGAGCTGATGGTTGATTCTGTTGATCACGAAACCCCGGTGGTTTTTGGAGTGCTGGTTTTAACGGTTTCTCAGCCGCCATTTCTTCATCGCCAGCGATGGTTGGCCGCTTTTGATCCATGTTAACCCTAACTAAAACACTTAATTAGGTTTTCAGAATGAAAACTTTTTTGGGAAGTTTCCAAAAAATGACAGATTTATGAGTGAGTGGTTTTAGATTCTACGTACCAGCAACAAAGAAAGAATCTATATGATTAATTCGAAACTGTGCCCACGTCGTTACTTCAACATCATGCGTGCCGTTTGGATTTATGAAATGCAAACGGCTGAGCGTTTAAATTCCAGTTTGCTTTTCTTGTGTTGTACGTAAGTGTCTTTTGTGATGACACAATATATGGACCGGTCGTTAGTTTAAGGTAGTGACCACCATGTATTGAAAAGTATACAGCTCGTATGTTTGACCTCTAATATTTTTTTTTTATAAAGTTCTGGCTAAAATGTGATTGTATAACTATTATAGACAGAGGCATGCAACAACTGATGATTATGTGGATATTGTCCCTTTTAAAAATGAAAGAAAATATATGCATTTATATGAAAAGATTCCCATCTACAAAATATATGATTGATAAAAATTACAAAATTGTAAAGCTACCGACCATCCGTCATCCCGGAATCGATTTCGGAACAAAAAATAATTTATTGGGTGAAACAGGTTAGAGTATTTGTCTGTTTGATTGTTTGAATACTAGGATCGGACCCGCGGTCCACCGCGGGAGAATATTGGTTTACATACGTTGCGTTTAATATTGTGTGTGTTTTTCAGTAGAACGAATCGTGTAGTATACTTATAAATATTCATAATAACGAATTGTAGAGAAAATGTAAAATTGTTTATAAATATACCCATTGTTTTAATTATGATTTACAAAATAGAATTTTGTGTTTTAAAATTCTAAAATTAGACGATTCATGGGAATTAGAGCAGTCAAAATAGGTCAAAAACCGCGGGTCGAGCCCACATCATCTCACTATGGGGCAGATTTGGGAAAATATATTAAACCCGCAAATAAGCGGGCCACATGGATTAATTCGCAGTGGGTCATAGGTTTAATCGGGTTTCATCCGCGGGTTGGCGGATTAGCCCGCATATTAGTAAGTATTGATAAAATTATAATTTATTCAACATGTGGTAATTTAAACAAACTTTTAATAGTATTTTTATTTATTTTAGTAGTATTTTAAATTTTGGTTATTTAAAATTATTTAAACAAAATCCATGGACAATCCCGTAAATCCGCATACATTCGCAGGACGGGTTTATATTTCATATATGCTACCCGCGGGTCGTGTGGATTGACTAACTACAAGTCAAAATATTTTTTGTCTATCGCAAAACGGACTTAACGGGACGAATCAACTCGCTTTGACAGTTCTAATGGGAATATTATTTAGTCATACAACAAAATGAAGTTTGGACATAGGAATAATAGAATATGTATCTTATTTGTTAGATGAGGGATTGAAAGATGAAATATAATGATTAAAAATTAATTATTATTTTTCATGATTCAAAAAATTTAATAAATACTTATCATCTTGTAATTCTAAAATCATATTCAAGAAATCTTTATAAATTGAAAATTAAACTTCTTTGGTAAGCTATAGGTATGAAAATATCATAATTTCGATTTAATCTAATTAAATTAAAATTAGTTACATGGATTTCATATCTATTTAATTTACACGACCAAAATAAAAATATCTATTTAATTTACACGACCAAAATAAAAATATAAATTTAATTTATAAAACAGATGGGTTATTTGTGATAAATTTTCTAAAAAATTTTAGAAGCAAGTAAAATATCTTTCAATTAATGATAATTGGCTAAAATGAGCGAAATTAATGACAAAAACGTTGATTGTTATGGAATTAGTTCCAAAAATATATGAACAAATTTATTATACGTAATTAATGTATAATATTGTTTGGAATATGCTTTTATTATTAGTTACCATAAGTACAATCAAATTTTATTTGATTTCCATAAATATTTGATTTTAATTCGATTTTTCATTATTAATTCGAATTTATATTCCAAAAAAAATTCAAAGATCCGATTTCAGAATTTCGGGTCAATTTTCTGATTTTAACCCGACCCATTTTCATTTGTACTTCTCTTTTAATGGGATTATTACAGGATTTGCCCTTTTTGGGCCACCATTTTTTAATTTTGCCATTTTGTTGATTGTCTTTTGGATATGCCATTCTCAGCATGATGAAATGACAGAATTGACCTTGACGCTGGTGAATCGTTTTTGGGGGCACAAATGCATAAAGCGGTGATGAATCTTCTAATCATCTCCTCCGTCACCACCACAGCCATTACTTCTGATCTTCCTCGATTACAGATTCTGCTTTGCTTGGATCTCTATCTTCTTCTTTTCTACTAGTAATTACCAAATCTTCAAATTACCAAATTCTCAAACCAAAAATGATAAAAATGCAGACTATAACACAACAAACAACACATAAACATGGCCTACGAGGGGATATTAAACCCTAATTACCGCTATTGAGGGGAACCCAAACCAAATATCATAAAAATACATGATTACCCATAAGACATGAAGCAAAAATCAAACGAAAGAGATAAAATTACAAAATCTACAATCATAAACCACCAGCATAGGGACAAAAATAATCAAAGAAGCCATGAGTGACGTCCGATCTCGAGCTTCAATTTGATGAAGAGCTTAATGGTGGCGTTGATCTATGCGGGAGGATTTGAGAGCTCGTACGAGGTTCACCTTGGCTTCAACGGAGGAGGATTTCTCCGGTAGCAATTGGTGGAGAGATGGTTCAGTGCAGCCATTGAATTTGAGATCTTCGGCAAAGGGACGAAGATGGGTTTCTCTCTCTCCAATTCTGGTTTTTCTCGAGAAGAATTATTTTTTTTTTTAATCGTAAATCAGTGAGTTATGTGGGCAGGACGAAATCGTCATTTCAGTTCACTAGAAATGGCAAATCCACAATACAATCATAAAAATGGTTTGTTCAACAAATGCCATCCCAAAAAGTCCATAGCCGATAATTAATTCCTCTTTTAATAGTATAGAGATAACAAAAAGTAACGATTCCATAAAATTGGGCATTAATAAACACATGACAAGATTATCACTATGCAGATACTGGCAGGCGAATAATCTAAAAATTAAACTTTCGATTTGTCTATTTTTAAGAGAAAACTATAACAAGGAATCACATTTTTAATGTTAATGTGTTAGGAGTTGTAAAAGAAAAAATAAATAAAAATATTAATGTGTTAGGATTATGTGAATTTTTAACTAAAGATCATCCCGTCCCTCGTCGGTAAATGAAAACATGTCATCGCCGTCACGTTTAAAAACGTGAGGGAAGCACGTCCTACACTTTGCCACATGTCGACTTTCAAGGGACATTAAAAACCCAACGGTCCAGATTTCAGTAAGTTGAACTACAACGTATGACCTTTGATTGGGCCGCATTTTTTCGTGGGCCTTGTGTAAATCTATGGGCCTTCTGAGTAATAATATAATAAACAAAACGAGTAAATAAAAATGGTAACGGAAATAAATGAAACAGAACGCGGGAATTGGTTTTTTCCGTCTTTGAAAACAGAGGAAAATGAGTTGGATCGAGCGGCGAACTTCGACGGCCAAATTTGGCAAAAAACCATTTTTTATTTTTTTTTTATTTTCCCTCTCAACACAACAAATAAAGAAACAAAACACAAATCTTCTTCTTCTTCATTCTTAAAATTTCTCGTTTCTTTCAAAATCCAACGCACTCCTCTTCTTCTTCTCCTCTCTCGTTTACCCAGCTCCTGAAACAGGTACCAACAATCTCTTGCTCTCATTTTTGTTTACCGGATTTTGGTTTATGCGAGAATTAGAACATGATATAAATTTGTGTTGGTGTGATCAATTATTGTGTCTGGATTTTCGATTTCTAGCTAGGGTTTTGAGCCGATCAATTTTAGGGTTCTCTGTTTTCACATTGCTATGATGTCCCTCAAATCGTTAATTTTGGATCTAGGGTTTGAAATATCTGCGGATGTTATGTCAATCTCTTATTTAAAAATGTGGGATTCTTTCATCTATAGGAGTATACAAAAGATGTGGGCATAGATGAGATTTGATATCAGGAGAAGTTGAGAGAGAGAGAAAGGTTAGTTTGGAAATGTTTACGCGGGAGATAACAGCAAAGGACGTGAAAGCGACTGAGAAAAACAGGATTCGATACTCTTCCAAACACATTAAGCATCTTCCACCTGGAACCATTACTGAATTTGAATGGAAGGATTATTGTCCCTTGGGATTCAGGTTCTTTTCTTCTTCTTCTTCGTTTTTCTCTTTGTCTTTGAGGGTTTATCATTGTCTCATTTGTCTCTGGTTCTTTTCTTGCAGACTTATACAAGAACTTGAGGATATTAATCATGATGAATACATGAAGTCTATCTGTAATGATGAGACATTAAGGAAGCTTTCTTCTGGCAAAGTTGGTAACATGTTCCTTCTCTCCAAAGATGACCGTTTTCTCATCAAGATTCTCCGCAAATCCGAAATCAAGGTACCAACTTCACTAATTGTTACTGCTAAAATATGTTATCTTCTATCATCTCATTTATATATCAATCTTTTAAAATGTAGGTAATACTAGAGATGTTGCCTGGTTACTTCCGTCATATCCATAAATACAGGTCAACCTTGTTGTCCAAGAATTATGGAGCTCATTCTGTCAAGCCTATTGGAGGTGTTAAGGTATAACAATAAAAGACTATATAGTGCCATTGTAGTGGGATTAATCTTTTATCTCAAGATTGGCTTTGAACTTTTACTTAAAACTAAAGTCTCTGTTTTTTGCTCTGAGCAGACATATTTTGTCGTCATGTCGAACATATTACAGTCGGATGTTTTTATGAATAAGGTCTATGATCTAAAGGGTTCATCACAAGGTCGGACTAATAAGAAGATCAAAGTGAGAGATAAAACCATTTTGAAGGATATAGACCTTGATTTTTGTTTCTATGTGGATTCTTTGGCTAGACACCGCCTCATCAAGTGAGTTTTTCCTCTGTTTCTATCTTGATTCTTGTCGTAGAGAATGATTTAGATTCTCAGCGGGTTTTTCCATCACGCAGGCAAACAAAGCTAGATTGTGAACTTTTGGAAGATGAAGGCATAATGGATTATAGCTTAATGCTTGGTTTACAAGTGAAAGGCTCGTGTCATGGTGAGTTAAGCATCTTATGTTTCTCTATTCTTATCATTAGTAATAATAAACAAACTTCATAGCTTTTCAACCGCCCTGTAGGTTCAATTGATGAATTAAGCCCGATATACGATAGCTTCACATCGAGAGGTAAAACTCTGCCTAGCATTCTTCTTCTGTTGACTGTAATTAACCAAGAAATAATATATGAAATGGTACATAACACTTTCTGGTCAATCTTGCAGGCTCTGTTGACAGCAATAGCTCTAAGTTTATGAAGACAGCTTCAAACTCTCCAGATAGATCTTCTACAATGTATTCATGCACGCCGAGCAGAAGTAATCTTTGAATCCTTCCCTAAATGATCTTCAATTTCTAATCTAAAATACTATAAAGAGAAACCCCCGTCGCGCCATAACATAGGAATTTTCTTCATTTCATTTTTATAGATTCAGTTGATAGTGAGAACTCAGTGGATAAACAATCAGTAGCAAGTATTAGCCCTAGTCCAGCACCAACCAGCGCTTCTGATTCTCCACATGGAAGCATTGTTTCCAGAACAAGTCTCACCAACATCTTCCAAAACAGGTAACCAATTTTAAGAATTCCATGTCCTTGTTTTCAAATTTACACTGCCAAAAAACACAACTAGGGTTTATGAAATGGGCTTTCGTGCAGCTCAAGCACAAACTTCGGGATGAAGATACCAGGACGAGCACGACGGATGGGGAGAGGAGAATCAGGGAGTGTGGTGGGGAAACACAGCAGAGGAGGAGGAGAAGAATGGTACGATGTGATATTGTATCTTGGGATCATAGACATTTTCCAAGACTATGGTGTGAGAAAACGCATTGAACATTGTTACAAGTCAATTCAACACAGCTCTAAGACGATCTCAGCCGTCCATCCCAAGATGTACTCTTCTCGTTTTCAAGACTTTGTCTCTCAGATCTTCTTACCAGACGAAGATCCTTCTCGCTGATACTAACTTCCATGTCTTAACATTTCTACTCAATTATATTCACTATTTCTATAGCTTAGCCAAAGTTTGTTTGTTTGTTTGTGAGCAAAAGCAACCTCCAATTTTATTTTATTTTTTCTTAACTTTGGCCTAGGTCCAGGGCTCAAATTTCATTTATTAACTTATTTACATATACATCAAACAAGTGCAAACGCTTGCTCTATCAACTTTATGCTTTTTTTTGGTTAAATTATAAAATTTATGCTTGATAAAATACTGAAATTTGTATAGTTTTGCAAGAAAACCAAATCGTGTTCGTGATAGGATTGTTGTATATATATAGAGAGAGAGAAATATATAGGGTTCCAGTTCCTTTTATCTCAAGGTTAAATGGGATTTTATAGTTTTGTTTCTTATTCAAATTATTTTTTCCTTATTTATTGAAGAACCTTTTCCAATTTGAATTAGATGTATTTTTACTTCCTATATAAAGGAAGCACTTGTCGATTTTTATGTCTCACAATCTGCTCTTCTACAATGTATTCATGCATTCCGAGCAGAGGTGATTTCAAAATTCTCACTGAATGATCTTCAATTTATAATCTAAAAATACTATAGAGAGAATCACAGCAACAAGAGTCCAGCACCAAAGGCAAAAGTCCAAAAGCATCTGAGGAAAATCTACTATGTGAAAAAACTTTCTGTTTCTTAAACTTGGTAATGATCCAAGCCGGAGCAGTTCCATAACCTTGGGAAGCTACATTCAGAAAGAAACATACTTGAGATCACACTTGTTGTCCGCTCTCAGATTTCGGAAGAAAGAAAAAACGAACCAGGGGAACAGAGTTGATAGCACCGACGAGAATCGAAGATCACCAGCCTGCAACAATGATTCATCCTCCACTGTGAACTTGTTCAGTACTTGAGCTTTGTGCTTGTGCAACCCATTTCTCGAGTCTGCTCTCGATTAAATTAGAGTGGAAGTTTGGTTAACCATACTGATATTACAGATTCTAGATAAACCGGAGTTAAATCTCACCGACCAGACCAGACTGAAATTAGAAATTTCAGACGAACCGGAGCGAATTCCAGTAAACCAAGTTTCAATTTATCTAACCGGGTATTCTAACAGCATCCAAACTTGAGACGGCGTGGACGTTAACGTTAACGGAACACGTGGAAGCATCGCAGAGAAAAAGGAGACAAAAGCAGAAGCCCAATAAAGCCCATCAGGTCGAGCCCAGCAAGCAACAGCTCTCTCTCTACTTCATACCAAAAGCGTGTGATGTACGGATGTTTGGAAGAGGGAGAGAGAGTATGTGAATAACTCCAATTCTTCATTCATATTACACTGTCTTTGCAAATGGGTTCTTAGGGCTCACGTAGATAGATGTTGTTGTTTAAGAGCTGAAAAACATTGCAGAAATATGGTTTGCTATTTTTTTGAATGATTGTGTCTTCTTCATCTAGTTAAGTCATGTTTGTCAATATCTGTGTGAATCTCACTTTCCCTTTGTAAAACAAAACAAAGATCGATGATTTGATTTCTTTAGAGTGAAAAGGAAAGGATTGAAATTTTTGGATTTTTGTTGTAAAAAATTGTGGAAAACAGGATGGCTAAGTTCTTTGGTTGCATCCAAGTTGGAGAATACACACGTGCAATCAGTGAAAAGAGAGGCAAATTCCATAAGGAACTCAAACCTGGATGCCACTGTCTTCCGTGGTTTTGTGGTTACCGAATCGTTGGTCGTGTCTCAATGAAAATCCAATACCTTGTGGTTAGGTGTGACTGCAAAACAAAGGTATATATATGTTGCTCTCTGCTCTCTTATGAGAATTTTTTTAAATCAAAATCTCTTTATTTCTTTGCAGGATGATGTATTTGTCACTGTTGTGGCTTCGATTCACTATGGAGTTTTGGATGTCCCTGATAAGAACAATGGAAAGAAGGCATTTTATGCCCACAGTGATCCAAAGAGCTTAATTGAGGCTCATTCGTTTAGTGGGTAGTAAATGTCAACACCTCTGTGAGAACTTTGAATGTCTTAAGCTAATTACTGATTCTTAATTTGCTTCTTCTAGCTGTCAAAACCGCTATCTCCAGTTACACTTTTGATCAACTCTTTGTGAAGAAAGACGACTTGGCTGTTACTGTTAATGAGAAGCTAACTGAGGTACACTGGCCTTTTTCTGTTTTTGGAGGAGGAATTAATCATCAATTTTTTGTTCTCACTGATCCTAGTTTCTTAATTTCAGAACATCTCGGCTGATTACGGATTTGGCAACTTCAAAACGCTCGTTCTCGATATTGCTCCAGATGAGTACGCCAAACGAATCATCAGATTGACAAACGCAGGTTACTTCTGATTTCGATTCTTGTTTTCTTTTGTTGGTCGTCAGAGTAGAGTTATTTTTCTAAGTCTTTTTTTATGGTTACTTGTAGCTCCCAAGATGGCAGTGGCATTGACCGGAGCAACGTTTCCAAAGTAGGATCAAATCACCCAAAAAAGAAAGAATCGAATTTTGCGTTAACTACAAAACTTTTTCTTTGTCGGCAATGGTTTTTGATATTTCATCTTATGTCAACTATGGGCTTGATTGGTTCTTCCGCTAGCACCCGCCTAGCGGTTGTTAGCGGTCGGTTGCAGTTGCTAGTGGTTAGTACCAATCATAGAAACCGCTCCACACCGCTTCGAACTGCTCGAAATCGCTGGATTTCAAAAGCTCCTTCCCGCAAGCGTTTGCGGTTGCGGGCGGTTGCGATTGGTGTAAAAAAGGAAATAAACTAAAAAAGGAAAATAAATAAATTAAAATATATATCATCATGATTTATATTCACGTTAATTCTAAAAAAATAATTATTATTTAACTTTAATTTTCTAATATAAATAATTATTTTTGTTTTCAATATAAAAATTTATATGAATAATTATTTATGGTTTTTAATCATTAATCATTTTTAAAAAATTTATACTTTTCATAACTATAGTTTCTGGTGTTTTATAATTTTTTATAATCATATATTAAATTTATTTTGGTAAATTTTGGTTTAACCGCTATCGTACCCGCTGATCAACCAGTCGTAAATCTCCCGCAAACGCACCCGTTTTCAACCGCTAAACCAGTCGGTCAAAACGCTAAAAAACGCTTGAAACCGCAACCGCCCGCTTCCGCAAACTCCCACAACCGCAACCGCAACCGCTGCGTTTAAACCAGTCAAGCCCTATGTATTCGAAAATTTTGCAAAACAGTATGATTTAGACATTACGATTTACGAATATTCAGAATGAATTAAATCCGGTTAACCATACAGAACCAAAATGGAAACCAATAAATCGGAACAAAACAGAACATCTGTATCTTTTGGTTTTCATCTCAAACCAAATTGAATTAAGATTTGCCTTGGACTTGGTTTGGGTTTTATGCAACTTACCAAACCAAAGTAAAATTTAAAAAAACCATTACTGAAATCATAAACTGATTTGTCCTCCAAACAGATATAACATGATCATATGATAAAATGACTCTAACCCGATTTATGAAACGACAACAGATAATACCTTGAGTGGTTAATATTTAGTCATTTTATCATTCATATACCAAAGTATTAAATGGAATTGTTTTATTTCATTCTACATATATGAATTTAATTTCATATGATTCCATTATTCTATGATATTATCTATCTAATAACATCCAAATTATTCTAGAATTCTGGTACAAACCGGACTAACACGATTGATTATCAATGGTTTAACTTTTGATTGAATAACAAAAAGCAACTGATATATCTCTTCTGACATCAGTTGGAATTTAGAACTGTTTTTTAATTCAACAAATTGTAAATAAGAAATTAAACAGTCATGAGTGAAACGGGACAAATCAAAGTTGTTTGTGAAGATAAAGAAAAATAAGATAAGAGAAGACACTTATTATCATCATATTAGTTTAATGCAAAGAAAATAAATTAAAAAGCCAAACCACTCTTGCAAAAAAGCAAATAGACCAGTGCAAATGAGGTTGTGCGATGAGCACTTTGAACCTTAATCTAGATTGCAATATATTAATCACCCTGAATAATTCATCAAGTCTTGAGATATCTCCGAGGATTAGTACCAAAGTTAATGGAACAAAACTACCATTGTCGATAGCATGAAAAAATAAGTACATCAAATAGTGATCAAGTCTGATATCTCCTGAAAGAAACCATACATATATCAACAAGACATGACATGTACAAAGGTTTAAGGAGAATTAATGATAGTTTAAAGAGTGTAAAAAATTACCTGCGGGGAGGAAACTGACAGGAATCGCTTCAAAGACATAAGGTGTAATCTTCACAGGACCAAAATAACCATTTTCCCGAAGGACCTTTTTGATGTTATTGAAAACATCACGATCTTTTAGAGTAGCAGGGATGGGGCATCATTCATTGACGTCCCATAACACGGATATATTACCCGCTGTACAAAAACGGAAAACGCATAATCAATTAAAAAAAAAAAAATGAATACAATTGATTATTTTACTATTAACAGATCCGCTGATTTGAATCAGATCTACATAGGTGGATATTACTGAATCAGATTGATGGTTTTAATTCATCGACGTAAAGTATATAATCCAGATCTAGACAGTTATCAAATAGGCAAAACAACAAGCAGAGCTAATGCTTCTTCAAGGAGATATAGGGGATTAGAATCTACTGGTTGGGGAAAAGGTGAAGGCATTTTCGAATTACATCTCTGGCTGCGGATGTTCAGCGCTTAATGAATTAAATCTTGTTAACCAGACCATACAGAACCAACATAAATCGGAACAAAACGGAACATGTCTTTTGGTTTTCATATCAAACCAAATTGAATTAAGATTTGCCATGGATTTGGTTTCGGTTTTATGCAACTTACCAAACCAAAAAAAAAAACCATTACTGAAATTGCAAACTGATTTGTCCTCCAAACATTTTTTTAATAACATGATCATATGACAAAATAACATTTTTATTAATTATAGGCAAACCCAACTTATTTTTTTTTTTTGATAATAACCCAACTTATTATTACATTATGATCATCACCATCACAACGAACGATGTGGTCTTATAGGTTTAAGTAGATCAGAAGAAATCTTTAAAAGTAGGAAGCTTGATTTCGCCCTTACTAGAAATAGGGATAGTAAATTCCCCGACAACAGGAAGATCAATGGTTAGACCGATTTGGAGCTCGTAGTCAATGTCCCAGTCCACACCAACGTCTCGAGCCAGGTTAAACAGTATACTATACGGCACAACCATCGGAAAATCAAGAGCCGTCATGCCATTAGCTTTCAGAGAACCCGGGTCCGGTATCTTTCCCTTTCCAATCTCCCTATTTAAATTTTATCATTACATATAATTAATTAGCAAAGATTGTGTTTGATTTACAATATAAGTACACTAAAGGTAAACGAAAAGAGACAAACGCTAATTATGTGTTGCACATCTAAAGCGAACCAAAATTTGTTTATAGTTAGTTTAGCCGGTTTTAGTTTGATTTATTTAAAAAAAAAAAAAAAAATCAAACCGATTCATAAAACGGAAAATCCAAATAACGGAGCATAACCAAACCAAACCGAGTGACCATCTCTAACAATTTGATTATAAGATTCTTTTCTTTTTGATTATAAGATGATCTTATAATTTATAATGTATGAAACAGAATCAAACGACGGGGGAAGTAGGTTTTTTACCTGCCGGCGCTGTGGAAAGTGAAACTGATCTCGCCGATCGGAATCGAATGACTGTAAGGATTGGTGACGGAGACTTTGGCCAAGTACTCGACGGAGTCACGGTTCACGTCTTTAAGGTCAACGTCCGTAACTGAACCCTCCGGTTTAGGGATCGTGGTGGCTTTATCCGCCACGAAATCCTTGGCTTTAGCTAGCAAGCTCGCCATAATAACTCTTCTTGTTAAATCTTTTTTTTGCTTTTGCCTCGATGTGATGATTTTGTGGGTATGATATGAAGTTTAACTTGGATTATATATATAAACGGATGGGATTACGATGGTTATATGATGTCGGTAGATGTGAATGGATTACATTTTATAATGGTTTGAGTACGTGTGAGGGTTTTCGACGAGTGAGAGTGAAAGCGTGGGTTATACGTGTCTTGTGCTTGATTTTTTCGTTACATGACAACAATTATTATTATAAATAAAAACTTCGTCTCAAAACTATATAGTATTATCTAAAATAGATATTTTGTTGGCAGTTCTAGCTAAACTAGATAATTACATTTTAGATAGTCACAATAAATTGGAAAGTATTATTACAAAAATAAAAGTGGGGAAAGTATTCGCGTAAGGAATAAGATGCGCAAGGGATTAATGGACCGACCTTGTCCGCCCATATGCAAGTCGGTAGATTGTAGTAATATTCCCATGCATCGCGGTACACTATATGGACAATGACACGTATTGGTATGGTTTTTCTGATGGATAAAGGTCAAACTTTAATGGGCCACAGGACTTAAGCCCAGAAAAATTCGTAACTGGACTTTGAGACTAGCAAGTAAAGGGAGTGACTCTTCTTCTCTTAAAACAAAACTTTGACATGATCACTGTTTAAGTCGTGCAGGCATGACACGTGTTGATTGATTATTAGTGGAAGGAGAATGGATGAAGCGTGTCCAATTAGTCGACAGCTGCGGAATGGAAAAGCTGAGTCAGCATCTATGTGGAGAAGTCAAACCTCCGCCTCGCATGTTTGCTTGTTGTTTTGACTTATTGACCATTCAAAGCATGCTTTGACTTTTAGTGATACAAAAATTTAATAGTTTAAATCTGCAAAAACCAGATTATATTCACACTATTACAGTCTTTAATTAGTGATTGGTTCCACAATTTTGAATGGCGGATTGTATTTTACTATCAAAAAACGTACCTTTTGTTTTGTAAATTTTTAAAATCAAGTTATTATTTATTGGCATGTATAGTTAGGGAAAATGTTTCAATTGAACATGTACGTGTGCATAAGGAATGTAATACCTAAAACACTATACGAACTAAATTGTTATATATGTGATCAGTGAATCAATAAGACATTAAAATGATTGAAAATTTGGAATGATATATTACCAAATCAAAACTGCCGAAAGCACATGTGTCGGTGTTGGTAGTTGTCCGGCCAATTTGTATATACGAACTCCGTGTTCAGTGTTTTCTAGTGCAAATTATTTTCTTCCATTTCTTTTATTCATTATCTATTTCTAATTCATTAGATGTTTCTTACCTGTATTTACCATGATTCATGAGACACACACAAACTATTTACAGAAAAAGTCCTTAGATAAAATAATATATTCACAAAGGCAATATGTTTTCAAACTTGGAGAAAATATTCATTTAGGACTGTCTTGATTATTTCCACAAAGAGATTCGTAGGATCCCAAAAACAATGGGATCGTGGTTTTTGTTTGGAAAGTGTAGATGTAACAACTCCAAATAGCCAAAAGTTGAAATTATTGAGATTTTATGTCTCCCCTGTAATTAGGTTTTCCAGCAATGCGTGCTTAAAGAATACTTAGAATATTGTTTGAGACTTTAGTTATTGTTAATTTGTGTAATCCGACATTAATATACGTAGAGCCAAAATCAGATTTTAATATCTTTAGTCTAAAGACATGAAGCAATGTTAAGAAAATTTAAAATACCTTGTTTTCAAAGACAACGATTATAATAAAAAAGGAAGATCTGAGCTTTTGACATTCAGAAGTTCAAAATCAAAACTATGAACAAGTTCTAGTCACGTGGTCGTCGCGTGAGAATTTACGGCTTGAACTGCAAGTAAAATCACGTAGTGCATGTGGGTTGATTTGACCAAACCATCCAAACCCACCAACTACTAAAACAAACAAGATATAAATAACTACCTATCTCACTAATAAATTTCTTCTTACAAATTTTATGGACCTTACATCATATATTCATATATATTCTACTAATTAACATTTGTTGTGGTTCTACAAAACTTAATTATTTTAAAACGGAATTTTGAAATCAAATTCCACAAACACTCAAAATAAATATTCAGTAGTAGTTTATCGATGACTAAAACTAATATTTCTTTACGCCAGTCAAACTTTGGAATTATGTGGTGGACGTTTATATATGTGCATATTACATACCAAATGTTTTATTAAATCAATTTAGAATGTTACAAATTTGTCTCTTCTTGAATAATCTTATACATTTTTTTTCTGTGTGCACCAGAATAATCTTATACATTTTATCTCATAAATCTCTTCCTATTTATTTGTATTCAATCAAATATTATTCTCCACAGCACTAACCTTATTTTTTTGCATGACTTCTTAGTTTAAGGTCAACATATTTCTTAAGAAGTTGCTTAGAAATAGCCTCGGGTTCAAATAAATACACATAATTTTCCCGTTTCCACCAATAAGTCCCAATGGATTAAAAAAAAAAAAAAATGTCCCAATGGATTTTAATAATGCAACGGAAATCAATGCGAAACTATTGGAGTAAGACCAATTTATTCATCGTAATCAACAAAATTCGAAATACTATATGTTTAATACAAGTGAGATTGATGCTAGCAAAAACACAACCACCTTAATTCATCGTTACCAAAATACGTTTAGAAATATTGCTTTGGGTGGAGAATTTTCCTTGGTTTGCTTGTTACTTTTCGCTTGTTTCATCAAATCCTAACTCCTTTTATTTTGGACCCCACATCAACTTTATTTGGTCTCCTCAAGGTTTCTGTTTCAACTCCTATATAAAACCAAATAACTTATATACGTTAATTAGTACACACCACAAAAACTTGTCATAAGATCAAATATTGATTACCCCAAAAAGAAAACAGTTAGAAAGAAGTGGGAATTAAAACAGCAAATGGGTCTTCCGGCAAAAAATAAAGGTGCGATTTTGTCGAAGATAGCGACTAACGATCAACATGGAGAGAACTCAGAGTATTTTGATGGATGGAAAGCTTACGACAAAGATCCCTTTCATCTTTCTCGTAACCCTCATGGGATTATCCAAATGGGTCTTGCAGAGAATCAGGTATAAATTGTATATAATCTAATAAATCTTTTTATATGTTGTTTGTGCATAAACTTCCATGTTTTAGCTAGTATGAACACGTATAGACATCAAATAACACATTTTCTATATAATTGACAGCTTTGCTTAGATTTGATCAAAGATTGGGTCATGGAGAATCCAGAAGCTTCTATTTGCACCCTTGAAGGTGTTCATCAGTTTAGCGACATCGCTAATTTCCAAGACTACCATGGTCTTAAGAAGTTTAGACAGGTATAAATCATTCACTATTCAGATATCTTGTAATCATCAGTGGACATGTTAAAAAAAAAACAAATTTTACATGCCAAGTTAGTATAACCTCTAACCATCACCAGTTGATATGATTTGCATAAGAAAAACAAATTTAGTCATGTTACATTTTTTTTTGTTGTTAAAGATTCGTGTTACATTTAGTAACTTAATTATATAAACTTATCCCTAATCAAAATTTTGGAATTGAAGGCAATTGCACATTTCATGGGAAAAGCTAGAGGTGGAAAAGTGACATTTGATCCGGAGAGGGTGGTTATGAGCGGCGGCGCCACCGGAGCCAATGAAACAATTATGTTCTGCCTTGCCGATCCCGGCGACGTTTTCCTCATTCCCTCTCCTTATTATGCTGCGTAAGCATTTTTTATATATGAATAATCACATTATAAATATAAATTAGTATATGATAATGGATAATGGTTAGGAGAAATTTCATTAATGTTACTTTCACATACTTTTGGGTTAACAAATTCTAAATCAAAATGTGTTAATAGTATTAGTATCAAGTTTTGACTCTTTCGCCAACTTTTATCACACGTGTAAGCTATATCAGTTCAATTGCGGTTTTAATTCAACGAGTTAGCTCATACGTGTGATAATTATTTAATCCTTTTTTGCAGATTTGATAGAGACTTGAGGTGGCGTACAGGTGTCGAGATAATCCCGGTTCCTTGTTCAAGCTCAAACAATTTCAAATTAACCGTTGAGGCCGTGGACTGGGCTTATAAAAAGGCCCAAGAGTCCAATAAAAAAGTCAAAGGTCTGATTTTGACCAACCCATCAAATCCACTCGGTACGATGTTGGATAAGGACACACTCACGAACTTAGTCCGGTTCGTCACGAGGAAGAACATTCACCTAGTCGTCGACGAGATCTATGCCGCCACAGTCTTCGCCGGAGGAGATTTTGTGAGCGTTGCTGAGGTGGTCAACGATGTGGACATCTCTGAAGTCAACGTTGACTTGATTCACATTGTCTATAGTCTTTCTAAAGACATGGGACTTCCTGGTTTTAGAGTCGGGATAGTCTATTCTTACAATGACTCGGTCGTCTCTTGCGCAAGAAAAATGTCGAGTTTCGGACTTGTTTCGTCTCAGACACAACTCATGCTTGCTTCGATGTTGTCAGATGATCGGTTTGTAGAAAATTTTCTTATGGAAAGCTCGAGAAGGTTAGGGATAAGGCATAAAGTTTTTACCACAGGACTCAAGAAAGCAGATATTTCTTGTTTGACAAGCAACGCAGGTTTATTTGCGTGGATGGATTTGAGACATCTATTGAGAGATCGTAACTCGTTTGAATCTGAGATCGAGCTTTGGCATATAATCATCGATAAAGTTAAGCTCAATGTGTCTCCTGGCTCTTCCTTCCGTTGCACGGAACCTGGATGGTTTAGGGTTTGCTTTGCCAACATGGACGATGATACTCTCCACGTGGCGCTTGGACGAATCCAAGATTTCGTGTCTAAGAACAACAACAAGATCGTCGAGAAAGCATCTGAAAATGATCAGGTAATCCAGAACAACAATGCTAAAAAGCAGAATTGGAGGCAGAGCAATCTCCGACTAAGTTTCCGTCGACTTTACGAGGATGGTCTCTCGTCGCCAGGGATAATGTCACCACACTCACCTCTTCTCCGAGCATGAAATCTTAAGGCATAACGCCTGAGAGATTGGATTAACTCGTGTCCTCGTTTCACTCCAAGTGTTAATTAATCTATATTTAGTAAGTGGTTAAGTGGATGTTTTTTCTTTTATTGTACAATTGGAATAATTCAACTTCGACAGTAGGGTTGTTTTTGACTGCCAGCTTTTTTCCTGGAGTCAAATGGTAACTTTTAAGATTTGGTGTGTTTAATTCTGTTTTTTACCGCTTAGGATTTAATCGATGGATTGTCCTAGCTAGTGGTGCTGGTGCGTAGCAATTATGTTTTTGTGTGTAATAAATGAAACATTATCTTTTGATAATTTATAACTGGATCGCCATAGTTTTTTAGTTGGGGAGGTTGATAAATATAATGTACGTAATGGAGGATTTGTTAAGCTAATTATTCGATTTTTCTAGACCAACATTTTCTTGATCGCCCAATACGTCACACGTGCATGCCACCATGCCTATCCTTTTTTCTAAAATAATCATTATATGTACTAATTTGAACATTCGATTGCAATTAATTAATGCATGTTATATAAGTTTTTTTTATTTATTTGGAATTTGGCTTTGCCAATAATAAGGTGGGTGATGAAAGATTCATCAGCATTTCAGCTGCACCAAATATGATTAAATTCAACTTATTATTTTGTTACAAAGTGACAAATTTGCTTAGAATAACCGGCTATATATCAAACATGATGACATCTCCATTAATTATTCATGAATCGTCAGCTTTCTTTTCCCTTTTTCTTTGTTAATGATAAACCGTCAGCATATAATATGAGTTTTGGTCCTCTTTTGGTAAACCATTAGCTATTAGTATTCAATTTTATAGATCTCAGATTTATAAATTTATTACGATCATGAAATCATATTATATATACGTGCTATTAAGACTTGGTTAGGTAATTAAGTGTTAAAGATAAGGCGTGCTTTGGGTCGCCTCTTGGTTGATATTGATACTACACACACGAACAAAAATAAAAATAAAGATTATATAAGACAAAAATTAAATTTTGATACTTGGAAATAATGGGTTGATCCTTTTCACACAGATTAATATGTATCTGGATAATTAAGTATATAAATTTGTTTATATGTTGATAGATAGAAGTCTATTTATATTCATCGACATTGTGGTCGTCATCACCAGTCACCACCAATTCATGATCATCAACAGTAATTTACGAAACATGATCAAGTAATATATCTATTCTGTTTGGTAGAAAAAATGACATGGGCAAGGTTTTTTTTTTTGTAGTGATTAGTGAATAATCTTTTTAGTATTCACGGGAACTTATTTTGTCATGTATTTTGTTTTGACCCTAAAAATATATATAGCATAAAATGAAAATGATGAAATACCAAAGTTTTTATGTGAGTTTTCACATGCTCCTTTTAGGTGTCTACCTACCAAAATGTTTTTGACATTTGCATTTGGTTTGAGCCACAACTTGATCTACGACATTTACAATGCACTTGGTTACGTGAAGAATAGATAATTCAATTTATTGAAAATATAGTCAATCTTTCGGTGTCGAAAAAGAAAGAAGCTTGTATGTGGCCATGAATTTTTATTCTTAAGTTGTTTCTAGAATATAATTATTTTTAATATTAAGATATATAAATAAATAATTTAGAACTTCACTTTATGCTATTATTCCCTGAAATAAAGGTACATAATATTTGTGAAGAAAAAATAAAACCTAGAACCATTCAAAATGATTTACCTCTTCCTCTTACAAAATTTCTAAAAGTGACTCATCAGATGATCATGAAGGCCATGCCCTTTCGCTTCGTGCAAAACAGAAGTAAAAATAAATTATCAAATTTTCAGCTGAAATGTTAATAAGCCGCCCAACAACATTTATTCACCTAAACTAACACCCGCATACATTTTCAAATATATTGGCTGCAATAAAAAAAAAAAAAAAGAACTTTGACAATAACATTTTTTATTTTTTTTACTTTGACAATAACATAGTTATGAAATATACGGAGCTTGACAATAACATCGTTATGAAATATACGGAGCCTTAACAAGAAGATGACCAAATAACTTTGGTTTGCATCTAGACACTAAGTCCAAATCCATGTATCCTAGTTTTTAAGCTTTCAGCAAACGTTTACATAACTATGTACTCAAAAACCGTTATTTTTTTTTAATATAATTTAACATTACATTAAAAAAAAAAAAAAGAAGATGACCAAATTATGGAATATCAAAATCGAATCAAAACATTGTAGAACTATTTTTTTTTCAAAACTAGTTTGCAATTTAGCCATTCCATTGGCTTCCAAAAAAGTATAGACACAAAGGCATTCTAATATCACACTTTAAAAAAATTACAAGACTAACGCATATATATAACACCATTATTTACAGATAGTTCCCTTCAAAGTAAAAATTCTAGTACTATCGACGATATATACACAAAACATATCATCGAAATCGATTTAAGGAAATAAATTTTCCCCGCATTATCGAGGAAAAAAAAAAAGCATATCTGATCCCATCCGAATCGATTTATCTTAGTCTAAGATACATCCTGTGTTTCTTATTCTTCATCCTCACTATAGATCGGTCCGTCTTTTCACCAAAATATATTATATTAAAGATTTTTCAACATATAACGCAAGCATTAGGGTTTTCTTCGATGCTTTGGGCGTAGTAATACGTTGTTAGGTGAGGATTATATGCTTTATACGCCTTTACAAGTTCCAACACATGATCCGGTGGCGGTACAACAGGTTGCGGCTGCGGTTGTGGTTGATCTTTCTTCTCTCCTTCCTTCTTATCGCCACCTTCTTTCTTCTCTTCTTCCTTCTTCGGCGCTTCTCCTTCCTTTTTCCCTTCTTCTTTTGGAGCTTCTCCTTCTTTCTTCGGCGGCTCTCCACCACCTTCTTTCTTCGGCTCTTCCTTCTTCTCCTTTTCCGGTTCTTTAGCAGGTCCCACTAGTATGATATCCGTCATCGGCCAATACTTTCTTAGCTTACTTACTACATTTACCGGATCTACAGTTCCGATCACCGTTAATTTCTTCTCCTTCATGTCCATTGCAATGGAATCGATTCCTAAAAAAAAATTAACATGCAACTTGTAACCTTCCATAGACACTTAAGTTTTTGTCCCTATTGATATAAGTTGCAACATTTTACAGACGATTACCAATAAGGAAAGTAAAAAACTTTGTTTTGACACAAACAAATAAAACAATCTTTGACTTATATGCTTTTTCGATTTTGTTGACACCATATGATTTATCAACTGACGGATGGGCACGTATTTCAAAGAAGCAATAGTGGCCTAGATTTGATTTTATTCCAAGAAAATAAAACAAAGAATTTCACAAATAAACAATAATTGAAATATGGAGCAATATTTTTTACCGTACTGTCACTATTGAAAAAGAGAGACACTTCTGTCAGAACAGCTCGTGATTGTTCATCAACAATAAAGAAATTTTAAACATTTTTCACTCTGTTTACACATCCACCTACCAAATCGGAGACTGATTAAACCGGACCGGAAACCATTAATCTCATAGTTGGTTTAGAAGTGAGAACTAAAGAGATCTGAAACTCATTTTTCTGATGTGTAACCAACATTATATAAGATGAGCATGAAAAAAGGATTACCTGGGAGAGTAGAAACAGTTTTGAGGGCCTTTTGTTTTGCCTTATCATCATGCAAATCCAGCTTTAACACAATTTTCTGCAAAATTATTACAAAAGATAAACAAATTAGATTTAGTGATATAAATTTAAAGTGATGTGGACACAAAGATGATATAATCTTTTGTTTTTCTGGTTTTCCTCTCAGGAATTTTGCAGAACATGCAACCTAGAAAAAAGCAATTGAATCACCAAGAGCAACACAGAGTCCAGAGGAACAACAACGAAAAAAAGAAGAGATTTGCAATCTTTATAGAAGATACTAAAAAAATGACTGATATGTTATGTGACATGCATATGTGTATTTGTGTGAACATAGTAAAGAAACAGAGTTTTGCAAAAGCAGAGCATGATCATCATTCAATTTGTGATTTAATTTTGTTAATTATTTATAGTAAAGGAAAAAACGGTATCTCTACAAAAAACAAAGAAAAAAAAAAAGAAAGAAGAATTTCGTTGCAGTTATAGATCAGAATAAGTTAAAAAGTGAGATTTTTTTAAAAAAAACTCCAAAAGAAGCAAAATCACATGTAATAAACACACACATGAAGTAATGCAGAAGGGAATAAATTCAGAGAGATTCATTAATAACGAATAAAAACAGAAAAAGGCTTGTTACTTTCGGATTCAAGATGAAACAAGAATCAAAACCCATTTTTTCTTATAGAAATTATAATCCTAGAAATCAAATCTTGCATACGTGTAAAGAGAGAGAGAGAGAGAGAGGGGGATGGACCTTCATTGCTCTCTGTTTTTTAGGTTAACTTGAATTCTCAAGAATATGCAAAGAGAGAGAGAGATGTGAAAAAGATTTGTCTTTGAGTTTACAAGACAGAGAGAGAGAGAGAGAATTGAGAATAAAGAAGAGAATGAAATAATAGGAAACTTGTGAAGACGATAAGAGAGATTGGACACTGATCGTTATTAAAAAATACCCAAATCCTGACAAATACTGGAGATTAATAGAGAGATAGATAGAGAGAGAGAGAGGGAGGAAAAAAAAAAAAGATAGAGAGAGAGAAAGATGCATGCAGAGAGATCAGTCTCTCAATAATGAATGAATGAATGGTACGAAATAGAGAGAGCGACGAAGAAGAGATCTAATTTCTTCGATTTATTTCATTGACGCGCGTGGTGTCTTACACGTCGTCTTCAAGTGTTGTGTTGTGCCTTAGCGTCATTACTTTCGGTCCTTTGCTTTGTGTTTGTTTCCTTTTTTCTGACCCTTGGAAATTTCTTTCTCACCTTATCCACGTCATTTTTTTCTTTAATGGAATTCCTACTTTTGATAAAATACATTTTTCGTTTTTGTATTTTGGGACACACTCGGGAGTATCAACCAATTTTGTCATTTTCATACAATGGTGCCGAGAGACATATTACAACATCTTAATTAGGTATGCGTACCTATACTTAGTTCGAATAATTAATCCAAATCATAACAATTTATTTTTGACGGTTATGGATATATTAATCAAATAAGTATTTGATTATATGACCTATTTTACCTGGTACATGATAGTCACTGGCGGAGGTAGCCATGATTTTTATATGGGTCATTTTATATTCTAACACTAAATATCCATTTTTAACAAATTTTGTAGGGGTCAATAAGTATATTTCAAACCATTTTAATGAATTTTGCTTCTACAATTATAAATAAAATAACAATTTCTACAAGTTTATATGGGTCAATTGACCCCCATGTGGACAATATAGCTCCGTCCAATATTATGTTTGGTTTCAGCCGAATCCATATTTCTCAAAAATCTATGCTAGAAAAAAAAATAATTCTAACAGTTAATTTATAACATCACCTCTTTATCATTTATCCATCGTTTAATACGAAAAGAATATTTTTAACTATAGTAAAATCCTCTCAGTTTATGGTATACGAAATTGTCTAATAATTGAGTCCTTGCTATCCCACCATCGGTTTGCCAATCCTACACGAATTTGATTCCCTAAATAACGACAAATAATATTCTCCAAGCCCAAACAAAAAAAAAAAAAAAAACACATTAGTAATAATGGGAAACAGCTGCATATTCCACGTGTTTGCCCACGTAGATTAATTTTAATTTCTCTTTAATATTTTACGTCCACGAAAATATATACAAGTGGATTGTGTTTTGGCTTGCGCGTGAGAACACGCAGCAACTGCGAGTAGAGGAAACGAGCCGTGATGAGATTTTGTGTAAATCTGGGCCACTTAGAGTGGAATGTGGGACACACACTACTCTGACGTAAGAAATTCTTAAATATGTATTTATTAGTTTTAACAAGGCGGCTTAATTAGTCAATTCTTAGCCTTACGTTGATCTTACCATCCCCATCTTCTGATCTAGACCGTTAATTCTATTTGAGAAAAAAAAAAAAAAAAGACCATTAATTCTAAGTCTTAGGAGGACTTGCATTTTATAGTTTGACGATTAATCAAAGAGTAAACACAATTTGACCTAAGTACCCATTCATTATTTTATGGTAAACTTTGACAAAAAAAATAAAATAAAATAAAATAAAATTCTACTCCCTCTATTTTACAAAGAGTGTCATTCTACTATTTTTCACATAAATTAAGAAAAGTAAACAAATTTCATTTATATTCCTTATTAATACACTAAATAATACTCTCTCTTTAATTAATATGCTAAAATAGTGAGGTTAAAAAAGAGAATTAATTTTTAAAACTGCATTGAAAACACAAAACGACACTTTTGTGAAACGAGATTAAAATCTTAAAACGACACTTTTTGTGAAACGGAGGGAGTATAAAACACGTTGCTTTATAGTTTGACCAAAAATTGAAATGGTATTTTTGATGGTTTGAATAGTAGTTACAGCTGCTAGTAATGGAGTTGCTTGTTTTTGAAAATTTGAGTCTATTTTGTTAACTTTTCAGTTTATTATCTAAAAGAATTTTTTTAATCTTATCTTAGAAATGATGATGTGCTACTTTTTTTTTTTTGGATAAAAATGATGTGCTACTTAAGAATATAACAGACACTGTTTTTATATGTGGAAACACGTACAATTGGGCACAATATAGTTATCTTAACTATCTTAATCCCCTTTCATAATTGCAAACTACTTCCTCCGTTTCATAAAGAGTGTCGTTTTAAGGTTTTATTTTTGTTTCACAAAGAGTATCGTTTTAGGTTTTCAATGTAAAATTTAATGATTTTTTATGTTTTATGACTATTAGTATTCTGCAGATTGTTTTACTATTGGGCAGATTATGTTTAGGTATATAGTTAATGATGTTTTTGTTTAGAAAAAATAAAAAATTTAATGTTTTCTTAATCTGTGTGAAAAACTCTAAAATGACACTCTTTGTGAAATTATATAAATTAAGGCAAAACAAAGTGTTTTACTAGTTAACTAACTTCTAATTAAGTATAAAAAAACCAACGTCAGCGTAAAATATGATTACGAATTGAATGTTAACTACAAATTACGAAATGTATTAAAAAAAAAAATCTTATGTCACAATTGGAGGATCTAAAATACGGTCAAAATCATACTACATGGTGCAATTAAGTGACATAAAACCAACTAAGTAAACCTCCGACACGGATCTTGAGTTGCGGACATACACATGAATTGCAAAATCTTTATTTCAATTAGACGTTAATTAAATCTTGATGTCAGATTAATCTTATATATGAATTTCCACCTAATTAGAAAGTGAAATGACAAACCCCAATCTTTTCGGTGTTAACAAAAAGAGGAATAAGAAGAAAACATTATAGCCGGCCTATAAATATATATCCAAAGTTGGTCCAATCAATCCGACAAGATCTTAGATCAACGGTGAGAAATCCTCCAAAGGTAAAGTTTCAACGGCTGATACATTTTCTTTCAACCATCGAGAATAAAAACGTCTACTAAAGAACATAATGGCTATGATTAAAAATAATAATTGCCGTACGGTCAATGACCCGAATGAGTAAAATGATGTTGCTTTCTGAATCATAATTATGGTCTGCTTTTTATAAATATACAAAAGTATATCCATAACTTTTTTTGCAAAGAACCATATAATTTTAGGCTGTATATAGGGGTGTCAAAATGGGTAATCCGACCTGACCCGACCCAAAATTCATATGGGTTCGAGTGTTTAATGGATGGATTTGACCCGACCCATATATTTATATGGCTTGAATTTACGTATCCAAACCCATTATTGTAGAAATCTATTAGCTTAATGGGTTATATGGGTACCCATATATATGTATAATAAAATATATAAATAATAAAAATCCAAAAAAATAACATAAAATTGTAAACCAACAAAAGTTTTTAAATAATAAATTAAAAAAATCTAGTTATTAAAATAGAAAAGCATCCTAAAATCTTAAAACCACAAATCTAAAGAACCATAAAACCAAATAAAAAAGATAGTTGTAAAGAAAAGAAGATATTTTACATATATTTATATAAATTTTACATAATATATTAATTTTTTTTATTTTTTTTTTACATCTTTGGATCGACAAGGCCCGATCCATAGCCAATCCCTACTACGCGGGGTAACGCGACTTAGCGGAGTCGAACTCCGGTGGAAAAGGCGGAGTCAAATGGACTTAACCACTTGACTAAAGGCACATCCCCACATAATATATTAATATAGATATATATAAATTTTACTTTTCAGTTTTGGTTATGAAACCCATGGATAACCCATGACCCTACTGGATTTTACCCATTAAACCCATAACCCTAATAGGATAAGCCACTAAAACCCATTTATATATATGGGTAAAAAAATTCTACCCAAATCCACTAAAATCATGGACGGATTCTGGTAACCCATGGATATTAACCCATTTTGAGATCCCTAGCTGTATAGTTAGTACGAAAAAACAAAATTACAGTAGTTGGTCTAAAATGATTTGCAGCAACTGAGCCTAGTCCATATGTTTAATGCCCATTTAGGGACTCTGTGGAATTTGTGGCCCAGTTATTTTTGTGTGTGTGTGGAAAAAGCCAAAAAAAAAAAAAAAACGGTCACACGTGCGAGACTCACAGGTGGGGGTAATTATCCTGTCGGTTTCTTCTTCTTTGACCCCTCCGTAATTACCTCGTCTTCAAACAAATTTTAATTTTGACCTTTTTTTACCATCCAAAATATCTGAAACCCCCAAAAAACCTAAACAAACAAAAAAAAAAGTTGATGTTCGATTCCCTCATTCATTCTCTGCTTGTTCCTCAAAATCCTTCAATTTCAACCAAATCCAGATTTGCGAATTTGTGTTTTCTTGAATCTATTGTTCTCGATGATTTCGAAAGATCACAATCATCATCAGGATCCTCTGGGTACAACGAAATCGTACAACATGAAAACCTCCGCCGTATCGCCGCCGCCGTCTTCGACATCATCAATTGCGTTGTCTCAATCGGCGTGGCTGGAGGTTCGTTTGTTCTACGTCCGTATCGCTCCTTGCGTCGTTGAGAACGTCCCTGACTTTCTTACCCTCCGTCACCCTCGTCGCGAAACCGGTGCTTCTCTTGAGGTTAACGGCGTTCGCGTTCCTTCGTCTCAGACGGCGTCGCTTAAACTCCGCCGTGACAGAGTCGACCGGGAATCGTCGGAGGTGACGTACGTTAGCACTGAGACCGTTCGCGTTACCGGATGCGTTGATTTCGAGGTTTATGATAACGACGATATGGTCTTGTGTGGGAACCTAGATAGAATCGAAGGTGCTTGGAACAATGGAACTGTGAGTGATCCCAAGACTGGATGGGGCATGGATTGTTACATTGCTATGGGAAACGGACACGTGTCGGGTCCTTCTTCTTCTGCGTTTTTCCAGCCAAAGCTTGGAGTTTCGTCTCCATCCGTCGAGGTTTATATAGCTGGTTGTTGTGGCGGTGTTCCGGTGATATTGACCAAGACGATTCAGGCGAGTCCCAGGAGGAAGGTGGCTAGGCACGTGACACTCGACGCTATCCCTGAGGATGAGGAAGTTGGCAAAGAGCAAGACATTGGTACCATTGGTGATGAATTGGCCCGGCAAAGCAAAGTACAGGTATGATTCGGATTTCTCACTTCTCTGTTTGTTTGATTATTGTCTATGATTTGGATTTAGAACTCTCTGATTGATGTGTCCAAGCCCTTAAGTGGCGATTCTTAACTTGGGATTGAGATTTGAAAACGTTGCTTCTTTCTTCGTCTGGTTTTGTGAGTTATGAATGCTGTAGCAGATATTCAGTTATTAAGACCAATCGCAAGTTTCTGGTGAATTTAGCTCCTGCTTGAATGTTATCTTTGACTCTACAGCTGAATTTGACAATTTTAGATTGTTGACTGATCAGGCATTTAGATATGGTTATAGGTCAATGGTGTTAGAAACTCCCACTTTGTTGGTTCTTTATCTTGTGTGTCTCGTTTATGCAGATGATGGAATCAGAAGTTGATGACTACGATGAGTCTGAGATGAAAATGGCACAGAGATATTACCCTGAAGGGATGTACGTTGATGAGGATGGTCAGCTCTCATGGTTCAATGCAGGTGTCAGAGTCGGAGTTGGGATAGGCCTTGGGATGTGTCTTGGTGTAGGCATTGGAGTTGGATTACTCATGCGTTCGTATCAAGCAACAACTAGTAACCTTCGTAGGAGGTTTCTCTGATCATCACCTACCATAAACTAAAAACCCACTGATACATGTCGAGATCTAAGAATGTTGGCGACATAGTGGGTTATAAAAGAATAGAATTTTGGTAGATAGATGTATAGAGCTTTTGGTTTTCACCAGTTTGTGTCCCTCTTTTCCGTATATATAATCGGCTCTGTTCATATACTTTAGTAGCACAAGAGAGAGTTCATATACTCTAGTCATGTTCTTTTGTTTTTTCGTTTCTTTAATTTGTCTATGTCGTTGCTCTTGTGTAGAAAGAGATTTCGTGTTGTTGTTGTCAAACTCAAACTCTAGAGTTTGTCTTTCGGTTTCTTCAGGTCAGGAAATAATGTGGCATAGGGACAGTACATGTTTCACCTGTATTACTTTGTTTGCAATTAGTTAGTAATTGAATTAAGATATATATGTCCTTTTCTCCAATTATTTCCATTTTCCTGGTGGACATTTTACCAGATTATAAATATATTTTTTTTTCACTGAAAGATTTTCACTATACGGGTTGCCTTTTTGGGATATAGTTTGGAGTTAATTACGGGCTATGGACTTTTGGTGATGGCATTTGGCCCGTAAGCCATTTTCCTGATTGTATTTTGGATTTGCCATTTTTGGACTACCTGAAATTACATTTTTACCCTAGCGAAATCAAAGGAAAAAATCTGTATTTTTCTTTTTTTTTTTTCTTTAATTACATCCCATCTCCAGTTCTCCACTACGCTTCTCTCCTCCTTCTGAAGTCTCTTTCTCATAAAACGCCATTAATTACAGTGATAATGCATACAAGCTCCTCAATCTTCAAGTTCATATCTTGCAATCCATAAAGAAGTTCCGATTCTCCTTTCTCCTGAATGGAACTCTCCGATTGAATCCACTCTTCTGTATTAGGAAATAGTATGCTTACCCTTTAACTCTGCTAATTTACCCATATTTTATCTGTTGGCCCTCTTTTTTCCTTTCCATTTGGGTTTATGCAGTTGGATCTAGGTTTTAGTTTTAAAAAATCTGGATTCATATTAAAAAGAAAAAATCTGGGTTCATACGGAGAAAACGTTTCAGAAGAGTGATCAAACAAACAGTTTAGTGTAGGGCAAGAGCGTCATTTCACAATGCTGATAATGGCAAATCTAAAAACTCATCAACTAAATGGTAAAAATCAAAAATGGTAGCCTAAAAGGGACAAATCTTGTAATAACCCCTATAGTTTGGGATGCTTTTTTTTGAAATCCAAAAGCCGGAAGAAAACAAAGAAATCCCCAAAAAATAAAGTTCTATACACGGAAAACACAAGAAAATATACTAAAGTCAAGTAGTAAAATGTTGGACCGTTGTATAAGCCCAAGCCCTTGTCTAATTTTTTATAGTGAATCGGCGATTTCTTCCGACTACTTAAATCCGCCATGAACACCAATTTAGGTAAGTCTATAACCATGTCACTTTTGAGTGCCGAAGAGAAGAGGAAATAAGAACCTGAAAATAAAAAACACAAATAGTTCACACAAAAAAAAGACACATGTGATCGAAATCACATGAATAATTCAACATGCAACTCTGTTCTATATTTATACATGTCAAGGTATCATCAATATTATCCTTAGAGCCGCATCGTTTCCTTAATACCGTGATAAAACCTATTTTTAGCTCCACACAGCACATGGAATTTGTTACGAGAGTGATATTGGTTAGACACAAAATCAAATCAATTATAATCAAACATAAGCAAATAACTAAGAACAGAAAATAATTTTGTGTGTGTTTAAGAGGTTTCTTCATATCTCTACTTGTGCATGTAGAGTACGTTCATCGATATTAGGAGGATCACCATCAGACAACACCATTGAAGCCTGAGAACTATGGACGGGAAAAGATCTTTCCATTGCTCGTAGCATAAAATAGAAAAAAAATAGGTTAGTGTGTGATTAGAGATAAGTTTTGGATCGGTATATAGTAATCATAGAAATTTGAATATTCTATCAATAAATACTATATCACCGAATCAAACATATTGTATTTTAAATGTCTAGAAGACGGCGTCGTTGAGCCTAAATGTCAAAACGCTGCCGCATTTACCGCGAGCATCAGCAGCATTGGACCAAATAAATATGCCTTTCAATTTGTGAAAATTGTATTTTAGGCCCTGAAAATTATTATAAATGCAATTTAGCCCCTTAATTTTGTCAGAGTTTACAACATTGAACCCTAAATCATTATGTTCCCAAAATCAAAATTTCACTCCTCGAGAGTAGCGAGAAGAAGAAGGAGATGAGCAAGATCCGTTCGTCTGCGACAATGCCACATCGCGACCAGCCGTCACCGGCGTCGCCTCACGTCGTTACACTCAACTGTATAGAGGATTGTGCGCTCGAGCAAGACTCCCTTGCCGGCGTTGCTGGTGTCGAATACGTCCCGCTCAGCCGCATCGCCGATGGTAAGATCGAGTCCGCCACCGCCGTTCTCCTCCATTCCCTCGCGTATCTTCCACGAGCAGCTCAACGCCGACTCCGTCCTCACCAGCTCATTCTCTGCCTTGGCTCTGCTGATCGCGCTGTCGATTCGACTCTCGCCGCCGACCTAGGTCTCCGACTTGTCCATGTCGATACTTCCCGAGCCGAGGAAATCGCGGACACTGTTATGGCGCTCATCCTTGGACTCCTTCGACGGACGCATTTACTCTCACGACACGCTCTATCGGCGTCTGGATGGCTCGGATCGCTTCAGCCTCTTTGCCGGGGAATGAGACGGTGCCGTGGTATGGTTTTGGGTATCGTTGGCAGATCTGTATCCGCTCGGTATTTGGCTAGTAGAAGCTTGGCTTTCAAGATGAGTGTGCTCTACTTCGATGTCCCAGAGGTACGTATGTTGCCAATGTCTCGCTTAGCTTTTACTATCTTAGTATAAACTGACTCTTTAGGGACCAAGAGGCCAAAAATGTGCTAAGTTCTTAGCTCCTACATTCCTAAACTGCTTACTATGATGTCTTCCTTTTGCTTGGATGTTATATTTGTTGTCAATAGTTGCGTTTGCGTCTGTTCAGGGAGATGAAGATCGAATCAGGCCCTCGAGATTCCCACGTGCTGCTCGGAGAATGGATACATTGAATGATCTTCTAGCAGCAAGTGATGTAATTTCGCTTCATTGTGCATTAACAGATGACACGGTTCAGATACTCAATGCAGAGTGTTTGCAGCATATAAAACCTGGTATGAGTTTTCTTGTCTGGTCAGCTAAATGAAGTTTGATTCGCCATGAATGTAAATTGAAGATGAACTTCTGCTTTCTCTCATTCCCTTCAATTCTGGTTGATTTTATGTATTAGGGGCTTTTCTTGTAAATACTGGAAGCTGCCAGCTATTGGATGATTGTGCTGTGAAACAACTTCTAATTGACGGCACTATAGCTGGCTGCGCCCTTGACGGTGCTGAAGGTCCACAATGGATGGAAGCATGGGTATGAATTTCTTTTCCGTTGACTGAACTTCACATTTTTGACTGCCTATTCTCTTGTTACATTATCTTCTTTCTTTCTACTGTTTATCCTGCATCAAATTATATCTTGTTTTCATTGCAGGTGAAGGAAATGCCAAATGTGTTAATTCTACCTCGCAGCGCAGATTACAGTGAGGAAGTATGGATGGAGATAAGGGAGAAGGCCATCTCTATCTTGCATTCATTTTTCTTAGATGGTGTCATACCAAGTAACACTGTTTCTGATGAGGAAATTGAGGAAAGTGAAGCAAGTGAAGAAGAAGAACAATCACCTATCAAACACGAGAAATTAGCAATAGTGGAATCCACCAGTAGGCAACAGGGAGAAAGTACTCTCACCAGCACTGAGATCGTTCATAGAGAGGCTAGTGAGTTAAAAGAATCTCTGAGCCCTGGCCAGCAACACGTTTCTCAAAATACTGCCGTAAAACCTGAAGGAAGACGTAGCAGATCCGGCAAGAAAGCCAAAAAGAGACATTCACAGCAAAAATACATGCAAAAAGCGGAGGGTTCCTCAGGGTTAAATGAAGAAAGTACTTCACGAAGAGATGATATTGCTATGAGTGACACGGAAGAAGTATTAAGTTCCAGTTCTAGATGTGCTTCTCCTGAAGATTCCAGAAGTAGGAAAACACCTCTTGAAGTAATGCAAGAGTCTTCCCCAAGTCAGCTTGTAATGTCAAGTAAGAAGTTCATTGGCAAGTCAAGTGAGCTGCTGAAAGATGGATATGTTGTAGCCTTATATGCGAAAGACCTCTCAGGCCTTCACGTTTCCAGGCAAAGAACGAAAAACGGTGGTTGGTTCCTCGATACTTTGTCCAATGTATCCAAACGGGATCCTGCTGCACAATTCATCATCGCATACAGAAACAAGGTAATATTTTTTTTCTCTCTCTCTCTCTCTCTTCCTTGTCATTTATTTTGCTTACCATGCCAGATAGCCCGTTATAATTGGTTTTGGTGCATGAACTTGTTCTCTAGGACACTGTTGGCTTGAGATCATTTGCTGCTGGTGGGAAGTTGCTGCAGGTACCTCTTACATTACAGAGTGTTACTTCCATTGATAACTCCAAGGTGCTCTTGTGGAAACTAAAAGTGGTTGTGTGTGTGTGTGTGCAGATCAATAGAAGAATGGAGTTTGTGTTTGCTAGCCATAGTTTTGACGTGTGGGAGAGTTGGAGTCTAGAAGGTTCTCTGGACGAATGCCGGCTTGTTAATTGCAGGAATTCCTCGGTAAGTCTCTGTCCTTATACAAAATGGTCCGAAGTTGGAAAACCCTAATTCTTGGAAAGCTGAAATAATTTGTGTCAATGTTGAAAACCAATTTTGTAGGCGGTGTTGGACGTTCGTGTGGAAATATTGGCAATGGTAGGAGATGATGGTATCACACGTTGGATCGATTAAAAAGGAAAACAGTCTCTCCATTTGTGAGTTTCTTTTTTTTTTTTTTTTTTTTTTTTTTTTTTTTTGTAAACCCTCCATTTGTGAGTTTCTCTCTTTTAATTTCTCTTGTTACTTTAACATCCTTAGGATTCACAGACCAAAAACAAAGGCACCCAATTTTTGTGTGTTTGAAACTGTGTCGTGTGGTGTGTAGTTGGTATAACCAACTTATATCTGTAATCATTGTTTCTTTTTATTATTCTCGGATAGCAGAAACATCCGATGAGCTTGTCTTAGAGGGACGTTTGTTGTTGTTTTATGGGTCTGGTCGTGATGAACTTGAAAGTATTGTGTGTTTGGTTAGTATTTTAAAATAGTGTGTGCATTGTATTTGTAAATGCTTCGTTTGTGTTTTAGAAATCATCGTACAGTACTAAAAGCTTGAGCTAAACTACAAAAGAAACTAGACTACATTTTTATTCGAACCAGGGTCCAGCTATCTCGTAAATATGATTACGATCGTCATCCACGTGGCACTTTATATTTAAAGTTGGACGTGGCGTGAGTGTTAGTAGAATGTCCACATGGCTTGTAGTTGTTAGTCCCACGCTCTGAACTAGAGCAACCGGCTCCTTACACGTGTTTGGCTTGAATCCATTTTCCTTTGAGATTACGCTTCTACCCTTGTCTGCCTCTCCCGCTTATATTGCCAGTTCACCACCACGCCACCACTCACACAACACAAGTCTCTCAAGTCACAAACTCTGTTTCAAACCAAAAGGGATCTTTGTGTGTGTTTTCGAGGTTTATGGTGACTGTAAACCCTAGCCAAGCTCATTGTTTACCCATGAGTATGAATCTACCGGGTTACAATACTCTTGCCCACACGGCAACAACGATGCCGGTTTCCATACGGAGCAATACGATGTCGTTTTTTGAGGATCCAACAAAGAAGATTAGGAAGCCTTACACAATCACCAAGTCTAGAGAGAACTGGACGGAGCAAGAACACGACAAGTTTCTTGAAGCTCTTCATTTGTATGTTGACTCGGATTTCACTTCTCTGCCTTCTTTTATCTGATTAATAATATCTTTCTTATTGAATCTTTGAGACTTGTTCTTTCTTCTGATATGATCATGTCTATTTGATTACAGATTTGACCGGGATTGGAAGAAAATCGAGGCCTTTGTTGGATCAAAAACAGTGATACAGGTAATCAATCAAACATATGCATTCCATTCTTTTGTCTGAAATTACATTTTTTTTTTAAGTAATTTTGTGAACTCTGTATCTAAGCTATATGTAACTCTATGTTGGATTGGTTTGGTAGATACGAAGCCACGCACAGAAATACTTTCTTAAAGTTCAGAAGAATGGGACTAAAGAACATTACTTATACAGCACTAATTCGCATCCCTGTAAGCATGGATTAGTGCGTAGCGATGTTAATATACCAACTACTGTGATCAAAGGTAAAATATGTACTGAAGTTTGCTGTGTGTTAATGTAATAATCTGAAGATATGTTTGTTTGTTTGAGTTTTTAATAATGTGAAGGGTAATGAATTTGTGATTGTAGAGGAATTGGGTGGTTCAGAGAACTGTTGCAGCACTACTAGTAGTAGTAGAGATAAGCAGAGAACTCGAACAGTTACAGAGACAAATGACCAAGAAAGTTGTGGAAAGCCACATAGAGGTAAACGATTTTAATTTTGTACAGAGGAAGCTTGAGATTCCGTCTTTGCGAAATTTACTGATTATGAGTTTGTTTGTTTGTTTGTTTGATGTTGGGTTTTCAATTCAGTGACACCGAATTTCGCTGAAGTTTACAGCTTCATAGGAAGTGTATTTGATCCAAAAACAACAGGTCATGTCCAGAGATTAAAGGAAATGGATCCAACAAATCTAGAAACGGTATGAAAAACAAAAACTCTCTGCTCAGGAACATGTCTGGAATCGAAAAATGTCGTTAACACGGGTTTTGTTCAGCAGGTCCTCTTACTGATGAGAAATTTATCTGTAAACCTGACGAGTCCCGAGTTTGAAGAACAAGTAAGAGCTAGTCATCTCTTTGTGACATTTTGACTCTTAGAATACTGAAAGAGAAAACAAAGTATCTTGATGGGCTTACGGTATGACTGCTGTGTGCTTTATGCAGCGGATGTTGATATCATCATACAACGCCAGATAGAATGAGAAGATAGCTGTGGAAGTCTCTAATGGTTGTCTCACTGCCTAAGTGTCGGAGTTACATGTCGAGCTCTCGCTTTCTGTGAGTGGACTAAATGAATGAACCGGTTGTACATACAAGTCACAAGATGACAAGAGTTTGGAATATCTTAGGAGATAGATAAAGCCTGCGTAGAAAGACAGACAGTAGCGTTTGTTTTGTAGTATTCAATGGTTACTTAAGTTTTTTTTTATACGGGATGGACTAGTTAATGACATTCCTAGTTTTGAAAACTACTTGAGAAAGCTGAAGCTTGGTGGAATTATCGGACCAGTCTTTGACGTATATCATAACCAGTCATTGAGCCGGTAGGGAAAAACTTCTCGCAGTAAAAATAAACAAAGTATGACATTAAAGTGTATTCATATTATCATATAGCTTACTCATGTATGAAACTTATCATATAGTTTCAAAAATAGCACCATATACGATTAACATGTAAGATCACAGTAATGAAAATAATAGAAATTCATATTATCATATAGCTTACTCATGTTCCAATTAAAAAACGTCAAAGCTACAAAACACAGAATAACGAAAAGAAACAACAAACCAATTGAGACTTAATTAAAAGTCAGACAACACCAACAACAAAGAAAAGAAAAAAGACAACAACAAACTTTTGGAGACATAAGGAGAGAGATAATCTAATAGTAACGAGGCCCATAATAAGGATGAACTTGTTTGAACTCCTGGTTTTGGATTTGGCAATTGTTGTACCCCGTTGGTGTGCGATTCATAACATTAAATCCAAACGGCAGAGTTTGAACATGAGTAGGCATTCCATTTTGAGTAAAGAAACCCTGGTTTATGGAGATATTACCACCATTCACAGCCTCTGGAGCAGCAGCATTGCTAGAACTTCCTACGTAGAAGTTTGAGTTTGATTGATGAAACAGAGAGGCTCTCTCATTAACTTCCTTCTTCAAATCTTCAAGAGCATGTTTCATGGAAGTTAATTGAGTTAGGTTGAGTTCTTTTAGAGAGTTTGTCCACCACTCCTCAACGTTCTTGATTTCTCTTTCATTTTGGACTAGCCACTCCTTTTTCCTTTGTTCTTTTTCTTTTTCAGCCATCGCCTAAGATAAAATTGTATTTTAAACAATTATATTCATGAATAATAAATGTGTTAAAGAAAACCCATGAATATGTCTTAAACACAAATTGGAACCCACCAAAAATTATATTCTTAATTTACTTTGCTGAGGAAATAAATATATGACGAGACAATTTCTTCTACTGTATAACTTATTAAAAAAAAAAACAAATCTTGGATGTTAAATCAAAGAGAAATTGTGTGTACATCCCAAAGGAGGTTTACCAAATTTTTTCCAAATCAAAAACAACTGTGAAATACTTATATAATATTTATCATCATCAAAATTGAAAAATAAGGGAGTAAAAAAATAGAGATTAGATGTTGCCAACAATTGAAATTTACCTCAGTTAAGGACTCATTGAGCATCTGAATATGGAGCTTTGTGTGGCTTTCATCAAGGTTTGTGTTGTTTTGTCTTAGAACACGTTCTGAAAATTGATCAAGTAAAACATTAACATTTGGATGACCAAAAGAGTATACTTTTCCAGATGGTGAAAAGACGATAATCGCAATTTCTGCATCACATAACGTGCAAAGTTCACTGGCTTTCTTAAAAAGACCAGATCTTCTCTTTGAAAATGTAACTTGAAGGTTTGATTCGTTGGTCATTTTCACAATCTCTATTTTTCTACGGCCAAGATTCTTTCTCGCCATTTTCTAGATGTTTTGACAAAGGTGAATTGATTGGAAAAAAAAAAAAAAGGTGAATTGATTGTATTAGTGATAATAGGTATTTGTATTTATAGACTAAATTTTACAAAATATGTTTGGAGTTTTATAAGTAAATATTTTTTTCCTATTTTTATTATTAGAAATACAATTATAAATTACCATTCTAGGAGTAAATAATGGTTTACACATTTTGTCAATAAGAGGTATATAATTATTATATTTTAGCTGTTACATTTTCATTTAATTATTATATTAGTTTACAACCTGTCATTTTTCTAAAAATAAATTTTGGGATATTATTTTTATTACCACCTCTCAAATATAGGTATTAATGATTGGGAAAAGGATATGCACATATCTTTTTTTAATATGGTTATCTTCCATTATTTTTTCAATAATCAATATCCTTTTAAAAAAAAAATTTATTCATCAAACTAATAAATTCTGAATTTTTTTGGTTTTATTTATCTGAAGTGTTCAAAAATTTATATAGAGTTCAAATAATACATAAATAAATTATTATGCCCAACTTAATTTTTAGAGCAAATTGAAATAGTTTAATGGAGAGTAGTATGATTTAGTTTTGATAGTATAAATAGAAATTTAAGTTGAATCGCCGACTTTCAAAGTTTTTATTGCATATTTAGTAATAGTTGTTTGATATTTTAATTGTGATCGCCGACTTTTTAAGTTTCTTTTGAGATAAAAATAATTAAATTAGATACATATCTAATATTTTGACCGCCGAATTTTCAAGGTTTTTTTTTTGGATGTTTAAAAAAATCCAACTATCCATGTAAATTAGTTGTCTGATATTTTAAATTTTCATTACGTGAAAACATGTTAAACTTATGACACCTCAAGACTTACGGACCAAAAGGATGGGATGCTAAGTCGAACTTGTTTTCAACGTTTTTAAATATAACATTTAGTTTTGTTTTTAGTTATTAAGTTTATTTTTAGTTTTAAGTTTTTAAAATTTTTTTATTTAAAATATAATTTTTGAAATCTGTTTAAAACACAACTATGTGTTAAATTTTCATTACGTGAAAACATGTTAAACTTATGACTCCTCAAGACTTACATACCAAAATGACGGGACGCTAAGTCGAACTTGTTATCAACGTTTTTGAAATTTAACACTTAGTTTTGTTTTTAGTTATTAAGTTTTTAAAATTTAGTTTTAAATTAGAAAATTCAAAGTGAAAAATCAAAATCTTTATTAAAAAAAAAGAAATAAAGAAAGTAAATACCTGGAGTTGGGCCGTCACAGTGAAGCCCATTGCCCAAACTCTGATTTTCTATCTTCTTCAGCCGCGACTCCATTATTCTTCTAAAGCCATCGAAAGTCGAAACTACTAGCTTTTCATTGTCCCTCTCTTCGCTATCCTCTTCTTCGTAATCTCCTTCGTCCGCGTATGATGAATCCATGGTAACGAATTACCAAGAACGGTGAAATTAGTGGAGATCCGACATGAAATCGTTCTCAATAATTGACTTGTCTTTGCAGAGATCATCGGCTAATTTCAGTGTCGGAATTGATCATCTGATTCACGATCTCGATCCTCTCTGCAAGACATTGGCAGAGCTTTGCTGCGGAAGAAACTACAGGTATTAATTGAACTTGTTTTGTCAAAGTTGTTTTAGAATATTCTGAGTGGTTTGTATTAAAAATTGTGTTGCAGGCAATGTTGGCTTCTCCAAAAGCATAATAACCAGTTCATGAAGCAGAAGCAGATTCTCAGAACAACAGACGTTGACATCAGGCTACCATTGCTAGTTCATGTTTCGAGAGAGAAGCGGCCTGGTTACATTGATCCACAGATAACAAAGATTGGTGTCGTTGTACGTGTTTTGATCAGCTGAGAGTATTAATCAGAGATAAAGCAAGTATCAAGCGCACAAGTGAAAGGCAAGGAAAAAGAGACAGATTGTTGAAGTGAAGAAACACCATGTGACACAGATTTGGAACACTCCAGCTCGGGAGTAAGGTCAGAGACCAACACATGAAAACATACTATAGTCATACAAGTCAATCTAAAATTACACAAAAATTCTGATACAAATAGGAGCAGCAACTCCATAAGGTTAAAACCAAAACAAAACCAGAGATTGATAAATAGGATGTAAACAGGTGTTAAAGTAACAGGTAGCTTATGAGATAAGCCAACAGTGTCGCAAAGCCTGAATTCACTTTCTGCCTAAGAAAAACGAAATGTCCAAATACAATATATCAACTTTGGACATTAGATACCATAGGCAATCTTAACCACAACACAACGATTGAAGAACAACAATCTGCAATTTCAGCCGAAAGATGGTGATCTAGTGATTTTAATAATCATCGAATAATCATTGAATTTGACATAATTTCATCATTGATTGCATAGAGAAACTAAAAAAAAAAAAACAAGATAAAGAGGTCAGATGGTAGTGCATGTCATTGTATCAACACTGTATTTCAGATTTGCAGACGTATGGAATTATATCCTCATTCCAATTCAAATTATTTAAAAACTTTGAAACAGATACCACAAAACCAAAGAAAGAAACACCAACCCTATCATTTAAAGAGGTCATTGACTTGTTGGAATACAAATTTATTGTAATTTCTTACTACATTACTGGAGTACTTGTTTGGAGCAATAATGGGTTTTCTCTTTTAGCCCCACCTAAACCCTTTTTAGGAGGAAACCTTGATTATTCGTGCGTGGCTACACTAAAAAATTATTCTCTCATTAATTGCTCTAGTTTTAAAAGCAAACCAAACTTTTTGAAAACAAATACGTCTACTAGTATTATGAAACATTAATTTGACCTCCGAAATTTCAACGAATGATTTACGATCCATCTAGTCGGAGATACCAATTTTTGATCCACCATTAAAACTGTAACTTTTTGAGGATGAATGATGATCGAGGACTTCATCACCTTGACTTTCAGTTTCAATCTTGTATTTACTTACATAAATAAATCAAATACTGCACATATTATCAGATTTGTGTGTTAATAATATGACATAACAAAATGTTCTTCCTAGGCATATATAGAAAACAAATAGTATTTTTTTATGAACCAATAATAATGTGTAGCACAAGCAAACAAATGATTTTGGTGCACTCATGTCCCCATAACAAAAGTAAACTCAATAATTATTCCATGAGTATGTTTATATCCATATAAAATTTGCAATTAAATAATCAAACGTTAAGGTTCAATTATAGTCAAAACAAGAACTAAAACGCTAACCAATGTGTAACCCACAGATTGGTTAATAACACTGAACCGTACCTTATCATACCACCCCAACGGCTATCGACATCGATTTATTACCAAAAACTCCTCAAAACTATATAAAAGGCTCTCCCATATTCCACTTTCCTGAAAAGGGCAAAATAGTCATTTCAGGTAACCTTCTCTCACCGTCACCACACATGCAATTACAACACTCAGACAGGAACTCAAAAAGACAGCTCATTCAATACATCAACACAGATCACTCCAAAGCCTTTCTCTTTAAATTCGTTCGTTTATTTACTTTATCAATTTAATCTTTTACAGTATTTGTTTTTCCTCGATTCCTTGTTTTCGATTCAACATTCGATGCGGTGACAAAGCACAGATTTTGGCCGGAAAGTTTTGTGTTTTCCGGCGAGATATGCGAAGAAACCGGAATAATCTGTAACGGAATCTAAGGAAAAGTTAAAGTGCGATGTCGGTGTACGACGCTGCTTTCCTAAACACTGAGCTTTCGAAACCGACATCGATCTTTGGTCTCCGGCTATGGGTCGTTATCGGAATCTTACTCGGATCTCTAATTGTCATTGCCCTCTTTCTTCTCTCCCTCTGTCTAACTTCTCGCCGGAAAAATCGAAAGCCGAGAGCCGATTTCGCTTCCGCCGCCATCGCTACGCCGCCGATTTCTAAGGAGATTAAAGAGATCGTTCCTGCGCAGACGCAGTCTGTTCCGGCGGAGATCCAAGTCGATATCGGGAAGATCGAACATCGAGTGGTGTTTTCAGATCGAGTATCGAGTGGTGAGAGTAGAGGAACAGCGAGTGCAAGTGAAACGGCGTCGTATTCTGGCAGTGGAAATTGTGGGCCGGAGGTTTCGCATCTTGGATGGGGACGATGGTATACTCTGAGAGAGCTTGAAGCGGCCACGAATGGGCTTTGTGAAGAGAATGTAATCGGAGAAGGTGGTTACGGGATTGTGTATCGTGGCATTTTAACTGATGGAACCAAAGTCGCTGTCAAGAACTTGCTTAACAATAGGTAAAGCAAAATCTTCAATTTTGATTCTCTCAAATTGGGTTTTAGGTATTCTTTGATTTTTGTATTGGTTTCATTCTAAAGATTCATCCTTTACTCAATTTCTAGATAAAGGGTTTTAGGTATTCTCATTCGAAAGTTTGATCCTTTACTCGATTTTAGATTGGGGTTTTAGGTATTACCAGTTGGGGGGTTTTGCAATTTGTATTGAAGTTTGTCTCTGATTCTCTACCTTGTCCTGTAATGTGCTTAGATCCATAAAGTAAATGCTTCTGGATATTTATGTAGATGGTTAAGAGTGATCGTGATCAGAGTCCTTCTCTTATTTAACTGCATTGCCTATGAGTTGTGGTCCTGAAAGTTGTTGTTATTATTGAATTTTATGTATGTATAGGTTATGTCATGGGTCACATGTGGTTTGGATGGGTAACGTCTTTACTAATAATAGCACTATGCTTCTGGATTTTGATCTCTGTGATCTGTAGTAACATTTGTAGTTGGTGTGTCTTTTGATTGCCAGGGGCCAAGCAGAGAAGGAATTCAAAGTAGAAGTGGAGGTCATTGGGCGTGTACGGCACAAGAATCTCGTTAGGCTTTTAGGGTATTGTGTCGAAGGTGCATACAGGTATATATAACGCTGCTCGTATTTCTTTTCCGGTGGTGTTACGAAAGGAATGTTGTGATCTAAAACCGGGTTCGTTACTACAGGATGCTCGTGTATGACTTTGTCGATAATGGTAATCTGGAGCAATGGATTCACGGTGATGTTGGCGATGTCAGCCCGCTGACTTGGGATATCCGTATGAATATTATACTCGGGATGGCCAAAGGGTAAGAATACCTTTTGAGTTGTTAGATTCATCTTGCTATCCTCTATGGTTTATTGGCTGTTAGTTTATGTAAATCTTTGTTATATCTGCAGATTGGCGTATCTACACGAGGGTCTTGAACCAAAAGTTGTTCATCGGGATATAAAATCAAGCAATATCTTGCTTGATCGCCAATGGAATGCTAAGGTTTCGGATTTTGGACTTGCTAAGCTCTTGGGTTCCGAGAGCAGTTATGTTACTACCCGTGTGATGGGAACTTTCGGGTAAAGTCTTAAACTCATTCACTCTCTCCTGCAATCTGCAAGACAGTCTTTAGGAATCTGAATATTAGGAAATAACTTTTACTTTGCGGGTTGATTTGTTTAGTTATGTAGCACCGGAATATGCTTGCACCGGAATGTTAAACGAGAAGAGTGATATCTATAGCTTCGGAATATTAATCATGGAGATAATCACAGGAAGAAATCCGGTTGATTATAGTCGGCCTCAAGGAGAGGTATTTGATTAGAATATTGAACCAGCCTTGTTTTAATCCCCTCTATATTTTTGTAAATGGTCTTATTTTGTATGTGTGGTTGTAGACAAATCTAGTGGATTGGCTGAAATCAATGGTAGGAAACCGAAGATCAGAAGAAGTAGTTGATCCGAAAATACCCGAACCACCATCCTCCAAAGCTTTAAAACGGGTGCTGCTTGTAGCTTTGCGTTGCGTAGATCCTGATGCAAACAAGAGACCTAAAATGGGTCATATCATACATATGCTTGAAGCCGAAGATGTACTCTATCGCGATGTATAGAAAGCATTTGTTGCCTTTACGTTTTTACATTTCTTTAGATGTTCGAAAATTGTCTAAAGCTTGGATGATATTTTTGCAGGAACGTCGAACAACTAGGGACCATGGAAGCCGGGAGAGACAAGAGACAGCTGTAGTTGTTGCGGGTAGTGAAAGCGGCGAGAGCGGTTCACGGCATCATCAGCAAAAGCTAAGATGAAAAAAGAGTCACTTAGGTTAAGCGACTTTCCATCTCACACGACCATTATATTTCAATTTTTTTTTCCGGTATATTATTGTCTCACTTACATACATAATATTTTCATTCTTTGGCTCTTCGAGTCTTGGCCTTACGAATTAACTTTCTTCTTCTTTGTAACCTTTTGTCAACGATGCACATTCACATGTCACTTGCTAGATATTGTAATATGTAATGTTTGGACCGACCCTGAAGCTATGTTCGGCCCGTAGCACGAGCACGGGATTGGTCGATGGATCAAACTTATCGCTTTAGAACTGGTATGGGACAAGATGGACCCAGAAGGATTCTTTTATTTAGCTCACGTGACTGTGTTTCCAAACAATTGTTTATTCATAAATTATCTTGATTATGGATGGACCTAGTTGTGGTTATCATCTTGAAAATTGTCAAGTTGCAAGAATTTAAAAACAGGTAGAATATTAAATTTATAATCAAAGTTGGGTAACTTGCTTGCTTCGTTAACACAAGATAAGTGCACACTTGTCCTCGACCGACGACCGGAATCTATATTCTCGTGTAGGAGGAAAACGTAGACTTAGAGATAATTGTAGAAACTAGAAAGTAACATTACGAATACAAATATAGTTATCCAAGTCATTCCGTTTTATGATACATTGCTATTTCTTAAAGAAAAACTAAACCACCCAAACAAAACTTTTTGTGCGAGGAGAAAGAGTAAAATATGTGTATGTATTGCGTACACAAACGTCAAAATGTATACATACATGCAGTGCCGGTCCGAGCATTTGTGAGGCCCTACACGAAAAATAAAATGAGGCCCAACATATTTATAAGTTTTAGGACTAAAATTTTTTTTGACCTATTTTTAGTAAATTATACAAAATAATGATATTTTGAATATTATTACATTCAAATTTAATTGTTTGGGCCCTATTTTATTTATTTTTTTCGAAAAAAACTTTAGTTTCTACCAAATATTTTCATTTTATGGAACTTTTTACAAAAAAAAAAAAAACCTTTAAAAAAAAAAAAAATTGTGGTGCCCCAAGCCACTGCTTGGGTGACCTGTCCTGCGGGCCGGCCCTGCATACATGCATCTTTTAATATAGTTGACAAAAAATTGTATGAAGGAAATTATCATCACCAACAAAAAGTACTTCGCATATATTGCGTTGGATTAAAAGATAGATGTACATATAAATTGTTGTTAACATGCCGTCGTTTAATCTAACATGAGAGATATTTTCATTTCATTTAAGATAATGTCACTTACAAATACATACGTCTTTTGCAATGGGCCACTAAGCTAATTACTCTTTGAAAAGTCATTATAGAAATAATCATTAACAAATATGAAGAAAATACCACTAATAAAGGTAGTTGAATGATTGAATTTTCACACTGAAGATCAGAACCTTTTGAGCCGTTGGATCCGCTGGCTATAATTGACTTTTTCCTCTCTGGTGTAGTACCTGAATTGAATTGAACAACAAACACATCGTAACCGTACACGCATAGATCTGTCATATAGTGTTCCGTCACAGCTCCGTAACTGAAACATAATCTCTTCCTATCACTATCGACTACCAAATCAATGACAAAACCTAATTACTTATTTTTGTCCCATTGTTTTCTTTAATGGTTTGTTATCTGCAGAAATACGGCAACTTTGTGTTTAGTCATATAAGAACAACGCGTTACAAACTTCTCTCATCTTTCCTGGAAATTCCTGTCCACAAAATTCAGTTTCGGTATGAACACTGACCCTTGATCTCATGATCTTGTCATAGTTTCTCTATTGATTAAGATTTTCTCTCTATTACACGACTCTTTTGATTTTTTTTTTTCCTTTAATTTTCGGTCTCTTATTTCTTATCTTCTTTGCTCAGAAACCTCTATCAGTCGCGAATTCAAGTTTCATAGTTTTTGTCGACGGATCTATCTCTTTCTTTCTTTAGGTGAGTTTCGATTACTCTTTTCGGCTTAATAGTTTTTCTACGCTTCATGTTATTGTTCTTATGACTATCTTGTGTTGGATTTGATGTCTTTGAACTCTTTTCTTTGTGAATTTCGATATTGGTTACTCAGATCTCAGATTTTAAGATCTGGGTTTTGCTTTTTATATAGAAGAATTTTTTTTTTTTTTTTTGGTGAACCCTGAAATTGGAGATAGCTCTTGCCTCATAGGTCTTGGATCTATTGGTTTTAAAACTTTTTAGATCTTGGGACTACAATTTTATTTTGTTGGTTGACTTTTATATGAGTTTCGATTTGATGTTGTTTGTGTTTCTTTATATTTAGAGGTTTCATTACCTTTGTTGTTAGATCTGTTGAGAAAAGAAAGATCCATACTTGAAGATCCAAAAGACAAGAGAAATGGCTTTGAAAACATTTGATCTTTGTATTGGATATGTAGTATGGATCCAGAATATAATCAATGTAATAATGTTTTTTGTTTTATGGTATGTGACAATTGATGTGTTATCTTTTTCTTCTTCTCTCTTTTTGTTTTCAGTTGAAACTTATCTGAATGGCTCGTCCACAAGACCCTCCACGTGGTTTCTTCCCTTTTGGAAACCCGTTCAAGAATCTATCTTCAAAGAACTCGGTACTCTCCCCAAAGCTTCTCTCACTCTTGAACAATTTTGAGACCAACTTAGCATCTTCTATTAGTAAGCTTGTCCCTAAGGAAAAGAGCCAAATCCTGACTGTTTCATGGATGAAACAAGCGATGGAATCTCTTTGCGAGACACACAATGGTATCAAGACCCTTATAACCGATCTAGAGCTTCCAGTTTCAGATTGGGAGGATAAATGGGTTGATGTCTATCTTGACATTAGTGTGAAGCTTCTTGATCTCTGCAATGCCTTTAGTTCAGAGCTAACCCGTCTCAACCAAGGTCATCTCTTACTCCAGTTTGCTTTGCATAACTTGGAGGCAAACTCTCCTCACAATCTGTTGAAAGCTCAATCATCACTTGACAGCTGGAAGCAACACATTGTTTCCAAGAACCCAAGAATCGAAAATTGTCGCGCAATCTTGAGCAGCCTTGTTCAGACCTTGAATCTCCCCAAGGTGAAAAACTCGGCTAAAGGGAAAGTCTTGATGAGAGCTCTATACGGTGTAAAGGTTAAGACCTTATACATCTCTGGTGTTTTTGCTGCAGCGTTCTCAGGTTCATCGCAGAATCTGATGTACCTAACCGTCTCACACGAGCTTCCATGGGCACAATCCTTCATGGAAATGCAGAACACCATGAACGCAGAAATCAAGAACATATTTTTATCAGACGGGTTAACGGTTCTGAAAGAGCTCGTGGCAGTTGATTCAGGTGTTAAGAAACTCTACCCTGCGATCCAACAAGGATCAATAGATCCCATATCGCTGCAGCCACTGAAGGACTCGGTCACAGAATTATCGAATGGGCTAGATCTTGTTTCGAAAGAAGTCGATTGTTTCTTCAAGATTCTGTTAACGGGGCGAGACACATTACTAGAGAACCTAAGGTCGATAGGTGTATCAACCCTACAGGCAACATCGCCAAAAAAGGCTGCCGGAAAAAATTACAGAGGATTCTGATAAACAAGTATTGTGTGTATAGATGGTTTAACTTTAAGTGTTCCATCTTCTTGGTATTGAATGTATTATTATTATTATTATTAGGTGTTTGTGATATCTTCTTAGTCGTTTGTATGAGATGCTTTGAAAGTACCAACTTACCTATATATATTATGAATATCTTGAAGCCATGAAGATCCTAACATTTATCAACTGCTGCTAGATCGTATAATCAACAGTTAGGTCGAAAATGTGAGTTTTTGGTCTAGGATTTTTGGTTTGATATGATTTTGGTCTTTAGAAGATTTATTTAGACGTTAGACAATATTACCGGTTTGATTTTCTTATTAGCTAGATTATTATTTCAGTTACGGTTTATTCTCGGTTGTGAAAAGTGAAGTTGAATTTTAGTTATTTCTTTCCGGTTCGGTTTGGTATTTGGATTGAGGTTTCCGGTTACATTGACTTTAGACCAACAATATCAAGTCGTCGTCGTCGTCGTCCTCAGAGAAAAGACGAAGAAAAAAGCAAATGTCGTGTGTTGATTTTCACTCACGGCCCGGGTCGTCCGAGAAGACTCTTCTTCTTCTGATTTGCCCTTCAAAAGATCCAAACTTTCACACGTTTTCCTTTTCCCTCTTTTTAAACTCCACATACAAAGAAGTCTCAACACGCCAAAATCTCCTCCTCCTTCTTTTTTACGCCTTTCTCTTCCCGCGTTATAGCTCTCTGTTTTCATCTAAGATTAGTTCAATTCATAATCTTTGAGTTTTAATTTTTGTTGGAAGGAAGAGAGAAATGTCGGTAGAGACAACATTCTTCGGTGATGACAGCAACAGAGGAGTGAGTATCAACGGTGGTCGTTATGTTCAGTATAATGTCTATGGAAACCTCTTCGAAGTTTCTCAAAAATATGTTCCTCCTCTTCGTCCTATCGGCAGAGGCGCTTCTGGCATCGTCTGGTTAGTTAGTACCTTAAAATCTGATTTTGAGTTCTTAACTTTAGAGATGAGAGATTTTGTTATTTAGGTCTGTGCTCAAAACTTGTGATTTCTCATTACTAGTAAAATTTTTGTATCATTTCTATGTTTTGATTGGTTTTGAAATTTTGGTACTTATCTCACTGAAAGATCATTGTGGTAAATACAAGTTTTGAAGGATCATTTCTTGATATGTATGATTTATTTAGTGCTGCATGGAATTCGGAGACGGGTGAGGAAGTAGCGATCAAGAAGATTGGTAATGCTTTTGGCAACATTATCGACGCTAAGAGAACTTTGAGAGAGATTAAGCTTCTTAAGCATATGGATCATGACAATGTAAGCTTTGTCTTGTTTACTCTCAACATGTTTTCACCTTTTTCTTGTAAATTATCTGATTGTGGAGTTGATCATGTTTAATCTCACAGGTCATTGCCATTAAAGACATAATAAGACCACCGCAGCCAGACAACTTCAATGATGTTCACATTGTCTATGAGTTAATGGACACTGATCTTCACCACATTATACGCTCTAACCAACCATTAACTGATGATCATTCACGGGTACGCATAAACCTCTTCGTGCTTCTTATACTCTAGCTCAAGTATCTTCTATATAGTTCAAAGTTTCAATCTTTAGATAGATTTAGTTATACTCGGAGATTAGGGTATCAGAATCTTTTTGGTCTGAAGGCTCTGAAGTTGTGGTTTTGATGTATAATCATAGACTCCATGTTTGTGCAGTTCTTCCTGTATCAGTTGTTGAGAGGACTCAAGTATGTGCATTCAGCTAATGTATTGCATCGTGATTTAAAACCAAGTAACTTGCTCCTGAATGCAAATTGTGACCTCAAGATTGGGGATTTTGGGCTTGCAAGGACTAAATCAGAGACAGACTTCATGACAGAATATGTCGTTACACGTTGGTACCGAGCTCCAGAGTTACTCCTTAATTGCTCAGAATACACTGCAGCTATCGATATTTGGTCTGTCGGTTGTATACTCGGTGAAATAATGACCAGAGAGCCGTTATTTCCGGGCAGAGATTATGTTCAGCAGCTTAGACTCATCACTGAGGTAAATTTTTACTTCATCAGTTGTAATGACCGCATATGTTTCCAAATTTCCAATTCTTTGTTTTCTTCAACATTTGAACTATCCTGTTACTCTGTTTTTTCTGTTTTGGTTCTGTTTTTTGTAGTTTTATGAACAAACTCAGATATGGTTCATATTTTTCAATACACAGCTTATAGGCTCACCAGATGATTCAAGCCTAGGATTCTTAAGAAGCGACAACGCTAGAAGATACGTAAGACAGCTTCCACAGTATCCAAGACAAAACTTTGCCGCTAGATTCCCAAACATGTCGGTTAATGCAGTTGATTTGCTGCAGAAAATGCTCGTCTTTGACCCAAACAGACGCATTACAGGTAAAGAAGACGAAAACCTATGTTGCTTTTCTCTTTTGATTTTTCTTTTTATGATAGTTATGAACTTCTTTGAGTTGCAGTCGATGAAGCTTTGTCCCACCCTTACTTAGCACCGCTACACGAAAATAACGAGGAACCTGTGTGTGTGAGTCCGTTCCGTTTTGATTTCGAGCAACCTTCATTGACGGAAGAGAACATCAAGGAGCTTATATACCGTGAATCAGTCAAGTTTAACCCTCAAGATTCTTAGTGTGTGAGACTTTAAGAGAATCTTGAAAAGAAACTCAAAAGAAGCTTTACCTTCTCTGTTTGTTCATTGAATTTCTGATATAGTGAAGTCTGTAATATAAAAACAAAAGAGTCTGTAATATGAAACAAATAAAGTTTTTACCTCGACCTTGTTTTGCAGACATATAAGCCTTCTCTCTCAAGTTACAAAATACAAATTATGAACAAAGAAGAAACATTTCAAATAAATTTTGGCCCAACACTAGTCTTAGTACTGAAATGATTTAATCTCATGCCTTAAATCCTGTTTTTTCAGATTTAATTTCAGCTCTTATTGACTACGTTTTGTTATTTTCTTCAACATAACACGACTAAAAAAGAAAAAACATATCACGAATATGAAGTAGGTTATGGTATGGCTAAAACAAGAGAGTAGGTTATGGGTATCACCTAGATATTCTATCTTTTTCTTTTTAAAATTTACTCGGTTTATTATGAAAAGTGAAATAGATATCGATACAAAATCAAATAAAGTATAATCAAACATAACTAAAAATATCAAGTAATTACCAAAAATAAGCATTGATCATTCGCATATGGTAGATTTGACCGGTGCTAATAGATACAGTCAAATATTTTCATGCCATTTCTTTGTTTGTAAATAACTAAATAATTATTCTTATTCCCTTAATTAAAAATAAATTAATAGTTTGACACGAATAACGACTAAATAATGCCTTTTCCATAAGATCGATAAAGACTAAAATAATGATAATAAATTAAAATAAATAATCGTTTCATCTGCTCCATCTCCTTTAAGAGCTTTTAATTTCTTCTTTGAAACCTCCCCACAGTGACTCACCACCACGACAAGAAAAAAAAGGAAAAACCAAAACCCAAGTAAAACGGCGTAGTTTCGGTTACTTCGTCGTCGTCTTCCTCATTCGCCGAAAGTTATAGTTATTTCCCGCCATGGGAGACGATAAGAAAGATCAAAAGCAGCTTTCTTCATACTTGAAAGCTAAAAACATTTCATGTAATTCACATTATTCATTTTATTGGCTGATGTCGAAGCTAATCTTCTTAAAATTTATCCCTTAAAATTTTAGTTATATGTAAAACTAAATTGAACCTATAACATCTCTTAGGGTATAGATGATATTGTATCCAATTATTTTATACAAAATTAAAAAATTTAACATTTATAAAAAAAAACAAGAAAAAAAAACATTTTAAAAAACAAGTGTTAAAAATTTAATTATGTGTAAACCATATTGAACCTATAACACCTCTTAGGGGTTTGGATGTTGTATCCAATTAACTAAAATTTAACACATAAAAAAACAAAAACAAAAAAAATTTTTAAAAAAACAAGTGTTAAAATTTTAATTATGTATAAACCATATTGAACCTATAACACCTCTTAGGGGCTTGGATGTTGTATCAAATTAGTTTACACTAAAATTAAAAAATTTAACACTTATCAAAAAAAAGAAAAAAAAAACAAAACATTTAAAAAAGAAATACAAGTGTTAAAATTTTAATTATGTATAAACAATATTAAACCTAGAACACCTCTTATGGGTCTAGATGTTGTATCCAATTTGTTTACATAACATTAAAAAAATTAACACTTTTAAAAAAAGTAAAACATTTAAAAAAAAAATAGTGTTAAAATTTTAATTATGTGTAAACCATATTGAACCTAGAACACTTTTTAGGGGTTTGAATGTTGTATCCAATTAGTTTACACAAAATTAAAAAATTTAACACTTATCAAAAAAAAAAGAAAAAAAAATCAAAACATTTTTAAAAAAATAAAAGTGTTAAAAATTTAATTATGTGTCAACCATATTGAACCTATAACACCTCTTAGGGGTTTGGATGTTGTATCCAATTAACTAAAATTTAACACATAAAAAAACAAAAACAAAAATTTTTTTTAAAAAAACAAGTGTTAAAATTTTAATTATGTATAAACCATATTGAACCTATAACACCTCTTAGGGGCTTGGATGTTGTATCAAATTAGTTTACACTAAAATTAAAAAATTTAACACTTATCAAAAAAAAGAAAAAAAAAACAAAACATTTAAAAAAGAAATACAAGTGTTAAAATTTTAATTATGTATAAACAATATTAAACCTAGAACACCTCTTATGGGTCTGGATGTTGTATCCAATTTGTTTACACAACATTAAAAAAATTAACACTTTTAAAAAAAGCAAAACATTTTAAAAAAAAATAGTGTTAAAATTTTAATTATGTGTAAGCCATATTGAACCTAGAACACCTCTTAGGGGTTTGAATGTTGTATCCAATTAGTTTACACAAAATTAAAAAATTTAACACTTATCAAAAAAAAAAGAAAAAAAATCAAAACATTTTTAAAAAAATAAAAGTGTTAAAAATTTAATTATGTGTCAACCATATTGAACCTATAACACCTCTTTGGGGTTTGGATGTTGTATCCAATTAGTTACACAAAATTAGAAAATTTAACACTTATCCAAA